TCCCTTGAAGCCTAATGAAATTCCCGAAGGTCCATGGCAAACAATTAGCTGTGACCTGATTACCGATCTCTCTAAATCAGAAGGCAAAGACAGTATCCTCGTAGTAGTCAATCGCTTCACCAAGCAAACCCATCTCGCGCCAACCACCAAAGACGTTACTTCAAAAGGAATCGCGGACTTGTTTCTTAAATGCGTATGGAAATTGCACGGAACACCAAAGAAGGTGATCTCCGATCGTGGAACACAATTCATGTCCAAGTTCATGCAAGAAGTCTCAAAAAGACTGGGAACCAAATGGTCTATGTCAACCGCATATCATCCACAGACAGACGGACAGACAGAACGAGTAAACCAAGAAGTGGAACAATACCTTCGAGCGTTTACGTCTTACCGTCAGAATGATTGGGCATCATGGCTTCCCATTGCAGAATTCACGCATAACAACTCCATTACCGTAACCGGACACTCCCCTTTCAAATGCCTCTACGGCTATAATCCCAAATTCATCATCTCCCCTAATTCCTCCAACACCGTTCCATTAGCCGATCAAAGAGTAACAGAAATGAAGGAGGCACAAGACGAAGCGAAGGCAATGCTAGAAATCGCCAATGATCGGATGAAATGCTTCTATGATCGAGGAGTAAAAGACGCACCAATTTTCGAAGTAGGACAAAAGGTTTGGCTAGACACCAGAAATATCAGACAACGACGACCAAGTCAGAAATTGTCGGATCGCCGCCTTGGTCCATTCGAAATAATCGAACGAGTAGGCGAATTGAACTACAAGTTGAAATTACCGGAATCCTATCAAATCCACCCGGTTTTCCATGTAGAACTACTCACCACTCATAAAACCTCGTCATTAACAACTCACACTGCACCAGAGTGTCCACCTCCTGAAATCATGGAAGGAATGAAAGAATACGAAGTAGAAGCAGTAATAGCCAGCAGAGTACGGTGAAACCGGTTGCAATTCTTATCAAAGTGGAAAGGATATCCATTAGAGGAAGCAACCTGGGAAAACAAAGAAAACCTAAAAAACTCCCCAAGATTAGTCAGCGAGTTTTACGCGGCAAATCCCGATGCACCCAAATCACGTCGAATTGCAAGCGCAATCATTCCAGTCTTACAAACTCCTGGTTTCTTAGAATGGAGACAGAAGAATATTCGACCATCCTATGTTCGCGAGGACGCTCACCTTAAAGAGGGGGTAATGTCACGAATTCCCAACACGAATCATTTTTCATTTCTCGGTTTTCCTTCAGCTATGTCCCATACCCGAACCGGTCACGTGACACCACTACCTTTCACATTATCACATCATCACCATGTCACAGCTTCACCCCTTCACATTTCACCAATCACATCTCCGATCGGATCCCCTACGCCCAGGGCTAGAACCATATGTCTTCCTATCACTTAATCTCCATCTCTGACATCATTGCTTATATATCACGACGTCATACTACGTCATCCGCAGTTATCGTACGACTCTTTTCTCATTGGCTGATTATTTACAGACTCAGATATCTCCGATTCAATGTTATGTATATAGGTAGGGTAGTTAGCGTAGTTTCTCTTTAGACTTAACCTCTTCGTTCCTACCCAGTGTAGACTCAGATGTTTACCTCTCAATCTATCTGATTCTCTCATCCTTGACGAGTCCTAGTGGTTGTGTGATACCTTTTGCCATTAGGTGAAACGTTGATCATAACAGCGCAAGGGTACTCGTAATCGCTTGTTGGAACAGCTGATCCACCACAATGTCATTTACCTGACCTGCAGACTCAGTGAGTTGTGTTTATATTGGCAGAGCTCAAAGAAGTGCACAAACTGATTTTCTAACTTGTGACCCAAAGCCTTTTCCCTCGCAGTCATAATGACGATGGCCCTTGTCAAGGTCAGTGCCCCGAAATATGGATAGAGCCATATGTGTTAACGACATTTAAACTTGACAGGTGTCTTACAGCTTCATGCTTGTGAGGTTTTTACACAACTGGCAAGTACAGTATAGGACCAGTCCTTTGCCCACAACATTTTGAAATGCATCCCACTTCATAATAACTCATTTTTTCAAAAATCGTAGTAGACAGTAATATTCCAACGTGCATGTAAATACCACGATAAAACTTTGAGAGCCATCAATGACGACATTAGTGTGTTGTAGCAAGATCGTTGAAAACAGTGTTATCTTTGACTTTACCAGTCCTTTGCCCACCTCGATTTAGATGTCACATTATGCAACACTGTAAATTTGTAATCCAAAAGGCAATGATAAGATTAATCCTCTTCTTCCCCATTGTCTTCTTGCTTGCTCTCATAAACTTCAGGCTGAGCTCGCTCTGGCCTTGACATGGGTTTCTCGATTGCCCCCATCTTTGGTTTGTTCCACTGTGGCCTTTAGAGTTTGAAAGTTGAATAGCATGAGAACTATGTGTGACAAGCTCCCCGAGATAAGACCTTTGAAAACTACCATTGTTCAATCTATGTACTTTGTAGAAGGAACAAAGGAGGTATTCACAAATCTGTTGCAGGTGAAAATGATGTCCGAAGTATATACTTTGTATTGTACCAGCCACTTTTTCTCAAAAAAAATCATTGATGTACTATATGGCTCTCAACAAAATTCACTCAGGATGGAAAAATCGACTGATTTGTGTCATGCACAACATCGTGGACATCAATTCTTCATCGTATACTATACAAATGTCCATTGAGGCCTCATCTTTAATATCTTCCTATATGTTGATATGAAAAAATGAAGAAATAATAAATTTTGCTTGAGGTGGGTAAAGGAGTGGGGGTGGGCAAAGGACCGGTCCTATACTGTAACTGTCCATGCCTTTCTCGTGACAAAGATGTATCGTGGACTCTGGAGAGCAGACTGGCAATGCATTTTACTCAAATCTGTTTCCCTCTCGCTTGCAACTTTTCATGCTGCACCTGGACACTGTGGGTAGTAGTTTCAATGGAATTCACTAGATGAAATCAGAAGATAATTCGGTGAAACTAAGAGCATTAAGAGCTGAAATAGAGGTGATATTGCCATTTTTTACTCTGAAAATATGCTGAAGTTATGCCAAAAGAAATGTCACCATGCTATAGCACATGTCACATGACATGATCAATTTTCATTTATTATAATTTGCAACAGGCAGGAATTGAACCCAGAACCGCAGACATCACACAATTATAACTGCAGCATCATTACCGCTCAGCCACAAGACCATATGTATAACTTCACAATAATAGCAATATATACCAAAACAATGTCACATGACAAAAATGCGAAAAATTCCACCCAAGTGACTGAGTCAGTCCTTTCAATTATCACTACAACACTAGCTACTGTTCTATTTACTACCACATAAATTCCAAGTACAGTAGCTTGATATAATTGTAATTGCATTGATGATAAACTACTTTATTTCAGATCAACTGGGAAGTGATTAGTCTTGTAAGCCACGTACATACCATACTACGAAGAAGTGTTACAGCCATTTGCAGAACGCTAGGCCAAAAAATATTCACTACATATATTCAGCAATAAGTCGGGACAACAAAATTTTAACTTCCGACAGACAATCTCGATCTACAACTTGGATGGGACGATACATGTCCAAGGAATGAAAACAAGTTGCTTTACAAATGAGCTTGTTAAATGTCAAAGACCCAACAATTCATTGTTACACTGGGATTAGTAAGCGGTCATTGCGATATCTTCGGAAGACGTATCGATATCTGATTGGAGAATAGAAGTTGAAATACCCTTGTGTATGTAGTGAATTTTTTTTGGCCTAGCGTTCTGCAAATGGCTGTAATGGTGCTTTGCAACTGAACGCCAAATAAATTACCATTATAGGAAGGCGTGGGGTACCGGTTACAACACAAGCCCCGACCCATACAGAGCTGAATCTGATTCAGTAAATTTTCTACTGAAAGGATGGTGCTGAATCAAGGGTGATAAGCTGAAATTCAGAATCAGCACTCCAATGAAATTAACTGCATGCAGTTTCAGTGGAAGTTACTCTGAAACATTCAGCACCAGTGCATTTTCCAGTGATTTTCATTGGAACTACTATCTACAGTGTGGAGTGTCAACTCAGGCGTGAAGTTCGGGGTTTCACCCAAACTTGTATGTCCTTTATTCGTCACAATTTGACACGACTACGCATCGAAGGTTGTGGTATTACGGCTGCCTGCGGAATTAAATTTTGAAACGGCTCAGGCAAAACTTGGGACCGCAGTAATTTAAGCTGCCCCGATTGTATATATCACTTTACGGGCTGGTCCGTTTGATATCGTCTCCAGTTCTGATTGATTCGCTCAGCCGCCATTTGCACTTAGTTCTGTATCCTACAGACATTACAATATTATATTCCTGCGACAGCAGAACACGACAGTAAACGGAGAGCAGAGGGGAAAAGAAAAAATGGAAAAGACAAAAAAACGCGTGGTCGCATAAGAGTACATCACTTTCCAGAGGACATTAAGAGTCAAGAAGCACGGTCCAATGTATCACATATGTATTCCTAACTCATGAATACAGGGGGGAGGGCATCTTGCGAAGGCCGCTGTGGGGATAGGGAGGAGGAGCTGGGAGAAGCCCGTGAAGAGACAAGCGCGTAGAACGTCTTATACCCCATCATCGCTAGGGCCGGTATTCCCCGACTTCCCACCAAGGTCACCTCTTTTGTACAATGCCACGGCAAGCCTAGGCCAGTGGGGTAGACTTGAAATCAGATAAGGGCCCGCCTTACGGATAGGAGTCATAGGACTGCCAGACATAGGGTCCATGAGCCCCAAGGGTCAATAAATAGAATGTCTACGCAGACGTGCCTGACGCTATAAAGAATTAGGTATAGGGTCTAATCTTCGTTCTTTATACACGTACTTAGCTGACATCGTCTCGCGCCCGACAGCATATTTCCACTTGAAAGCGTGCTAGTAGCATAAGGCAGTATGATCCCACGAAGTTCAAAGGTGAGGAGTCGGTCGCTTCAAGACAATCGCGGCAATCCAATGCCCCCGGCAGGTATATGGTACCCAGTCTCACATCCCTCTGGGTTGCTTTCGTTACAACACCTCCAGATGAAGTCCTGTGGATAAGACCGGGGATCCCGCTGTTTGTGCCGCTCAACGTCTTTCTGGAGAAACCCTTGACGAGGGAAATTATTGCGATCAAAACGAAACATCTCCTGATAATAGACCTAGACTTACCTGGATGGTAGCAACATTCGAACGGCCCACGCACAGCGTTCATGTCAATTGTTTTTCCGCAGTTAACGCAAATATCCCAGCGTGGGTGCAATCTGACATCTACGCTCACTTCAGATTGAATGTCAGGGACGTCCTCGATATTAATGTCCCAGATGATCACCGAATGGGCGGTTTTCCAACTGAAACTACTTCCAGCGTCCGAGGGTGAAGGACTTGAATATTGCGTGGGCTCAGAATCTGTCGACACACACTCTAAGCTGCAGCAAGCTTCGTTTGAGTCTGCATCTGATCTTGTGCCCATATATAAAACATCCGAAGCCTCCTTTGACAATGTCTTCAAGGAGGCGAGCGATTGGACAAGAGACTGTTGTAGTTCAGGTATCTCGTCGGCGAGCTGAAGCACGAGAGCGCGCAATTGTTCGGGAGATGCCGTTTCAATTGAAGAGAGCAGGTGCTCACGGAATTCTGAGTCTTCGGCGGTCGACTGACTGTGCTTCTCTGCCACGTCAGAGTCGACTGTGAAGCTGTTAAGAACAGATTCCGGGAAGTCCGATGAACGTGGGCGAGGCCCGGAGGTAGTGAAGAAGCGTGACAAGCTCACGAAAGCCGACATCGAGATAGGCCTACCTAGGAAGAAGAGGAAAAATCACCCTTAAAGCTCCTTCAAGGCATCATTCAACTGTCAAAAGCTGTGCAACAAAATTTCGCTTCCGCGTTTTATTACGTCTCGGACCAGCTCGAACTCAACCTTTCGTCTGGGAGAAAGGTTCATACCTGGAGTGCTTTCAGAGATCAACAAAAATCTTCGAAAGTTGAAACTCATGATCACGATGAAGGCAAGCTATTCAGGAGTCCCGGAAACTGCCGAATTAGTCTTCCATTGAACATGATGCATGCGACCTGGCAAATGCAATGACTCATGCCATTGCAATTTGAAAGTCTGCCCCTTATCTAGGTCTACAGGTGACCATGCATCTAGTCCCAGCTATTTTGAATAAGCATTTATCAGTTCCAGGTGAGTCCACAGTCCATCCGCGACTCTCGTGATCCTGAGGCTCAGTTCTCCAGTCCAACATGACGTCAGATGGCCAGCCAACAGCTAGTCTATCGATATAAACATACCCTGTCCATTTTTTGCGCAGTATTTCCCCGCGGTCACTTGGTTTTGACATGCCTCCCTTCACTACATGAGTATGAGGAAATTTATGCTTCCGCCGTCGGGCTTTCTAGGCCTCACCACTCTGCATCAAGATGTCGTCAAAGCTGAGCGGATGGGGCCACAGAGAAGCAACAACTTCTTCCCTGGCTCCTTACCAGTAGTCACTCACTTAACGCGTTCTCGGGCGTCGTGGGACGTACTGGCTTAGCGTTTACACATCCCCTATGACCTCGATCTGGTATTTCTAAGATTTTTTGTTAGTGTGGCTTGTCTATTAATCAGTTGTGACAGCCTCTTTTTCAATTCCAGTGGTACTTCGGGTCTAATGGTAAGTAATATGTACCCTCATTCAAATCGGGTGTTGCGATATTTGAATAACCAGCATCTCGTTCATGAGTCACCATTGAGAAAAGTGAGTGAGAAACTGTGACAAGCGTCTTTGAATATTGACGTTTAAAAAGTGCCGATATTTGATTATGGGCTGCTTTGTCCCCAGATGCGGATAATATCTGGCAGGTTTTCCATTTCAGTTCGTGTCATCTGGAATGCTTGGTAGGGTCAGAAGCATTCGTATGGCCGTTGTTGTATGTATGAATACAAGTTCATATCTCGCGCAGCTGACAGCCTTCGATAAGCCCACACGCGTATCTGCCTCTCAATGGTTCGAACACAACCCTCACAGATGCCCGAAGAAAACCAATCAGGCCAGGAGGAGCTCATTGAGGCAACACCTCAGCCGACACCTCTGCCAAAAATACAGCTGGCAATCCTTCTCCTTGTCCAGATGCCCGAGCAGCTGTCAGCCTCTGTGATATATCCCTTTGTTAACCAGCTAGTCAGGTCAACAGGAATTACAGGTAAAGATGAGCGTAAGACAGGCTACTACGCGGGCTTGATTGTATGTTGTCTATTGACGGACTTCGACCCCTTCACTGACGAAACTATATTAGGAATCTTTGTATTATGCAGTCGAGGCTGTCGTGGTTCTGCAATGGGGTCGCGTGTCTGACCACGTCGGAAGGAAGCCAGTGATCCTCGTCGGGCTTTTCGGGGTTGCCTTGTCTATGGTCTCCTTTGGGTTATCGAGAGAATTTTGGATGATCATCCTCAGCCGTTGTGCACAAGGTGCTCTCAACGGTAATATCGGTGTGGTCAAATGCAACATGACCGAGATCACTGACGCCTCCAATATGGCACAAGCATTCGCATGGCTACCGTTAGCATGGGCAAGTGGTTTTACGCTTGGGTTTGTTTAGCTACTAGCCATTGTATACTTCGCAAGTTAATCGGGTTCTGACTAGATTCCTTATTGGGGGGGTGCTCTCAGATCCAGCGGATAAATGGCCATACTCCTTCGGTCGCTACCACATATTCCATCGGTATCCTTATTTTCTACCCTGTATGGTTGCCGCCAGCGTATCGGCAGCGTGCTGGCTCATTGCCTTGCTATTTCTTAAAGAGGTATTGTGATTCAGCCATAGTATCATCTAGTGCTTACAGAATGATTTTTCAGTCGACACGTGGCACTGCATCCGTGAGCCACAGTGATGACACCACAAAGTCGGAGATGCACGCTGTAAATATCCAGGACAAGCCTGCGACAGACACTCCGACCGACATGCCACCTCACATGCTAGATGACGCAGAGATCGCCAACCCCGCTGCCAGTTCCCTCGGGTCTACAAGGTCCGATTTTCGCTCCATTCTCATCCCACGCGTCATAATACCGGTCATGCACTATGGTTTGCTATGTTTCGTTGACCAGTGCATGCTGGTACTAATGCCGCTCATGTATTCGACATCACGTCCACTCGGAGGGCTTGGGTTTAGTAGCAACACCATCGGATTGGTGATGTCGGCCTGGAGTATGCTGAATGGTACCATACAAGTTTATGCGTTTCCGCGTTTGTTGCGACGCTTTGGACCAAAAAGGTTGTACATCACGAGTTTCGCCTTCTTTCTCATAGCGTTTGCCACTTACCCGGTAATGGGATATATGGCTAAGCGTCAGATGGAAGCAGGAATATGGTTGATTCTTTGCGTTCAACTCGTGGCATACCTTGTCGCGTACAGCACCTATAGTGAGTTACCTTCTTCGCACATGCATACATACTCAACAATAACTGTTCTTAGGTTGTATCATCTTATATATCAACAATGGAGCACCTAGCAAGGACTTGCTAGGGGCGACAAATGGCCTAGCGCAGACGCTCGCCTCGATGATGCGTGCTGCCGGACCAACAGCGGTATCCTCGCTGTTTGCTCTGTCGTTGGAGAATGACCTCGCAGGCGGGACAGCCGTATACTGGATAATGTGTACGATCACCATATTAGTGCTCGGTTTCTCGACATACCTTCCAAAAAGCCTTACTTAAATATCACCGCGACACAGAGGAGATGAGCGGGAACAAAATTCGATAGCGCAAAGAGTCATTAGAAGTTAATTTTCGGCTTTCGCGGCAGTCCGTAAATCTTATGTACAGAATAGGGACAGCCGTCCGTGGTAAAATACAAATGGTACTATATTCAGAAAGTGAACATCGACGCGAAAATGACATTTCACAATACGGGATCGTTCGCAATAAGGACGTTATTTGTTCTTGTTGAATCTAGAGGCTGCTGACTAATGAGAAATTGCCTTATGCTTGCAAGTTTTCTCTTGCTGGTGTTGACGTATGCACACATTGCAGCAGACTGAGCGCGGTCAAGAAATCTTTCACCCACCACAGTGAATATACAGGATCGCATAGTCCAAAACTTTCACTGCGGTGCGCGAGAGCCGTTTCGAGACACTTGAACTTGTGGAAGTGGCCTCCCCGGGTTCCAAGAGTCAAGGTAGTGGCAAACACCATATACTTCTGAGTCTCTTTCAATAGTAAGTCTTTTGTACTATGTCATTTTTCACTAATCGCGTTGGAAAAGGGGCTTGTTATTGTCTGAGCCTGTATGACCGCTTTTACACGAAAACCACCAGGTCTCAAATCTGACATATTGGACAACCTTATCTACTCGATTGCGACGTTGTCTCGACTTTCTCACTAGATAGGTTGGATGAAAAGCTGGTAAGGCTGCAAGTGATCCCCACGAGCCTTACCGCTGCGCCGTTCTGCCTTTCGAGCGCGTTTCTCCTGGCGTCTCTCAGCCCTAGCCTCCCTTTTCTCGGCACGGCGCTGTCTTTTATCAGACTTGTACGACACCAACGGTGCACGTCCATGTCCGTGTCCATGACGACTCCTGCAGTCTTCAGAATCCGATGACGAAGACGAAGATGAAGACGAGGAGCAACTTGAGGTACGGCGACGGCGGTCATTTGTCATGTGGCGCTGGCTAGCATCACCAAACGGTGCCGCACCCTCACGGCCGCTCAAACGCTCGGACGCTTGGCAGAGAACCGCCTCCATTCTGCGAGGTCCGAAGAAGTACTGAAACAAAGGTAAGTATTCTGATAGAGTTTTGTAGGACTGATACTCACGTAATTCCAGTGATCGATTATATCTCCCGCTGCATTGCGATTCTTCGCTTTCATCCTTCTCTCGATGGCCGAAGTCAGGAACAACCCGCCTAAGATTACAGATATTGAATCATTTCCTGCCAAAAAAAATTGCGCTACGTACCAACAAGACTGGCTCCTACCATCAAAGGTATGACATTCGATTTGATGCGCTGTCCTCCAGATAATGAACCTCCTTTCTTGACGTCTGCTAGAAATCTGAAGATATTGGGTCAATCCAAATGGAACGTTGCTGATGGAAAATATACGTACCGTATCCAATCTTCCTCCGTGATATCATGCGTCGCAAATGGGTGAGGATGTGCTTGACATGGAGGAGGCAACTCCGGGAAACCCTTGCTCAGGTCTTTATCTTTGGAGATGAGACACATGGGAGGAAACTGGCTGTATGGGAGATGCTGAGGTGGCCGGCGCTCCCACATTGGCGGAGTGCCCGTGTTACCAAAGAATGAAGCCAAGGACAACCCTTCAGCCCCGCCACTGGGCGACGGGGCGCGATCTTGTGGCACAGCACCGGGGTTCTGGCTGTATGGACTTAGGCTGTTGTTGAGCTGGTATAAAGGATAACCCGATGGTCCTGCTCTGTTCTGGTCATAGGGAGACCTGGCTCCTGGAGCACCCTGTTGGTGTGATAGATATTCCCCGCCTTTTTGGTCGTTATAACCAGCTGATGGGGCTTGATGTCCTGAAGGAAGCAGGGATCCTGATACCAGGGGCGCCTGGTATGTTTGGGGTTGAGATACTTGTGATTGAGGGATGTGCCCTTGATACGCATCGCGCGGAGTATAAGGTGACTCCTGGGTGTATGCAGGGGGTGGGCCCAAAGGTGCCTGGTATTGATTCTGCTGCTGCTGAGCAGCCGGGTCAGGGGGCTGTACCCAGTTTGTGTACGGGTTGTTTGATTTTTCGTCAGGATATTGAACCATGGCTAGTTTGCAGAAATGTTGTGGGGATTCCAAATTACAATCGTCATAACGCCCGCGTTGGTTTTTATATGGATATTCTCGGTTATTAGTGGTTATTATTGTCTAACTCTTTACGGTTGCTGCGCTACATCGCCTATCGATTCATGGCAGTGGGGTTGGAGCTGATCACCTGTCTGCATGGGAAATGCTCGTCTCCAATTTACCTCCGACCCAGGGCTGTACAAAAATAGCCTCAACTGCGGAAAAGGACAAATTGCGCAGGGTTTTTAAGCGACGAACAAGGGCAACGTCATGCGGCAAGCTACAGCGCCGTCACAGCATATGAAACTATCAGCTGAAATCCAGTATACTAATTATCCTCATCGTAAAAGACAACATATTGCGATAAGACATGAAGAGTGCAGTGCGAAAGAGATGGTGGGAAGCAAGACGATAAGCCATGTTCCTATAGACGTAATCGATATGGTATGGATGGACCGAAGTTAACATCAGGGGAATGGTATGCATGAGGGTAAGTAGGAAAAAGTGGAAAATTGCGTGCACGTGTCTCCTAACAACGATGCGTGAATTCGTGAGATGCCGAATGGTTTGGTGAATGTGGTATGGAACGATAGGTGGTGGTGATAGATCATCACATCTAGGATCGGTAAGCCTTCGGGAATCAATGAAAATAATAGGGTGCACACCGAGTGCTGGTAGCTGCGTCCTCTTCCAGGACCTCAAGAACCCAAGAAAAAGCGTAAAACCCAATTTAAAACTGATGTCAAGTACGTTACAAAGTCCGGTCAACAAAAAAAATCACCTACGTCGACCGGCGACTATCCTCAAAATCTGGCCGACAGATGAGCCTTGTACATTGCCTCGATTTGACGGATTCCCTCGCCACAGCTGATAGGATGATATTCAGTAAGCAAACGTGCCGCTGACGGTGTATGCGAGTGAAGACCGACGTCAAGATGTTTATGGCCACCGTTTGACCCAGGTGCACCCGCAGCTAGCACTTCTGGTGCATGATCGCCACCTGTCATCAATCCTTTTTGATCGGCTACTCCCTCCCTTGTGTCCATCTTGGAGCCAGAAGCACCAGCTGCACGGACGGCATGCGCTGAAGGGTGACGACGGCGCACAGTGATTTCCGAGTCGGACGCGGGGTAGGCATCTACTTCGGTAAAAAGATTGCAAGAGCCCCGGCCGCCTGTTTTGAGGTCGCTAAGGTCGCTCTGTTGACTCTCTACAGAGCCCTGGCGCTGCAGGCTAAGGCTCCAGGCACTCCGTTTGTTCACCAGGCCGGGTGGAACGGGTGGTTCTCGCACAGACCGCAGCTTCGGATGGGTTCTGGCTTTTCTGGGGGGAGGGGCAGTGAGGGGGAAAGATTTTGTGACTTGCGGAGACCAAAAAGGCCAGAGTGAATTGGACGGAGATGTGATTGTAATTGAGGAGGAAAGTGGTAAAAATGGATCGCTTGATGTACCTTGAGTAGGAGGGAAAGGGTATTCATAGCGTTGCGATCCGAAATCAAAGGGAGTCCCAGTTATCTGAAGCATTCCAGACGAATGTCAGGATCGTGCAGTTCTTCGAGAACATGTATATTAATCGAGAACAACGAGAACAGGGTTTGTGATTATGACCGCCACTCCACTACACGTGTCATTGGATCAATAGAAACTTACCTCCCCAGAGGAGCCAGATGATATGCTGAATCCAGAGTCAGAATGAGAAGCCTCGGATGGAGAATTCTGGGGAAGAGGAGCCGGGGAATGTTCCTCGTGGTCAACCTGGTCTGAAGAAGGTAGCGAGGACACCTCCTCCGCGTTTAGATTCTCCTGAGACTCTGCTGTAGCTGTCCGCTCGTCACTTGAGTGTGACATTCAGTAGTCACTTGGTTTTGAATAAGTCGACAGTTGAAGGAGAAGACGGAGAACCCGTCTCAAGCAAGTCAGCGGACCATTTACATTTCCTGCAAACGCTGGCGGAACGTGTGCGGGGAATGTGACGCTGTGCGTGGGCCACGATCTCGTCCATCCGTCACGTCACTCTCTAGAAGCGTCTTCGTCTTCGAAGTTCTATCTCTTTTGTCCTGGTCGTCCGGATCATAATTAGTCGAACGGCAGGATAGATCCTCGTAAACGGCGTTGCTCCGCGAACTGTTGCGTAGTACAAGGAAGACTTGTATAAAAAAGTATGTCAATGACACGCAGAGTGACCTGTTAAATACCCAAGTGCGCGATAGTTTGACGCGCGGTGGTTTATAGGCAAACTGGAAGCGTCGGGTGATTAGTTGGAGTGACTAGGTGATGTCTTGAATTTTCTTACGTTTATAGAACGTGTATTCAATGGCTAATAGGCGGCTGACCAGGAGCATTGATTAGTAAAAGTCAGCCTCCGAGTCTGTGCTCAAAGCGATGCCCGTACCGAGGCTGGCAATTGCATTGTTCTCCTCACGAACTACTGCTGTCCTTACTTGAAAGCGAAATTATGCCTGTACGTCGGGTCGACTCACCTCAACAGCCTGGACCCGGTTTCTTCCTACGTCTCTGGCTTTTCTTCGTTGGACTCGCCCACTCATTCGCAGGCTTGTTCGGCTCAAAGGCTACTCCTACTACCTTGCCAACGCCGGTGACGGCGGGAAGCCAGACTGCCCGTCACAGAACGCCTCCTGTTCCCAGACGACTCGAGCTAGTGGATATCAAGCTCTCTAACAGGCGCAGTCCCCAGCGAAGCTCCCAGAGAAAAAAGCTTTCGAGTCCGTCTCCGGCAGTGCGTATGCCAGCAGAAATCCACCGAGGCAATGAAGATTTGCAGACAAAGAAACATGCAACCTCCTATCCTGGTTTCATTGGACGAACGGCATCTCCTGGTCGTGCATTCGAAGGTGGCATTCTTCTTACACCAACCCCACTCAGCACTTCCGCCCAGCCTTTAGATCGGGACTTTAGATGTTGTAACAGCGTCACGCCCGTTGTAGCTGAGATCTGGAGCCCAGCTTTGGTATCGAACGGCCCTCTTCCATCCCGAGGGATCTCATTGCGTATCACTTCCATTCGCAATCCAAACGGCTCGATCTTGAGCTTAAGTCCAGTGAACCCTCGTTTAACCGATATGCCCCGTTCAACTGGCCCTCGTCTTCGCATCTTTCCATCAGCGAGATCCACTCAAGTGAGCGCATCCGAGTCGGTTCACAGCTTTAGCGCGTCCCCATTCGCAATTCGGCGTGGTTTTTCAGGAGCATCTGTGAAGATACCTCAATCCTCACTCCGTCTCGAATCCCCTTGGAGCCCCTCAGACAAGACACTACCCCATGATATGTGGTTGAATTCAGAAGGCGTTCTGGTCAACGTTCGAGGCCCTGTCTTCTCAGTCGATGCTGCTAAATCTTCGCAAGATGACGTTGTAGTACTCCCACGTGGACCTTACGCGACACTTTCGCACGCTCCTTCTTCTCGGTTCTCGGACGACGGCGACGACTTTATATCCATCTGTTCGAATATCTTCGACCTCCCAGAAGAAGAGAAATACGAGGAAGAAGGATCCAGCAAAGGCACATCCCAGGGCGACTGCTTTGCTGTCAACGATACAGACAAGGGTTCTCCTCCTGGCGTCGTTATGACAAATGTACCTTGTCCCATCGACGACCCCGTCGTTATCACGCATGATTCCATTCCCGACGCTACCCAGCCTTCTACGGAGGACATTGAGTTCGAGAACGTGGACAAGAGTGACACGACATCCGAGCTCGAAGAAGGCTTCTTTTGCTTCGTCTCTCAGTCTAAGGTTGATCTAACCTCGGATGACCAAATGCCTGGCCTCACCTATATCCCTTCCCTGAAATACCGACAGGTACGCCCTCTCAGCATTGCCATCGAACCTGTTTGTCGCCCCGATCGCAGCACCAAACATTTCTCGGTTCCTTGTCTGCACTCTGTCCGTAACTTTGATGAGAGCCCGCTTCGCACTTCGACCTCGGATTCTTCCCCTTCCAAACCTTTCCCCGAAGCTGCGGAAAGCAAAAGTTTGAGAGCTCTCGCTGACCTTATCTCTCTGCTGGATTTTCCTGCGATGGAGGCTGCGGAGACCACTAGCGTTTTTGAGATTCGTGGGTGATTCTTACTTGGAGCGGGCCGATTGACCAGACGTTGTTCTGTTGTATTTTTCCTGTCTTTACTATGTTCGACCAGATTGTATCTCCTGATATCCGTGGCTGATTGAGTGGTTGTCTTTCTGTTATATATTCCCTGTCTTTACTCCCATCGACTAGATTTTTTTGCCACACGAAAGTTGTCTCGTTTCAAATTGTCAGGTCTAGGGGCTATCTATTATAATATAATCGTGGCGCTACATACTCTAATTAAGTCCATACCTGGGCGCCTGAACCAGGAGCTCGCTTAGTTACTTCCCATTTCGAACATGTAACAAGTTGTATTAGATACTTACATGCTGATGCTGCGTACAAGAACAGCAGCTCAAGCCAACTTGTAACGATGACTTGGAGCAAATTTGAAGTACGTATACATGATTATTCAAATGATAACCCTATTAGTATGATGATACTAAAAAAGGGAGTTCCGAACTCCGACATTGGGGCTTCTTTACGTCTAATCAGATCGCTCAAATACTGCAGTGGAACTGCACAGTCGTTCTATTCCCTTTCATCCCACCTCATAACATGTTCTCCTCTTTATTTTCGTGAGTGGAAGTTCTGGTCTGCGATTTTGCTCTGAAGGATTTGTAGCACTGCACCCCCCGTCGATCCGAAGGCCCCCAATTTATTCCCTGTCTCGGAGAAGTCAGATCTCCTCGGGGAGCTAGAGGCCAAGGATCTTGAGTGGACATGTGCAGGAGGCTTCGTGACAGAAACGCAGATATTTTATCACTTCCTACAGGATGGGACTATGTTGATGTGTCAAGTGATCCACTCGTCAATTGGGTAAGCAATTCTGTTCGTTTACGCTTATTCAACATGACTCATGTTATTCGGCAGCTTGTGGTACCCTACCATTCAGTTCACATGCAAGATCTACAATCCCACAACGAAAGAGACGACTTGGCGTTCTGTTAACGTTACAAACTTTGTAACCCCTCCCCCTGGTCTTGACAAGAGATCCAGCAAGGCAGATCAATTCTCCATCACCTATAAGCCTTCCTCGGATGGTTCTCATCCTGAAATGTACACCATTCGCGCAAACCTCTCAGACGACTTGCAGGTATCACTTGATGTATCGCGGCCCTCTGCTGTACCTGGGTTCAAGATCGGCAAGGGGCCAAAAGGGGGGTTCTCGTACTTTGGGTCAGATCAACAGAAACCAGATGGCTATGTCGTCCATCGTTTCTGGCCTCGTACTAAAGCCAGCGGTCACATCATCCACAACGGCCGGGCAATCACTGCTGAGGGCCACGGCATGCTCGTCCATGCCATCCAAGGCATGCGTCCAAACTTGATCGCATCGCGATGGAACTTCGCAAACTTCCAAAGCGACGCCTATGGTGGCGTGTCTGCAATCCAAATGGAATTCAAAACCTTGGATACCCACGGACGCCACGGGGCTGGCTCTGGCGGAGTCACAGTCAACGTTGGTTCATTGGTGCTTGGTGGGAAGCTGGCCGTGGTCACAGCAGAGACTGGATGGTCTGACGAAGCACAGCCTGAGAAGGCCGCAGTAATGTCGCGTGCCCATCACCTCAACCCTGTCCATGATCCGGACACTGGCTACATGCAGCCTACTGCAGTTGAGTTCCGATGGGCAGGTTCGCCCCTGCTTCAGGGTGTGGAGGGTTCTGTTGATGCATCTTTGCATCTCGATGTTGGCAGTCCATCTTCACCTAAGGGGTTGATCGAAAAGGTGGACGTACTTGCAGAGATCCCGTATGTGATCAAGACGATGGTTAATTACGTTGCTGGCACGAAGCCATACATCTATCAGGTGATTAGAGACGTTACATTCAACTTATCTGATAACTAACAGTAATCTGATAGTGGCAAGACAAAGTCAAGCTTGCTGTACGTGGTCCGGATGCAATTATCCCTGGACTTTCCGAGGGATTAGAGATAGAAGGGGTGATATACACAGAAGCCTCGTTCATATCTTAGATGTCTACATATCTTCACATCTACATTTCCTCCTACGTGTAAGTATACTGTTGCTCTAATGTAATATTATGGAACTATGTGCGTTCTTTATTGCCTCTGAGCTGTGCAGAAATGCTCAACTTAAGCTTCATCCCTGGATGCGCAACACCTTTAATTAAATAGTCGAATGAGACACCTACACCGAAATCACAGAGCAGACGCCCTTTCGTCTGAACGGCTGACAAAAGAGCAAGAAAAATGTACAGGATGGCTGAAGGTTATCAACATAGTCAGGAATAGACGAGAAGGTATAAGAATTTCACGTACACCGCGACACCAGCAGTAAATTCTCTCTTCACATCGATTTCCCCACCCAAATCGTCCTTCGACTTCACAATGCGAAACGTCGCGAGGATATTCACAATGGCGATCCAGATCAGTGCCTCTGCTGTGAATCTCCCCGGACCTATGGTCATACGTTGAGCTGCTTGAATGGACTCAGTCGTTATCCGAGGATGACATACATATACGACGACCGAGCCCGAAAATCGGATCAGCGGAGATGGGCCGGAGGCTCAAATTGCGATCACTGGCTAGAAGGTGCCGCTCAGGCCTGAATTCTTCAATGTCGGCCCCATGTTTCGATTCATCCCTGCTCATTGCCCTTCACGAGTGATATCAGCCAGTGTTAAAATATGCGAATCCCGCACACAAACCAAACATTGTTTATCACGAATGCCCCTGGAATCTTTCAGCCAGTTAATCTGAGTGCTTAGTTAGTCTGTTCTCACCCTTAGGAATGAAACGCCCATCATAAACGTCGTCCTTGGAAGTCGCATGGGGTATGCCTGTCCCCACGTCAGACACAACAAACCTGCTGAATGATATGTGACTAACCCAGAGGAACCACAGGAATCCATCTCAACAGCTCTCGAAGGATCGCATCAACATACGGTAGGAGCGGTCGGTCTTCAAATTCTGGCAGTCTGCTAGTTGTCCCTATGACAGAATCGATTTCTGCTTGAGCCTTCGCCTGCACATCTGGATAGAGGATCATTGCGAGAATGAACGTATGCAGTGTCGAAGAGCTCTTTTAGCGCACTTGTCAATCACGGTTTCCAATACGCGGAAGATATATTTACCGACTCAAAACCAGCTGCGATGAGTTTTACAGAATGTTGAGTATGTGGCCAGGATACGTATGAGGGGCGGACGAATACTTACCTATAAATGCAGTAGCTGCCGCGGCTTTTATGGCGGTTTCTTGTTTTTGTTGGTCGTCCTTCTCATCAATCTGAGCTAAGCAATCAGACACCATGGAATGAGTCGCCATCCCTGCAGCCTAGTGTGCGCACACGATAATTCAGTGTCACTGCTACTACTAGTACTTACATTGGCTGAATACATACAATATTTTTCTTGACTAAATCGAGCGGTACATTAAGTACATGTCCTGCTAATGCCCTCGCACGAGCAGCGTCACGTCGAGATCCCGCGGCAGGAAGCCACGCAGGTAGACGAGTGACTGATTGAATCAGAATCAGTAACACTCTGGTACATGCTTTGTTCGCTCACGTATGGGAAACGCAGACAGAATCGCACTACGCTCGGGGGAGAGTGCCTTTGCAAGTATATCGACGAGTTCTTTTACAGTTGCGACTATCGGATCGTTGGGTAGAGCTACATCGTAGCCGTAGGTAAACGCCATAACATTAGAGGCGATATACCTGGATAATGTTAACCTTGCATAGGTTGCCTTTCTCCATTATTGCGATGTGATTTACCTCTGAATATGGACTTCGAAATGTGATGGATCATAAAGCAGATCCTTCAGCAATGGTCGGATTCTCTTCGTGTGGATGTCATGATAGCGTGATGCGCTCTCTACGCGAAGCGCGTGGTGGAACATCTTGCGGTGAAGCTTCCAATCGCTATCATGGTAAGGCAGCATGACAGTACTGAAGTCAACGCCAAAACTTGATTATCATCAGCATAAAATTGTGATCAAAATGCAGATGAAAGCGTACAGCTTTTTTGTCGCAATAAAGGGGCGATCGGAGTATATGGCGGAACGTTGATCCATGAGTGCTCTTGCAACCTTTTCCGAATTGACCACAATAAAGTCAAGGCCAAGGAGGCGGAAATAAATCAGATCACCTGTATTAGAGGTGGTCACACCATCTTGTTAGTAATGTATCTGCCGCGCACCATATTTTTTCCTCCACTGTGTATATGTTAGCCATGGCCGGGTAATATTCAATTGGAGGAGGTTGCCCATGAGGGGAAGTGGTTTAGGGCCTGGGGGGAGTGGTAGTCCGGTGGTTCCCTTACACCTTGAAATGACCAAGGAAACAAGAACACAGCCAACCAATATCCAGGTACCAGGGGGATTTGTGAGACCGTTCATATTGTGGGGGGAATGATGACATGAGTGACGTGCATTGCAATTTATATGTATCTTGTAGACCCGTCGGTAGTCGAGAGAAAATCCTCCTTTCGAAGTGCTCAGCATGTAACTCAAGGATAAATATTTATTGGAATATATTTGATCCTGCAGCTGAAGTCGAGGCATGGATCAACGATTTGATGCGTGGTTCAAGGAACCAGTATCATTTAGGTGCCGATTGCCACGTTAGGCAGACAGAACGACATGGATTCATTTTTAAAAAGCCTGGTGCATCGATCAGGGGACTTTCCCCACAAGTAGTCTGGAGTGTGAACAGGAAATACATCAGTTTGCCTCTTGATGTCATTACAATAACACTACCCCTAAGAGGTCGTGACTTCCTTGAACACTCACTCAATATTTTCCCGAACACATGGTTTTATTGACGAGGGATCGCGCTGAGTTCCGGGTCGTTGTCACGCTGAGTGGTGATCTGCCGTTGGGAAAAAAATTGAGTTCAGTGTCCTTTTGACCGTTCGATCGCGCACAAACACCGCGCCCGCGGTAGCCGCCAATGATTCCTTTGCTCAGCCGAGATGAGCCGCCTGAAGCCAGCAGCCGCACCTGTACATCACCAAGCCACTGCCTCAAATTCCATACAGGCGTGCTGTGGTAGCTTGTGACATTTCTGTGACTTAACGAGTAGAACGCAGGCGATATCACCGTGAGTGTCAAAACGCATTGACTTATAAGGCCAGCTATCACGAATCTTTGTATGAATTAAACTCGTCACTCAGAAGTTATGAATTCTGTGGGATTGCGCTAAATTATGGCACAAGCAATTACTCGGAGAGACGTTTTAAAAGTAAGCGAAGATATCTTACAGAGATGAGCCTTAGATGAACGCCCTGGCCGTTATTATCCCGCGCGATTTAGGGAATTCATGACATCATACACCCCTGGTATAAACTAAAAAGTCTGAATCGAACGGGGTAAAGAAGTTGAAGCGGTCAACAACAGCAAGTTTCAAGATTTAAACAAATACTCGCGGATCCCAAGGATTCCGATCCCTTCCCGCTGTTATCCTGACAAGGAATTTTACTGCTTAAACTTGGATCGGCGATGTAGACGACCAATGACAAACGATAAATCGGTGACTGGCGAACGGCATAGCGGAAGAGGAAGACGGTAGCGCACGGCCCCGCTCAACAGGCTCCGAGGGAAACTCCACTCGATGTTTCGAACAACCTTTCACCCTTGATTGACTCTTGACTATGCGGAGCGATGCACGTAAAGCTAGACATAAGGAACCCGAGTCGGGCATCGCGGGTTTGAGGTTGGCGTACATCGAAAGCTGCTGAGCTATTCCAGGGGCATAACGCAAACCAGATGGAGACGCACACCTTGGTATCGGAACCTTGACAAGATGATCACGATGATTCCATCGGGGGATGATGAGACTGGTGGAATGTCCAAAAGCTTTGGATTGAGGAAGCAGAACACATAATATACTGCTAGTCATCATGGGACAGTCAATAAACGAAGCGATACCTAAGTTAGTCAGTTTTTCTTTTTCGACTGCCGTCCATATATGATACTTACAGCCTCAGGCACTCTTGGCTCCCAATCCGTAGAAGAAGAGTATTTCCAAGGAAATGGTAAAGGTCCGACCATGAATTGCGCTTTTCTGTGTCATGATCAAGAGACGTGTCGGAGCAACAACCACCTACCCACAAGCTGATTAATGAGGGATCGCGAGGATTAGTCCATGCTTCACCGGGGGCTGGCACTTAAGGAGATGCTGCTATATATATAACCTACCGAGATCTCCACACTTCTCCGCAGCACGTGTGATTTGAAAGCTGGTAGATTTCAGTCACGTCATTAGCAAAGGTGGCCGATCAGGTTGCAGCCATATAAACTAGCAGCAGAGGAAATTCACCCCGATAGCCTGGCAAGTCCCAATAGTGGATGGCGAACGCGCCCACTAGTGGGAAGTCCAGTTGCTACAGAATGACGGTAGCACAGAGAGTACCCATTGGGCCGCACAGCCTTTGAAACCACTTAACAGCACACAGCCACAATAACATCAACTCTATTGCGGAACCGCAGCTTCAGCCATCAAACGCTATCGTAAACTTGGGAAATACGCTGGTTTGACAGAAACATGTACAATGTTTCGCCCAGCATTGAAAGTCACATTGAGAGCTACTCCCGTTTCCTCGATACTCTGGCGCTTCCCTCCAGCTAGCGTTCGAGTGGTACGGGTAGCAGCGCGTTCAAGTTCATATCATGTACTCCATTCCACGCCAAAACCCAGCGGTTTAGTCCTCGTTCAAGCTGATGTTTGCAGGAGGAGGACAATACGGTATGCGCAGGGAGGAGTAGCACAATTTCATTCTTCTCGGTCAAGCCAGGGACTTCCACTCATACCGATGCTACTGGGTGCTTTCAAGGCATGTTTACCTGAATGATTCATTCTTGCGAGTCCTAGACTTCGTTTTACAGGCTTCGACTACTATAGAGGTGGCGCGTACCGCTGGGCGTATTGCGCTCACGTTCCTACCCCTCATCCTGTTCAAAAATAGCTGGTCAAAGAAATACCTCAAGCACCATGATAAATTTCACCCTGGTGAACCAGTCGACGAAGAGAAAAAGGCCGCCCTTCTCAAAAATATACGTGCAAGGACACTTCTCTTTAACGTGCTTTTGTTTGTCCCTGTCGCACTATTTTGGCTGGCAATTCTAGCCAGCGCTGAGCAGACACCTATTACAGGGCGGTATGTCACAAATAATATTCAATCTCTGTGTTTCAGCTAAGTCTCTCTACAGGTGGCGGCTCATTATTCTATCTCCCGAAGAGGAGGATGAGATTGCTGCGCAACTCAGAGGATCAAATTGGTATCACGCTGTCACAGAAATTCTCTCGACAGACGAGCCGCCCAGTTTGATTCCAACCACTGATTGGCGATACCAATGGGTACGTGACACCCTACGGCGACTGGAGGCTGGCATCCCCATACTACAGCGCGAACAAGAGCTAGCCTCCCATTGGTTAGATACACCACCTGATCAACCACCATTACCTCCACCTGCAGAATATCCCTTACGACCTCGACCCCGAGCCATGGACACTATGAGGAGGTGGTCAGAAGGCCTCTGTGGACGAAATTCACCACACTCAGCTCATGTCATCGCTGGACCCCCATATTCACTTCTTATCGTTGACAAACCCGATGCTGCTAACGCCTTTTCGTACGGCTTTGGGCCAGATGGCGCTTGCGGCGTCGTAGTCTACTCTGGATTCCTTGACAACATCCTCTCGAAGGCTCCTTCATCAACCATCTCCTCTGGCTACACGCCACAAACTCTACCTGAAGAAACCTCTTGGTGGACACACCTTTTCGGTTCGCTCTTCATCTCACCGCTATCCCCATCCGCATCCCACCCAGTACCCACAGAAGAACAAACAGCCGAACTCGCCATTCTCCTTGCCCATGAAGTTGCACATCTCGTTCTCTCGCATCACCTTGAGACGCTCTCATCCGCCACCATCATGGTTCCTGCCTTGATTTCCATGTTTGCTGATATCACGCGCACCCTCTTATTCCCGGTAACGATGCTTTTTGGCCCTTTTGTCAACGACGCAGTCGCCCAGCTAGGCAAAGTCGGTTCTGGTGAGCTGACTAAAATAGGGGAATACTGCACGAGCGTGCATCAGGAGATAGAAGCGGATGTTGTATCCGCCAGAATCCTTGCACATTCTGGGTTCGATGCGCGCCAGGCAGTAGCGTTCTGGGAAGACAAACAAAATGCGCCCGAATCTGCTGAATGTTCTCTGACGGGTCGCCCGGGGACACATAACTCCAGTTGGACGCTTGCACGGCAGATCACGGGTTCCTCACATCCTGTGAATGAAGTGCGAATAGAGAAACTCAAGAGCGAGCTAGTCCGATGGGAACTGGAAAAACGCGTTGCCGAGAAGAAGCGCATTATGGGAGAGCCAGAACGAAGCTCGATCTTGGGGTTGGTTTGAGGTCAGAGTACCCAGATTTTGGGTCTCCAGACTCAGGAAATATTACAATTACTTACTGCAGTTCATTCCTTTTGTTATCTTTGATCTACCATTTATCATCAGCGTCTTCCTGCTTTCAGTTATACAACATAGGCAATGTTCTTTGTACTCATTTTGTTGTCACTAAGGTATCTAGAGATGTAGTCACTTGGTACCCCACTCCTCCATCTAATGTCACGTCGTTTGCACTGGAGCCTTGGAAATTCAAACCTTGAGTTCTATGCTTCATGGCCTGCATCTCGGACCAAGGCTCGCTGACGATAACATTCTAAATGGTTTAGTGTGGAAGATCCGTTCGCACCGGGGTCACGCAACTGATGTGCGATCACACGGTAAGGAAGATTAACTGCAAATGTGTATTCGAGTAGCCCATTAAGTACTGGCAAGGAGTGGCTGTTGCTCTCTGTTATCAGTTTCTGCAACTGAAGGGTGGTATTTGCGTGTCAACCGTGCGACCAAAGCGCCGTCATCTAATCGTTCTACCTCCTCTACGATAGTATACCCTCCTAACCACGGCAAGAATACAATCCACAGCCAGTAGTAGACTCCGCACAACTGTAAAAGGTCAGTTTCAAGTGAAATTTCATTTTGTGGGTAGTATACGCACTGCAAGGACACCAAGGCCCACTACACAGTAACTGGATGGATGTGGTCAGATGTGGGCCAAAAATGCAACGGTGTTGAACTTACGTTGCGTACCAGAAAGACACGTCGCCATGACCAGGTTCTGGTGGTACCCTAGTCGAATAAATCAGTTCTGGTACAATGCGTAGATTCGGAAACACAATACCAAGCCATAATGAGGATAAATACTGCGCCGAGGAGGTAAAGGGAAACGTAAATATTTCTCGCGCGATACTTGGAAGGTGCGAGGCCGGCAAGCGATCGCCGTCGGCGAAGAAGCCACACTCCTACAGCAGTTGCAGCTGTAAACACCTAGGAATTGTTCAGGAAATAATATGCGACAATGGAGTAAAGATCCTACTTGACCCGGATAAGAAACCAAGTCCACCAAGAAGTTGAATGCATCTTGGGCGGGGAGGGCGACCATCACGAAGACTGTAAGAAAGTACCTCAGACACACAGGTGCCAATGGGGTGCCAAATGGCTTGGTCGACGCAAAAAATCTTGGATACGGAAGCAGCCCTTGACGGGCAACCTCACGCAATATGCGTGCCTGACCAATAGTCTATGAAATTAGGCAGAATATAGTTTTTACAATAACGAGCAGTCTTAAAGTGTGTTGCTCACCACGGCGAGCTAGACATGCATTGGGTGAGTACCTCAGACAAGCGGAATACATAGATCACAAACAATGCTTCCGAAGCAACTCAAAGCAACCATGATAGGCAGGGTTTTGGCTGCGAAACCCTGTCCGAATACACGTTGAAAAAATAGAGCGGCGATGAGCTGCCCCGAACTGCTCATCTCGTCCTTTGGCACTGCTGCCACGTACGCAACATTGGCAAAGAAAAAAAGACACGTGACCGAAAGCAGCGACAGGAGGCCGGCTTTGCGTACTGTGCGGACAGGATCACGCGTACGGACTTCACCAAGGACATTAAACGCGTTGTGCCAGCCAGAGAAGGCAAAGCTGGTCTTGACTAGGGCGGTAGCCAGGGAATTTGGATTGGTTGTGCTACCGCTGAAGGGGGACCGAAAATTGGCATATGGATCACGTATGCGAGTAAAACCACCAAGTACGAGGGCCCCAGTGAAGACTAGGCTAAAAGAACAATCGGTCAGTATGACGAACGGCGAATGACGCACTCACAAGGCAATAGAAAGGACCTTTAACACACTAAGAAAGTTCACAGCTCTTAAAGACCATTTGGTTGACAGGCCGACGACTGCATGGTCATGTTTCAGGTTGTACCTTAGCAGAAGAAACATAGGAAACTCACAAGCCATACCGACGGTGCAAACCGCTATGGCAATGGCAGTTTGCCTTGCGGGAGTAATGGGAACATCGAAAATTACAAGCACATACTGCGCAAATACAATGGAACTTGTTGCGCTAGAGCTGATCAGTGCGGAAACCCATCCCATGAATATCACATTCAATATGCAAACCGCAACACGCACTCCAGAAGGACTGCATTTACAGCAAATGCTACTGGGACCAAAAACTGTGGACGAGGATATGCTTGTTCCAAGTACACGACTTCTGCCCCAGACCTCTTTGGGAACATGCTTGCGTATTCACTGTAGACCATGAGACCGCCAAGTGCAAACAATGGAGCTAATAGCCAAAAGACGAAGAGCAACCCGATCGAGCCAACAGAATTGAGGGTGACGCCTGGGACAGAATATATCCCTGCGCCAAGCATTCGCCCGAGATTGAGCGTAACAGAGGACAGTAATGTAACCTCATGACCCAAGGGATTGCTCTCCAGAGAATATGAGTAATTATCGGATATACTATTAAGTGAGCTGTCGTTGCCTGTTCTATGGGTGCTCCCACTAGCACAATGTTTCCTGAGTCATCTTGGACGTCTTCCGAGTCGCTTTGGGTGTCAAGAGAGATAACTGAGTCAGAGTCCAGGGCGTTTTCTACGTTGGCTGCAGGCATGAGATACTACTACTAGGACGGTGGGTTCATTAATTTCGACTCCAGATCCTAATCAGGCGGGGTTTCAAAAAACCCGGTCACAAATGTATATGTGCGTGGCTGTGCTATCGCACAGTGCTGGGAACTTCAGAGATAATTTGAAGCCCTTGATCAATGCAGCACTCACTTACACAATAAGTTATATCCTCGTGGCAAGGCTCAAGACTGAAACTGAGGAAGATCTTCAGTCAGGTAGGCGGCAACTATTTAGTAAGTAACGGTGCATGACTAAAGCCACAAGTTGCGAACTTGCCCATTGAATGACGAGCGTCACCAGTGCACCACGCCAGGCTGCTAGGTCTGAGACCGAGTCTGACTACTATGTCGAACGATATCGTCATATGTATGTACTCGATCACCACGAACCCAAGACAAGTTTATAAGTATGTACACAGTACTTACTTGCTAATCCCACTGCACGGCTAACTATGCTCCAATGTGAATGAATACGACTCTCTGGTCCATTGGTACTTTATTCTTGTCGACGGCTTTGGAAGCTTTGTTCAAAGCCCTCGCCGCGTTCGTGCAGTCGATTTTACCACTGAACATCGCGTCATAGAATTCTTTCACCATGAGGTGAGCAGTGGTATCATCCACCGCCCACATTGTACCGATGACACCTCTGAAACCAGAAAATTGCATCCCCGCGGCTAGATGGATGACTTCATCAGGTGTGTTCTTGTCACCAACCGCTGTGTGACAGGCAGACAGGAAAGCAAACTCCGGGTTTTCCAGTTCGGCTTGTATGATGTCTAAAAGCCGCAATGGCTTATCACGGAGAGCGAAGGATGAATCGAAGGGCTGAACAAGATCTTGCTTGCCGTGGCATGCGAGGTGGACCCATGAATTGCTTTGCAAGGCTTGGATCGCCCCACTGACAGTTCCTTCATCCTCGGAAACCTCCGAGTATGACATTGATGGTGGTACAAGGGATTTGACCAGTTCAAGCTCAACTCCCACCGCTCCCAACTCCCTTTCTCCACTCCCGGAATTCGGTTTTGATTGACCTATGGAAACGAAAGACGAAGACTTCGATGCGACCTTAGATGCATTTTGCCTCCTTGAGCGTATCAATGCAGAGAGAGTTGGTGTGTATGACGAGACATAGATATTCGGCATGTTACTGGCACCCTTGCAGTATGGTCCTGCGGCATGAATGGGCATCGAAGTGAGCTTAGAAGTTGGGCACCACCAAACGCGAGAGCCCTTCGGCACGATGGTCAAAAGCTCTTCAACGATGGGAGCCAGTACAGAATCCCAAAGCCTGCGGAGGACAGGTATAAGTTGCTTTTCTCTCATCTTCTCTTCTCCAACTCCTGCGGTGTTCCGAAGTACATTGCGAAAGTCATCAGACGTGGTAGAAATACCCGCTAGCGAGGCATGGGGGAGTGGAATGAGTCGAGGAGGTCCGTCTTCGGTAACGATGATCCCATCACACCGCTTCACGCTTGCATTGATGATGACGACGGGGCCGGCAATCGCAGCTGCCTTCAGCTCCTTGTATGACATTGGGTTCAAGAAATACGCAAATCCTTGCTTTTGCTGTATTTTTGCCACTAGGACTTCCCACTGAGACGTGAGCTGGCGATATCGACGCGCCTCTTGTTCCAGCTGTGTTCTTCTTAGCGACTGAGCGACAATGCTGATACTTGAGAAGTCAGATTGCCTCCTCCCAAGTTGAGCGCTGAGGAACTCGAATTCATCCGCAAGTCGACACCCTTCATCATCAACAGCTCGCAAATCGTCGATGGTTGCTCGAAAGCGAGACATCTGTGACCAAAGTAGCCCTCTGCCTTGTTCTGAGAGTTCGACTGCCAGCTCGAGATCGCCCTCACTGATCGCGCAGGCGGTAGCATCTGCAGCGAGTGAGGACGTATCGCGCAATATACCACTGAGCATAGCCTTATAGCGCCCAGAAATCGTAGGAGTATCCATAATATGTCGATCGAGCAGCTTCATGGAAGTTTTGTATGCTTCCAGAGCCGACGGATGATGAAAAATATCGGCGTCCGTTCTCCAACCTAAAGCCGCAGTCAGCTGTTCCCATGTGCGGATTCCAGATGCGCTAGAAGCCAGGTCATGATACTGGAATGCCATCTCTAACCACGAGGTGTCTTTGGTGAGCGTGTGATAATCTCGGTAGATGATCGTATACAGGCTGTAAATGGGGAAAAACTGCGAGTGGCCTTTGGGCAGCTTCTCGCTGGCAGTGGCAAGAAGTACGAGGGCATTCTGAAAGTCGTCATCATCTTTATCCACCACCGCCCGCATATGCCGACAGCCTGCTAGCCAAACCAGCGTAAGCGGCAGGTCAATGTGATCATCTGGCGAGATTGTCAAATATGCCTCAAAATGAGCAATCGCAGCGTTTAGATCGTCGATCATCCGTCGTTCCAAGTACATCTTGTGCAAAGAACGAGCAAGGTTTCGGCGGAGGTGAAGCCCATGAGGGTTATGGGGGGAAAACATGGGGAGCGCTGTTTCAAACAGCTTGATGCTTTCTTGCAAATCATCGATGTCTTTGCGTTCGTTGTAGCGAGTCGAAAGTACAGTGGCAAGGTGGTAGGAAAAAATGTGCCCCTCTGATTGGTTGGGATGATCCCGGGCCAAATGTAGATAATTTACTGCGATGTCCAGATCAGTGATGTTATGTTGGATTTGGAAGCGGACGAAGATTGCATGTGCAAGATTTGCAAGACCTCTGGGATACTCTGGGTGGTTGGTGACCGAAGCACGGGCTTCGACAATATGAGTTAAATGAACTATGCTTTCGTCGAGGTCATCCAGAGGACTGAAGATGAGATACCGCAGCAGGAGAGTGTTTCCGAGACCTGAAAAGGCAGCCGAATGGTCAATGTGACCAGGAGGGCACGCCTCAGATGCCGTGCGATAGTGATCGATCGCGCAATTAATATCATCCGCTTTACCATTCTGCTCAAAGCGAGCTCGAAGTGCAGATGCTAGCTGAATGAGGGCACGGGAAAAGGCTGGATGATCTTTAGATAAATCTTGCATCATGTCCTGGTAACATGAAATTGTGTGCTCCAAATCATCCATGCTCCCTTCATGGAAATAACGCAGTAGGAGAGCATCTGCACGATCCATAGCAAGGATCTGGGCGGCGTAGTGATGTGGGACATCTTTGAGAGCTGAGTTGCAGCAGTCGATTATTCTCTTCAGATCTCCAACGTCCTGTCGGCGAGAAAACCGTGTGGACAAGGCGTTGTTGGCATGCGTCAACAGACGGAAGTAGTCAGTGTTCTCCCTCGGGCAGACTTGTATGGCTACCTCAGAGTGCTCGACAGCAGCATCGAGGTCATTGATATCTCCGCGCTCCTTGTAACGCACGATGAGGCAGTTGATCAAGCTCATCAGCACAGGTATATGTTCTGGATGCGAGGGTCCACACAGAGCCATGGAAGATGCTATGTGTGTTATAGCGAGATCAAGATCTTCGGGAACACCGTTAACGTTGAAGCGGGTCAACAGAGCGTTCCCGAGACTACGAAGGGAGGAGAAGCGATACAGGTGTGTAGGGGGCTGATTCGCCAAGGAGTTGGTATAAAGTGCGATGGAATATTCAAGGTCGTTGGTATCTCCACGCTGCGCAAATCTCATATAGAGAGCGCCCGCATAGTTGGCGAGGAGGGAGGATCGTGTTGGGTGATTCTCGGGACAAGCTGTCAGTGCAGCGCTGAAACGCTCTATTGCCGCATCCAAGTTCTGCAAGTCCCCGTCGCGCTCGAATGAATGCTGTAACACAATCCCGACATTCATGAGAACCATTGCATAAGATGGACTTTCGGCCGGACAAAGTTCTAATGCTCCACGATAGTATGCCATTGCAGTGGTGAGGTCATCCACGTGTCCTTTATGACGATAGCGAATACAGATTGCATCACCAAGGTTCGACAGAGTCGAGAAACGGCTTGGGTGGCCAGGTGGTCGCAGCAACAGACATTCTTGGTGGGTGTGAATCGAAAGGTCCAGGTCTTGAGCATCTCCGATCTGCTCAAAACGAGTTCGAACAGCGGAGGCGAAGTTGTTGAGGAGGTTGTGACGATATGGGCTATCTGAAGGACAGCTAGACATGGCGGCGCTATACATCTTGATGGCTTGTTGGATGTCCTCGAAATTTCCTTCCCATTCAAACCTCCTGCGAAGCATGCCTCCCAGGTTGACCACCAAAGGGATGTAATATGGTGATTCGGAAGTCCAGGATACTAGAGCTATACTCCAGTAATGTACGACTTGCTTAAGGTCGTCAATGCTATTCGAGTGACGGAGACGCGAATGAAACGCGTTACCAAGGCTGTTGGCGCAGGCAGCGTGATCATTACTGCCAAGAGGCAAGCCATTGTACCACTCAGAAAGGATTAGGATGGCTTCTTCTATGTCTTCATCTTGATGTAGCTGGTTGTAGCTGGTCATGAGACTGTTTGCTCGAGCACTCAACAACCCCCAGTCCATATTTTTTGGGGGACTGGTTCCAGCGTTATCGTCCGTAGGCTGGAGTCCAATTAGAGTATGACCAATTCCTATGACAACTAATGGTTCGTACAGGCGTAATGCACTTAGCAGCTGCATGGCCTGCATCGCTCCTGTAGACGGCACATAAGACGCAGCAAACACTCCCAAAAGCTGAATCAAACCTTTCTTCGTTCTGGGCTGGCATTAATCGGAAAGACAACGAAACACTCGATGGAGGCAGAACTACAGAAAACCCTATATCACGCATTGGCTGATCACTGATGGGAGAAGAAAAGAGGTAAAACTTGCCGTTATCTTGTTCGATGCCATGTGCAGCCTTCAGTTCTGCAAGAGAGTATTGCACTTCCCCTTCCAATGATGTGGGACTTGCTTCATCATCTACAACCTTGTATAGCTTGAACCGCATAACGCTAGCATCTTTCCCCGCGCTTCAAGAATAGATAAAAAGGGAAGCCAGGATGGAACTCTGACTTACGCATCGCATTTAGCGCTGAACGTGATATTACTCGCTCCAAGTATCTGGGTCGTTCGAAGGATTTCTGCGCCATCTAGCTCGACCAACACATTATATCGAGACCTTCCATCATGATTTTGTACCCCAATCACTGGAAATTTGTGAGCGATAGGTCAATCTGAGATGACAAGTAATCATTCCCATACGAGTCAACGTGTGCCTGCAAACGAGGCAGTCGTTTTGGCTGCTGAATAAGAACCCATAAGCACTGTTGCGCATGAGAAGATAAGTCTATCATACCCCGACATGTTTCTCACTTGCTTCTTCCTTGTAAGTATAAGTGAATCCGGGGATTGTTCGGGGATGTAAACAGAGGTACACTGTCCCAACCAAACCAAACAACAACATCTTCATCCCTTGCCAAGTTAGCATAGAAGGAAGGCGGTGGTTCCTTCATGATAACTTACTGAACAAATGTAGTCAATGTGAGCTCCGGGTAACCTGCAGGGAGATTGCAACTCGCAAATTAGGATTTGGAACCGAACTCGTGTCAAAAGGTACCATTAGCAGGTCAGCTCATCACTCCTGTACATGTAGTGACTATTATCGGTTTCCACACTTCCGGCCAATCCAGTACTCACTCGGCCGCCTGTAGTATATGTAGGAATACCGCACAATTTCTCACTGTAACTCATCCCTTACCTCGCACCAGCTTCCAGGCACTGCTATTCGAACATCGAATCACAAATCCGCGATACTACTATGGTGAGGTTTAACGAAGCCGTCCCGAGACTCACACAGTACGAGGTTTCGCCGAATTTGTGATGATTGAATACGGCCCTGGGACCTGGACAACTCTGGACGCACAGCAAAGGCTCATTGAATTTTGCACCACTATGATATGCGGTTCTATATTATAAGCAAGTTCTTGCTAAGACATCCAGGGTCTATCACCCACGTAAAGGAACACTAGCTGCCAACGCACAACGTATTCTCGACATGATGAGGTCACACTCATTATGTCGGGAGTTATGTTTTGCTCAGAGCGTCGATATCTGTCTCCCAGGTGAATACTATTGTGAGCTTCCATATAACCGCTGCTTCTTCCCACTCATTCCCAGTCATCCTTTTTGTTATCTCTACCACTGAATAGGTTTGGCCATTCGGTCTTGGTGTCTTCCCAAACCTCCTTTCACCTGGTCGATGAATTTTGGGTCATGTCATCCAACATCCCACAGGATCTGTGGCTTGAGCGATCTCGTCTCGATGGAATGACGTTAGGTGCTGTATCCTATGGTGCATTTTCAGTTGAAATGCGACAATTAGGAAGATAACTTATATACCACTGTAGGCGTGTTCTTTCTCCTTACAGTGCAAGCCGCGACTGCCCTCATGCAACGGCCTCGACATGGAAGGAAAGTTGCAGAACGTCGTCTCCGATTCATTCTTCTTTTCTACATCATCATCACATTCGTATTGGGGACGATAGGCTTTGCTGCGAACGCACGATACACAGAGATGATCTGGATAGACCTCCGCGATGCGCCTGGTGGTCCAGTCGTACTAATTGTCAACGAAATGAAATATTCTATCAATGTCGTGGCACTTTCCTGGTAAGTACCTTTGTCCATCCATCTCTGAACCTCTAGTGTTAACGATCTCGTAGTTATTTCGTCATGGAGTGGTTTATGCAAGCCCTTCTTGTGAGCTGAATACTTCGCCATATGAACTGACGCAAATCTGATGCTGAAATATTGAGCTTCACCGATGCTTTGTGATATGGAATTGGACAAGATATGTGATCATCCCGATGACCACTATCTATATCGCCATGATTAGTGCGATCCATCATTTATCAAGCGACAGCAATCACTAACATCTTGAGCAGTAACGTCTATTCTCGTCTTGATCCAGTCGAGCTTCGGCGCCATATGGTACAATATCAACACCCAGCTCATCTACCTCTGCATCGAAGTGGGACTCAGTGTGATTTATACCGTTCTCGTGACGAATCGTTTACTCGTCATGCGAGGCTTGATGAAGCAGGTCATGCGGGAATTTGATTCTAGCATTTACGATACCGTCATCATCATGGTCATCGAATCAGCCATGCTATACTCTGTCTGCGCCATTATCTTCATAGTTTCCTTCGGTCTGCATTCTAGTGTCTCCAATCTATGCTTCCTGTCTATTAGCCATGTCCAGGTAAGCAAATGGAAACCTGAGTCATTTGGGTCTCTGATACTATCTTGGTTTTCGCTCTAGGGCATTGCCCAATTGCTCATTATCATCCGTGTAGCACGGGGGCGGGCAATCACATGCGAGCGGTCAACCCCAGTTGCTGCAGTGTCTACGTCTATAACTTTCTCAGGGACGGTATCGGATTCACCAGGGGGAACCACTATTGAGGGAATAACTAGGTCTGAGCAGGACGGTACTTTGCATTCTGTTAAGGCTGAGGCGACGGAAGCAGGAGTGTTAGTATAGCATAGACGTGATGCTGAGGTTTAATTAGGTTTATACTTGAAATACTATTTTAACTCTGGGGATGCAATGATGGGTGTGTCTGTGTGAATGTGCGGTGGTCTGTTGTAAATATGTCAGCCTATGTCTGCGTGTGTGTGGGGAAGACTGGAACAAATCTTGAACAGATCTTACTTTCATATCATTAAGGTACCGGATGGTACCGGGCATAGCGTAGCCGACAAAGAGCCGACAACGTTTTTGACAGAACGGAACCTCATTCGTTCTTTGCACCTTGTTTTTTCTTCAGTGTTACTCCTTCTCCATATATATTAATTGGTAGGGGCCCGCACAACTTTTTCACTGTGGAGGTGTTGACATGCCAGTGATATCCTCCGAATCGCTCCAGCTCCATACTGAAGTGTGAAGCTTGTGCGATTCACTCTCGGAGGCTATGATTCGGCCAATCGTCAATCCGTGTTTACAATAACATTGTAGGCCGTTTCGATCTCATAGGCTGATCCGATAGCAGTAGTCCACTGCTGTAGTGATTTCACGCAGCACTGGACGCCCAGCGACTTGAATTGTTGCAATGACATCCAGGCAAAGGGACAATAGCCCTAAGATGTTGTCGTAACGCATTCCCGGGATGAGTGTGACACTCATCATGTTGGGAATATTCTGTCTCCCAGGTGAACACTGTGAATCTATTCCGAGTCTCTTTATAACAGCTGCGTCTTCCCCACTCGTCCCTGACTGTCCCCTTGGGTTATCTCCACCATCAGATAGGGCGAATTGGTGATTTTGTCTGGGTGTCTTCCCAAAACTCCCCTCCCCTGTTTAGTGACCAAATTTTGGGCCATGTCGTCCGAGACCCCACAGGATCTGTGGCTTGAGCGATCTCGTCTCGCTGGAATGATATTAGGAGCGGTATCCTACGGTGCATTTTCAGTCGACTGATAATTTGGAAGATGACTTATGTACCGCAATAGGCGGATTCTCTATCCTTACAGCGCAAGCCGCGACTGCTCTCACGCAAAAGCCTCGCCGTGGGGGGAAAATTGCAGATCATCGCTTCGCTCTTATATCCTACGTCTTGATCACGTTCGTATTGGCGACGATAGGCTTCGCTGCGAACGCAAAATACACCCAGACGATCTGGATAGACCTTCGTGACTCTACGCCTGGTGGGCCGATCGCACTAATTGTGAACGAAATGGATTATCCTATCAATGTCGTGGCGATTGCCAGGCAAGTACCTTCGTTCACTCATCTCATACTGCCCGTGTTGACAGTTCCGTCTAGTTACTTCGTCATGGAGTGGTTTATGCAAGCCTTACTTGTGAGTTGATAGTTCGCTGTATGAATGGTGCAGGTTTGTGCAGGTTTTAATTCTTGATATACTTAGCTTCACCGTTGTTTTGTGATATGGAATTGGACACGATACGTCATGGTCCCGATGATCACCCTCTATGTTGCCATGATTGGTGCGGTTCATCGTTTACCAAACGACAAGTAGTCGCTGACACTCTTGAGCAGTAACATCTATCCTCGTCTTGATCCAGTCGAGCACTGGCGCCGTATGGTACAATATCAACACCGAGCTTATCTACCTCTGCCTCGAAGTGGGGCTCACTGTGATGTACTCCGTTCTCGTGACGAGTCGTTTGCTCGCCATGCGAGACCTGATGAAGCGTGTCATGCGGGAATACGATTCTAGCACCTATGATACCGTCGCCCTGATGGTCGTCGAGTCCGCCATGCTATACATTGCATATGCCATTATTTTCATAGTTTCCTTCGGTATGCATTCAAATGTCTCCAATCTATGCTTCCTGTCTATTAGCCATGTCCAGGTAAGCAGACGGAAACCTGAGTTATCTGCGTCTCTCATGTCAGCCTGTTTCAGGGCATTGCCCAATTGCTCATCATCATCCGTGTAGCACGGGGGAGGGCAATCACATCCGAGGTAACCCGAGTTGCTGCAGCATGTACGACTATGGCATTCTCAGCGTCTGTATTGGATGAAACAGAGGGAATCAATGAGCAGACAGCGAGGTCTGTGCAGGATGGTGTTCAGTTGTATTCAGTTTCTACAACGGCGGGGGAAACAGAGGACGGTAAAACATTATGAACATGATGAATCAAGTTGATTTATACTTGATATACTATTATCTGTCTCTGCAAAGGTTTTGAACTTCATACGCATGAATTCATGGACAAGCTCCTTACCCCTGATCGGCGGAAACCTCCGGACCTTTGGAATTATTACCAATCATAGGCTTCTGATCCTAACAAGGCCAAATATGTATTCTAGGTGCCTTGACCGCAAGTGACCAGAAGAGTGTTGTCCAGGCCAAGCTGAAACCAAGCTGAAACGACCTAGAAATTATTCAGAAGGACATCATGAATTCCGTGTAATTTCACTGCTTACTTGCTATGTCGCCCATCATGGCGTATTTCTATCGTGCCTCTGAATCTTCCCTGGGTAATCATTCGCTGCACCATCGTTGTCTCTGGTATCTGTCATTATCTCTACCTGCTTGATCTTATCTGCCACTTGTCGTCCCGCTCTTCATTTTGCTCATATCTCGGCCAAAAAAGCATAACATGGCGCTCCAATCTCGGCCAGTGCCTATGAATGCTTCACCGCATCACTCCAAGGTCAAGGTATCCCTGACACTATCTGACCCCATATTTGTGGCTGGAAGTAATATTGCTGGAAAAATGGAAGTCGAATGTCGCGGCGATGGCGAGTTCGGTCTTGGCATTGGTCTTATGATGGTCGAATTATTCGCCGTCCAAGGTCTGTGTATCATATTCATTATTAGACGAACATCATCGAATGCTCAATGAATATCCCAGAAATTACATCTCGTGACCACTCAGCCACTTCCACCTTTATCCACTCCCGTAGACTGTTCCAAGGGCCAGGACTCCCACCATCGAATGCCATCCAGTCTGACTTCATTCCTCCACCAGGAGAACCGCCCCTTCCGGCACATCACTACCCTGCACGTCGTGGTCTCACTACATTCTTCTTTCGTTTTCCTCTCCCGCCTTCGTCCCCTGCCTCAATATCATTCGGTCCAGCTCAAATACGATACGAAATCCGGGCGAGCGTTGGAGTTGCTTGGAGAGGAGAGAAACGCCTCGTAACCGATCAACAAGATGTCAACGTAGTCGAATACTGCGATAGCAGGGCACCATCGAAACGCCCCCAAGGTTTTGCCATCGCCGACGGTGGAAGCATTTCAGCCCAAGCTTTTGTCATGAATGGTCCTATCATTGCTGGGGAAGTAGCTTGTGTCGAGTTACAGCTGAAGAACCACTCACTCAACTGGGTTTGTCGTCTGACTCTCTTTATTTGTAGAATTAACTTAGCACAAATCTGGCAGACGTCTGGGGTTACAGTCACACTTTCTCGCGAACTTCGGTTGTCGTCACCTTCTGTCGATAAGGAGGAATTGAAAATAACTGACGCAATCACAGAGGTCGACTTCAGAGGTCACGAATACATGGTCCCCCCTGGCATCGAAGGCGTCGCCAACTTGGTGATTGATATACCTCGGTCTTCCCGTGGATCTCGCGGTGGTGCTCGCGTCGGCGAGAATGGAAACATATCTGACTGTTTGTTTGAAGTTTGTTGCAGCCTGAGACTCCGGGTCGATATGCCTATTGGGAGGTGTGTAGTGTTAATCTTATTCTTAGGCAGCCCTCTGATCAAGTGCCTTCAGCGAGCCTGCTATAATTATAATTCCGCTGGTCATTTACCATCATTTGGCTATACCTAAAGCGTCACCCTACGCCTTCCCTGCAACTTCATCACAGCCGTATACATCACCTCCCACACAACTCTCACCACCTCCTGGTGCTTCCTACGCGGATCCTCATTTTTCACCGCAGCCGTATGATCTACCACATACGTACTGGTCACCACCATCTCCAGTAGTGGATTACAAGCCTTTGACCCCTGCATTCTCGGAGCAGTATTATCCTCAAGATTTATTTTCATCCAATCCACACTTCCAACACTATACTCCACCTCGACCAGCATCAGCCGAACCCCCTCAGATGCCGTATTATGACACAAGCCTAGCATGGGAGCTTCCTACATCAGCAGCTCGTCTTCCGCTACCTCATCCACCTATCTCATATTGCCCTCCGCAGGCTGTCGAAAGCAGCCCTCAGCACTACGCGGATTCAGAAGAGGGCAAAGGCGCTCGTGCGTCTCGCATCTCCCAGACGTTGCGCCTCTCCTCTCGACACCGCTCGGTCTCACCACTGTCGCACAGGTTTCCCTTGCCTCAGCCCTCTGCTCAACACGTGTCCCCTCGTCGCCCGCGCCCCAGCGCAATCCAAATCCCCACCCTTCCTAATCCTCACGACTCTCAGGGTGTATTACACTCACCACGCCCCATCCCCTCACCAAAACAGTCCTACTCAGGCCCCTCCCCACGCAGCGAAAATGTGTGCGCCCTGGAACGCATGGCAGACCAAGTCGTCAGGCATAGCGGCGATCTGAGCGCAGATCTGCCAAAGTGCGCGGCAAACGTGGACAAAACACTCCCCAGTCCTCCTGCACCCTCCGGAAAACGACTATTTCATGTTCGACAGTACGTCGAGGCAGTGTTTCCCGATACTACTGTTCCTCATCTCTCTGCACTCAATCATGAGTCAGAGCCCGTTTTCTCCGCTCAACCGACCCCACCACTCGCAGCTATAACTCCCGTTAAGTTTCCGCGCGCACCGACTGAGTTATCTGGCCTAGGCACTAACTTAGGCAAGGACATCCCGCAGGAGAGCGGCCTGGACGCCCTTGAGCGGCGCCTGCTCGCAGAGGTAGGCACACGCCGCCAGGAAGTGGGTGAGCTGCGTCCGGACGTGCGCAGCTTGGTGCAGCCAATCATGATCCCACCCAGCGGGGCTCCCGCAGGTGTGAATGACAGCGCCATATCGAGCCTGACGCTTGCAGATCGTGATGCTTTCCTGCGAGGTGACGAGGGCGAGCGTGAACAGGAACAGGAGCAGGAACAGGAGCCGGAGCAAGATCACGATTCGGATGAGAGGACGCAGCACCGAGGTGGCCGTCACAGTCAGAGTGATGATGAACGCGAGGTGCGCACCCAGAGGGGACGGTCAGGGGTGAAGAGCAAACATAGCGATGAGGATGATGAGAGGAGAGCTGCGCGGAAGCGGGAGCGGGGGCGGAAGAGAGGCAAGGAGGGTGATATGCGGAAGCTGCGTAGTGAGGTTAAAGGGCGGATTGCAGCATGGCTAGGGGAGATCGACACGACGAGCCCGCCACTTGTGGATGACTCGTTATCTTTGTCGTCGCCCGCTACATCTCACTTCGTTCCCATCACCGACAACGAGCCTTTTACGCCACTACCGTCATCAGAAGACCCATTGCCGTCGTCGTCGGGCGACCCAGAACTTGGAGGCACATTATTTAATGAAGACGTTGTGGCAGCCCCCAATCCACGATCATCTGGCTTTGTGACTATTTCTACGCTCAAGACTGCCGGGACTCGACGCTCTACTGTCACCGCCCCAGTAAACACTCTTACTCGCTCTGATGCAGAAAAGAAAGCTCTCACCGCGGAGTCGTTGATACCGGGTCCAATCCTGAGAAAGATGTCTGCAGGCCAGTCAACTGTACCAGCCCTTGTTGGCTCTCTTCCCAATGCTCCACCTGCAGGATCGAAATCCCCAGACATCACAAGGGCTGATCTCATATCCCCAGTTACTCACCATTTCCTGTCGCCTCGCCACCCGCGCTATTCTCCTCAATCGATGAACCCTGAGAAGTACGACATCCGTTCTGCACGCGGAGGGAAAGGCGGCAAGGTCACCGAAGTCGCTTCGCTGTGGGCCGCAAAGGCGGATGCGGTTGAGCCACAGGCGAAGCAAAATGGGACTCCCCAACCCGTGAAGAAACCTGTCAACTATGGTGGAAAGTTACCCGTCAAGTCCCCGCTGGCGTCGCAAACCAATGGTCCGGCGGATACGAGCAAGGAAGGACGCGGAAAGGCCACGAAAGCGACGACAGTTCCTGCTGTTATTTCATCGTCTCATGCCGTTCCCATGCTTTCGTCTACCGCTTCTCTTGCTCGTGCAACGCCTAACCCCCGGACCCCAGCATCTCGCCCACTACCTCCAATGATCTCGGAGACGATATCAGATCTTAGAAATGTCGTTAAAACTCCCATTCCCAGAGTTACCCGCACCCCTGGTGACCTTGGATTTGGCCAGGCGCGTCTCAGGGACTTAATCAAGAAATATCAAGGATAATTTGTTTGCTCGTTACTGTATGGTCGATGTATGTGCTTCACTCTTACTTTTGTTGTTTTATTTCCTTGTTTTGTTTTGTTAGAACTGTCTCGATTGATTTACAGTTGCGATTTATGTTATACGACTAGACACGAAGCTCGAATCATCACGGTCTCAAACTTGTTATCGGAGTCTGCCATGTGCATGAGACTCATAAAGCCATCTTGCCCGCAGTCTGTAAGATGAGACATCAGCCGCACATAGATCACTAGTATTCGCAGACTCACTTCGATAGGAAGCAATATCGTCAAGACGGCTGCAACCATAAACAACGCAGCAGACACAAAGACAGGACTGCAAAATACGAAAGCCATCAGCATTACAAACGTGGACGCGATCACAACGTGCCCATTCGCTGTATTTGCCGATGCACTACCACCGAGCGGTGTTGTGGCAATCTTGATGAGGGGAGCAATAATGCCGTCAATGCGGTTCAACGCAGCACAGAGCGCGTCGCCCGTGCCACGGTGAGGTGCTGGGAAGACCTATGGGGTCTGCAGGATTTTGGGTTACATTCCGGGATCTTAGGCAATTCCCCAGTATATCACTCACATACGCATATCAAACCCCATACATCTAAAGACGAAAAATTAGTACGTGGTACTCAACTCGATAAATCACCCGTACCGCATCCCTGGATGTACTCGGTCAACTTGCAAAAATCTACGCATCGTCGCAGACCATTTCGAAGACGCAGAGCAGTCCTGTTTCATTTTCATTTTCCAGCGTTGGGTAATTCGCTGCTTTCATCTCCGCTGTTACGATTGTCAAGTCGGGCTTCCTGTGTTGTTGTTTCATCAGGAAAAATACCTTTGACTACACGGAGCTATATAGTCAATTTAGTACCTGTAGCCCAATGTGTCAAGTACCTACTACACACAACTACATAATCACACAGCTAGCTATATAGTGTTGAGCACTGACGTTTCGGAGCACGGACCGGGAGGAGGAAATGAGATGTCAGAGTGAGACATTGCGAGCAGTCTATGTGACGCGCGACGTCGTGACGTCGGCCGAGACATAGTAATATATTCCTATGCTACCATTTATTCGTATCACTATGCTAACTACTATAAAGTGTCGAGTACCGCGTTAGAACATCTCAGTCGAGTATCTCGAGACTGAGATGTAAGTTGTTACTATTATTTCCCTTTACTTATCACGAGCTAACATACCCGTAGTATATATTCTTACCAGGTACTACAATACTTTACCGAGTCGAGTATCTCGAGACTGAGATTATATATTCTTACCAGCTCCTTGTTCGTCCCCGCTCGCCTAAACTCGCTTTATGATTACCATGTGGGCTTCTGATCAGTAGAAATACCCCCTTTACATAAGATCTCAAATTTCCGGCCTAAATCTCATGGATCCTTAGCATAATAAACATATAAACATATATTAATGATAGTCTCTGAGTAGCTTGGATAATCTGTGTAAGGGGGGGGTGGTAAAACACATCAAAAATGTCACAATTGTGATTTGTCAAGTTTTGTTCCTATAGAAGGATCATATAGGTGTCCTTGTCTAGCTATATGATGTATCTACCACCAATATACATAGAAATAGACCCCATACCCTCCTTGAGGTCTGGTCCTACAGGAAAAAGCTTCTCAGGGGGTAAACCACCAGGAGAGGGAGGGTACACTATACAACAAGGTCTTGTCCTATGGTCCTGGGCTCCTGATACATTGTTCCTACTGTTTAATAAATGCTGGGGATCATTTTTCAAAGTCTGTCTACCTAGAAATAAACACATGTGAACATATTCTGTATCTTCCTGTATATATGCTATATCTATTGATGCAGGGCGCTTCAGGGGGTCAAATAAAGATGGGAATCTCTTCATATATACTACTAAACATGTTCTGAATGCCCTGGAACACTTCCATATCAAAGGGGTAAAAGTGCGAAAATGTTTTGTACCCTACATTATTTTGAAAGGGCCCTGGAGGGGGACCTATCACACAAATGAATAAAAAAATGGCTTATTATATTATATTATACATGTATATACAAAACTACTACTCAGATACAAGGGGGGACCTATTGTGGTGTAGTGGTGAAGCTGCAGTGAAGTGGGGAGGGTGTGGGAATAATTGGTATTGTGGAGATTCCTAAAATGGGCGATGTTTTTGGTGTTGTGGGGTAATTCCCACGGAGCCTGGAGAAGCCAGGAATTTGAAGAGAAGCTGTAGGAGAAGTATGGAAGCATATACTAGAAAAGGGAGCCAGAGAAGCAAACTTTGGGATTCACCAAGTGATATGTCACAGCTGTACGGATGCTATGCACTACAGCAATTCATGTATCACATTTTCATTACCACTGTAGGTTCAGTGATGTATCAATATCACAGTACTTATAGCCTGCGCCAGGGATACGAGTTCCTCCGCGTCCTACTTGCGCCCGCACGGCCCAAACAAATACAGCTCATCAACCCCGACTTCCCCTTGGTTCGACCTCAGTACCAGAGCCGATGGCATAACGAGTCTTGAAGTTTTCACTACGCTGCACACTGCATTGCAACGCCCACTCAGATACGGGGAAGGGCCCATGCATCCACTGCATCAGATACAAACCATAGTATTGGAAGCAGATGTATGATGGTGAAAATAAGCGACTATGCATCAGTGAACCCATGAGGAAAGTAGAAGGCCATAAATTACAATATATAGTACATAATCACAAGAACTAGCGTAATTCTGCTATGGACCATCACATTGTTATGTTTGGCTTTATAGAGGAAAGACGCTTCCCTGATTTTCCTATAAAATTTTATGATCGAGAGAAGCACCTGATTTTACTCAAACTCCAAAGCATCAAATAATTGACCCGAAAATATAATGGTTTACAATGCTTTGTCTAACCGTCAAATTTATATGGTATATGTCAGAATGATACTACTCGGAGTAAGTTAGACAGAACTACCAAAAGCGCCAGCATGACAGATTCCCCGCAACTACCTGCCATTTTATCACCAGCACCAAATAATTCTCAACCTCAAACACACATTTTATGAAGAAAATCAAATTTATTTATATTCAAATACATATGTAGTTACAGGACAAAAAAAGAAACAGGGAATGATAGCGAAGAGGGAATATCACAACATGAATGACAGAGCGGCCACAAGGGAGGGACTAAGGCCAGCGAGGAACCACGAGAAATGGCCAATGAGGAACCACGAGAAAAGGCCAGCAAGGAACCACGAAGAAAGGCCAGGGAAAGACCACCACGAACGGCCAGGGAGGAACCACGAGGAAAGGCCAGGGAGGGACCACCACGAACGGCCAGGGAGGAACCACAAGGAAAACCAGGGAGGGACCACCATGAACAGGAGGAACTCGAGAGGTGGTGGTAGTAGCGGTGAAACAAGATTGAAAGGAACTTAGCGTGAAAATTTCCGTCCTGCACAAACAAGGACAAACCAATTTCAACCACTTGCGCTGGTCACATGATTTGAGGTTATCCGATAATACTACAGTAAAATTTGAGGCTGAGGTGATGGTCACGTGCATGATCTTGGATGACATTGTAATTCACGCAATATTTGAATCGACTTATATAGATTTGTAAGTCAAATATAAATGAGGGAATATGATGTTGCTCGACAAACGGTACCTAATTACACAAATTCATGACCTTGTCGGAAATTCTCATAAGAATCTACATTAGGTTACAAGTGCTAATGGTCCTTTCCACGATAAAGTCTTATATCACTTGGTAGTTTAAAATATAAATGAAGGGATATGGTATGAGTCAACAAGTATGACTTAACGATGCTATTGCACATTGATCGCTGCGACGGCGCAATGTCGTTATCTTGTCGCGAACTCCTCATGGTAAAATGAATTTTCAGACATCTATGGCTATGTACTGATCACTAATATTTCTTGCCGTATACATAGGTATATTCAGCAGTAGCAAAATTATTTCACACTATATTTCTCACAGCTACCATATCACAGACTCATCAATTCACTGATGCATAGCACAGCCTATGACACATCTGAGTCAGCCACGTACGTGGTCAAAAGATAGTCTCCCCTACTGACAGATCATAGACGAATGAATATAGCCATTCCTTCTAAAAAGTTTGTCCCACATATGGATCAAGATTATTGTCGCATAGCCAAAGTCCTTCACTCACCAGCGATGCAATGAATTAGACGTGGAGTCGCTTGGCAAGCAGCGCTCTGGCACATATGGCAGAAGTAGAAGGTCAGTCGAGCACCGTATTGGTGGTCGTGTGTGTTGAAGCGGACGGCGAGCAGAAGACAAAAGTAAATTACGACATGAGCACTAAACATATGCTTCTTCACGTCCTTGCCCCATAGCCAACAGGCGCTACGTCCTGATGCATATTTCCCGCACTTTTTTTCCCTTCCTTTCGCTCATCAGAGTACTACTAGTGATTAAGCGCTCGAGCTGATTATCAATCCTATTACAATACGAAACCAGAAGAGATAGACATTCACGGATGGACTGATACGTTGCTAATACCGATCTGCTAGATCATCGAAATAGTGGGTTTAAAATGGACGAGGTTACTTTGGGTAAGAGGCTCGATTCATAGTCGCTTATGGTATGCACGGCAAGGTGACTGGGAAATCTGCGAAATACACTTTTGATCTGACTTCGTTCGGCGTACAGATCTCACACAACGGCATTGAGGTATATACGCTGTTTCTGTTGGATAAGAGGCCCGATCCATAGTCACTTATGGTACGCGCGTATGGGAACGGCATGGGAAATATTCACTTTGGATCTGACTTCGTTCGGCGTACTACAGATCTCACACAACAGGTATATAGGGTGCCCCTCATCCCCCCTCCCCCCGAGAGCGTTCCAAGCCCTCTCCATACATCAACGTCACCTCTCTCATGTTTCCTACAGTTCGTCCTCCCTGGCTATGCCAGTGCCAGGTTGCCCCTAACAATCCTGACATCTCTCTTCCGGGTCGGTTGCACGATGCTCGCTACGAAGGGTGGCCCCACCCCGAAAAACAGCTTCCTCATGTTGCTTTACCTCCATCTACTACACAGCGCGTCCCTTTTGCAATTGATATTCCATCGCACCGTCTGTACCATGACGTTAATGCCGCCCATACCCGTGAGCTCTAATTCTTATTCCACGCCTCCTTGCTTAGCTGTCATTAGAACATCACCCTATTCATACCCAGTATAAAACTCGGCCCCACATAAATCCGTGGGCGCAAGGTAGGCACCTTTTTCTCAGTTCTACCTTGAACTTTTGTTCTGATGACATCTGTAGATATGATGGGGCCCGTCGACTCTCAACGCCAAAAAGTGCCTGCTTCGTGGGCATGGAGTAGTGGGTTCTCTGTCATTGCATCGTCATCAGATGACTACAATTCTGCACAACAATTAATACCATTAAACGCCAATGAAACCCCAAAAGGTATGGCGCAGACACAATTTGTGACTGCAATTGACTCTCATGCTTCCCGCCAGTCTACCCCCATCCGTTTCTCGCCCCACCATCTGTGCCACTGATATATGACCTGCGGTACTCACCCACCTCTCTCCATTTTCCGTCATCATCTCCATATGCTGGCTACGGGTACGAGCTCCTCCGTGTCCCACTTACACCCGAACGCCCCAGGCAAATACGGCTCGTCAGCCCAGACTTTCCTTGGGCATTCGACATAAGCCCCAGTGCCGGAGAAGAATGCGTGACGTGTCTTGGCGATCTCGCTGCGCTCCACGCTGCATTACAGCGCCCACTCACGGACACGGAGTGGGGCACCGCTGGAGACGATAAACGCGCCAGTCTTATCAGAGCGCGTGTTCGTCGCTTGGGGATGGAGCCTGCGTTGCACGGGAGCTCAAATTCTGCATCACGCACTAGGTCCACGGTGAGCTTTGCGCCTAGCGCTGATGCATCGAACCATAGGCCTGTGCAGCGATGGCCACCGCTACTCCGTGTCGACTGGCTTGGATCTCGCGTTGCATTCGTGGGACTGGTCAAGGATGAGATGTTTGCGAGGGACAGGCTTATCGCCGGTGGTGGGGAGGCGCCTGAGACTTGGGTGGTGAAGTTTCAGAGGTGAAGTTTCAGAGAATATAATCCTGATATCCGGAGAATATGTATTACTAGTTATTCTTTATCGTAGCGGCGCTTACTCACCAAGTCCCCGACTCCGATCGGTATGACGCCAGCTTGTAATAGCAAACTTCCTTATCACACATGATGTCGATTTTGTGACTGAAATCAACAGTTGGGCTGCGGCGCCAATATTCTGTCGTGCCAATCTTGTGCCAATCAGTCCAGTTCAAACTTCACATGATACACTCACAGGCAATTACGAGTTACAAATTTATGCTGAATGTTCCAGTGAAAATGCATAAGTACAGGGATGTATGACACTTGTGGCTGTGTAATACATTGCAGAGTACAGCTCGGTTCAATCTCCACGTGCATCGAACGCAGGACAAGAGGTAGAATATTCACCAAACCAACATGATCCTCATAAAGTGGCAACAAAAATAAGCCTGCATACAAAACATACAGTCTCGAACAAATAACCTCGCGCACGTTCAACCAGTAGCCAACCTAACCGTATACTTCTCCCAACTTGGAAAGATGAACGACTCCGTCCTCGTTTTCAGATCTTTCGGCTTTAGCTCGGTCGCAGTCTTCCCGGATGGCATCATAGGAACTTCATAGGACACTGGGATCGAGGAAACCTTGATCTTCTTATCATCATTACTGGACCGAGCAAACGGCAATTGTTTTAGCTGCTTCGGTTTGGGCAAATGCAGGTGGTCATATAGCGAACTAGCATTTCGGGGGGCTGGTGAACTACTGGAGGATGACGTCGCAAGGGATGAAGACGAAGGAGCTAAACGTGATGAATCATCGGGCGGAAGGATAGACAGCAATTCATCCAGTGCTTCATTGTTTGAAGGCTGTATCTTGAGTGCTGCACGTAAATCTGACAGCGGCTCAGCATATCGGCGAGGCGATCCAATAGATACACCCACCCAGCACAGCGTCATCTAGCTTACCCAACATTCGACGCGCTTTCGAGCGTCTATAATAGCCTTTTATGCTTCGATGCTGTCCCAAGGCTTTCGTGCAAGCTTCTTCAGCTTCAAGCCAACTATGGATTATGTGAGAATAAGGCACGCATCAGAAGGACCGTGACACACTTGCTCAGTTTTAGATGGGCCGCTGCAAGGTTGAGTTGGTAGTGAGGCAATTCTGGCTCAATTGAATGTGCTGCCTTGTAGTGTTTTACAGCGCGCTGATAGTCGCCTCGCCGGAACGCGGTGTTACCCTAAGATACAAATGAGAATGTTATTGCGTTTTTCGGAACAAAACCCACAAATTCTTTCTCTCTTTCTGCTTTGATGAACCTAATTTCCATCATTTGAGCAATGGTCATTTCGGACCCAAAGCCCTCCCCTTCTTCAGAGTCGCTCCCGCCAAAATCAAGATCGATATCCCATATGTCCTCTTCTTCTTCAGTCTCCCAGCCAAGAACTCCGCTCCCTGTAACCCATGTTACATATTATCATCACATCGCCTAAATGACCTACCTCGCCCATCCCATTCTCTTTGCTTGCCAGACCTTACACCGCTTCCTTCCTCGTCTTCCCGTACCGTCTTTTCACAGACCTCACCAAGGTGATCCGTAGAGCATCCACAATCGCACCACTTTGTTGTAAGCTTCTCCCGAAGTACACAGCCATATCCGCTGACATCAAATTCTCGGGCCACACGCCAGAGAGTTTGAGCAAGCCTCTCATACCCCATACGTACTTTTATGTGCCACTGATGGTCCCATCCGGGAGGAGGGGTGGACCTTAACGGAGACTTTTCCCCGTATTTTAACTCGCATGCTTCTTCGAGGGCCCCCAAGCCCTCCGTGAGAGCACCGAGGTGAGGAGGTTTAGTAAATGACGCGTGCGGCATTGAGTCCAGGGAGTCCAAGTGCACCTTCAGCGAGTCATAGTGAGGAAGTAAACGAAGTGAATGTAAGCCGCGCTTCCGGCATACAGGAACATTATTAGAAAGTGCCTACGATAGATTGAAATCAGCACGAGCCAGAACATGAAATAAAATTGAAAGCGCACGAATTCTCTCAAAGCTGTGTAAGACCACAAGACGCTCTTCGTCGAGACTCTCTCTCCAGCCTGTCGCAGGTCCATGCTGACGACGGAACGGAAAAAGTCCTTGATCTCCTCGCAATCTGCATTATATGCGACCCAGCTGGGCCCGCAAACGGTAATACAGCGCATCATAAACGTTGGTAAGTGAATAAGAGCGACACAGAATACGTGTGTTGAAAACAGGCGCGCGATATCTTGCTCGAAGCGGATCAGGAAGATCTTCGCGATGGCACGCTCCAGTTGCGAAACTGCCGACATGGCATTGGTGATCGTCTTGTCAATATGATTGGGGAGCTTTTTGTGGCGATTGCTGTCTTTCCCGGGCTGGATCGTACTACCAGTCTTTTTCTTGGGATTCGTCGTCGTCCTCTTCTTCACGTGGGAGTACTTGGCAGGCATGGTGACCCCAGATGAAGAGCCAAGCTATGTGAGAGTGAAATAGAAGATACACCGGTTGGAACTGGAGGGGGATTATTGGACTCCTGTCGTGTGAGTACAGGATAGCCGCGGCGCCTGATTTGACTGTTTGCTGAAGCAGATGGCAAGATATGTTTTACGTAGGTTTAACGTGTCCTGATGGTAGATAAACAAGACATTGTCAGTAACATTTAAATACATTTTACGGTGGATAACACGCAGAGATCTCACCGCTGCAGACGAATGAAAGACCAGTTAGCAAGCAGCCATGAGCAGGTCACGCTGAACAACTTCCTCATCTATTATGTAATCATGCTTATTTTGGATGTGGCCCTCCTAACTCTCGACTCGTTTCGTAGAGAACGGATTAAATTAACTACTAAATCTCACAAGTTAAGAAGACACAGAGCGGTGTGTATGAACAGGTAATATAGGCGATACATGTGGTAAGAATACAAGGGTGAATCACATACAGTATAGCAGAATCATAACCACGCAACAATTAGATCGGGGTAGTCAACTGCACAGCAGGCTCGTTCTGGAGCCAATCAACGTGAAACTGGCGCCAATCCGACACGCTATCAAGGTTTATTTCTGTGACATCAGCATTCTCTCCATCGTCCTGCGCCTCCAACTCTGGACTTGATTCCTCCAGCATCCAAGCAGGATCGATACGTTCCCTGCGCTCGCGCCGGTTGCGCCCCGAAAATCTGCGAGAAGGCAGAGGCATGGTTTGGGTAGAGAGCGGGCGCTCGCGACGGGGCGGTCGATAGAGCGCGTCCAAGTCATTTGACAAAGACAGGAAAGATTCTTCTTTAGGTGGAAGAGGTGATGGGTCCCTCAGATTCACGTAGAACGATCGTGACTGAGGCAATGAGGAAAACAGATCTCCAGAGTCGATTATAGGCGAGAGTAGACCATCTTGGCTGTGTGAGTTGACATCAGTGCCCTAAATCAGTAGTGGTGCAGGAAGTAAGCGCACATCAATTTCGGGCGATCATCGGTGCCATCAAGATAGCTGCCCCCTGTTACCCAGAGCTCCTGAAGCTCCTTGGTGGAGCTCACAAACATGGACGATGGCCGCGGACGCACTACCTTTTCCGCGTCAGACGGGGGCGGACTAGATTCTTTAGATGTAGGAGGACTCTTAGTTGAGGTACCTCGCTTGAGCAGGCGAGATGACAGAGAGCATCTCCGCTTGGTTTTTTCTAGCGACGGAGTCGGGGCTGCAGACTGAGCCCGGGTGCGAGTACCTAAGAGGGGACGCAGGGAGATGGCTCGCAGACCTGAGTGAAACAGGCTGGAGTATTCCACGCCCGATGCCCAGTCTCTAGCCTTCAACCAAGACATTGATATCCAAGCCCGTGACGACGGCCGAATACAAGAGGGGGTTAATTCAAAGAAACCGGGAAATAGCAGGATATATGTATCCACAGTTGAAGCTCAGTCAAATCGTCCGCATGGGCCTAGCATGCGCATTATTAGAAGCATCGGGACAGCTCCAGCTGATGAACTCCAAGTATAGTCGATTCCATATGCTGTGCTTGGAAAATATAGATGGAACTCGTACTGCCTATGATCCAATTTCTGAGCTAGCCGAAATCATTACAGTGATATTTGCATTCTTCTCGCACATCAGCCTGCGGGCAATCAAGTGAAAATCGGTTTTGCGCCTTGAAGTCGTTGATATGGGCAAGATGTGGCAGGAAGCGATGAGAGAAAAATCTGTAAACAGAAGCAATGAGAATCTGATTCCTGGGTATCGCTCCTCTGTGGCATCTGCGACCCACTGCAAAGTAGCCACAAAGTGGAACTTGATCATGTTTCACCATTCCCCGAGGAGCGAACCGAAAATAGCTAGCTAATATAAGCTTCAAGCTATTTCTTGTGTCTGGACTCTGAAGCAAGTTAGAAATCAACGTATCAACCACCATTTGCAAGCACAGCACGCAATGCTGCACTGCTCGGATCATAGGTTGATGGCAAGTGGGTCCGAACAAGACGGTCGTCAACCAATGACAATAGGCACTTTGATATGAAGTCGTCTTCAAATTGTCTCGGTGTATTCAGGAACAAAACTGGGAGACGTCTCGGATGCGAGGATCAAAATCAGCACTGGGTTTTTACATGTGGTGGGTAACACCCTTTATATAGCACAGGAACTGTTCGGATGATGCAGCATATGGATAGTCTTTCATGTGAAAAGGGGCACAGGACGAAACGACCGACATCAAGAACGCCTCTCTTGATGAAGTTGAATGGTATCTAAAAATCAAAGAATTGGGAATGAGAAGCAGTCTGCGTGTTTCAGGCGAAAGAAATGTAACCACGGACCACAGCTTGCGAAATTCGGCAGTGGTCGAGTCATGCCGACTGGGGTGGTGCTATTCATTCATGATAAGCATTCTGCCTAACAAAATGAACAAATTTCTCGTACGCCAGCCAACTCCCAGCTATAGCGACTTGCGTTTGACTTCCTGCGCTTGCAGCTGAGATTGCGCAAGCATGTCCTTCTGTTTCTCAGCAAGGACCCTCCGTTTGTTGAAATAATCAATCTGATGCTCAGCAATCAGATCAACTGGATGGACGAACAGTTGGATTGGCGTACTCACCCAGCTTTTGGCACAGTTCTTTTCGTACTGAAATTTTGATTTGGTGCATGCCGTCCCTTCTTCTCCGGCTGTTAGAACACCTGCGCCATCTAGGCACTCAAAGTATTGGTCGCGACTTTCCCAACACTTTTGGCGGTCCTGCCTCGTTGCAGCGGGAGATTCAGAGCTTGAACTGCTAAACCAGCCCATAGAAATTATAAGGCATACAAGTTATAATTGCTTATTCGATGAGGAGAGTGGCTGTCCCACGGTCCAACCCTTAGACTCATTCTGTCATCTTTGTCATTTCTTTAGCAGAGGCTAGCCAGCCAGGAATAATGCCAAGTTTCAATTGGAATCAAAGCGAATGACTTCACAAGCCGCGCCCGTCACTACCCCCGTGCATTTGCACCCTCTATCTCCAAACGAAATATCGTCCCGAGGGCGTAGAACACGTGGAGCTCAGGATGTAGACGAAACGCGGTCTCCTAGCAATTATTTTACTCTTAAAGCTCAGTCAGAGAAACTTGCGGAACCGGAAAGCAAGAGCGCCAATAACAAGGCAAATTGGGAGGGCAGCGTTCGCGGATTTGGGAAGCCTGATGCGACCAGTGCAGAATTAGTGACAGATCGTGGGGCATCTTCCAGCTCCCTTTCGGCACTTTGGGAGAGACCAATGCATCAAGCGCCGCGATTTATCATTGGACCACCTTTTGATACCAATTTCCTTGTTCCTCCAGGCTCACTTCCTCCAAGAACTACTCTCCCAGATGGCACTTCCGAAGTGTCTTCGTCAATCACAACACAAGTACTTGCCAATAAGTGGCACGAGTACTCAGATGAGGCCATCCAGGCCGCAATATCCAGACTTGCTGTCGCAGAGTCTCCGTCAGATGTTGACACTCATCCATACCACTCCGCACTTCGTGTGCTTTCATCCGCTCTTCACAGTTTGTCAAGAGCCAGAATAGAGCTTGAAGAACATAGAAAGTTATTGCAACAAAAGGAGGCAGCGCGCAAAGAGCGTGCTGAATCTTTGCTATCAGAGCTGCAGCCCTCCGAACGAGAGGTGGCAAAACGGGTCATTCAATCAATCTTCACCGACGACGACGAGATACGCCATCGAGTTCAGCGTCGGGGAAGCCTTTCTGTGCGTCAATCTACTTTACTTGGATCATGCATTCGCTCTGATACTTTCCACAGTCACTCAAGACATCGTTGACGGAAGCTATCGAAGATGACACTCTACTTTCACGCAGCGTTCCGGATGATACCGTGACTCCCTTAGCATCGACTCAGCTTGGCACATCTGCGCAATTGCCTCAAACAAGTGAAACGGCAACCGTTGAACCAGAGGAAACGGCCGATAGGATAGGGTCAATGGCACCTGATAAATCGGTGGCCATGTTAGTCCCCGAATCCATTGTACTGCCCGTTACCAGGGTTGCCGAGATTGTCTCAGAGCCTCCAGCTCCTGTTCATCACGCAAGGCATGAAAGAGCGACTTGGATGGGTACCTGGTGGCAGAAAGGGAAACCTAAACAAACCCGTGCGCTGAACACAACTTCCGTGAAGGAAACTCCTCAAGCTCCTGGAAAACAACCATCTCGAGACTCATCCCCACATTCAGAACCCCTTTCTCCCCCTACCCTACCTAGTCTTTCGCGCAGGAAAAGCAGTAGAAGCGTCTTCGAGAGCTTGGGTATTTCTATACTCAATCCTACTGTACCATCATCCTCTACGACGAAACCACCATCAAATCCGAAACCTGTAGCAGAGCCGTCATTCAAAGCACGCATAGATGGCACAAAGTCTTCTGTGAGCTCTTCACCTGTGTTGAGCACGTTTTCTGCTCCTGCGCCTGTTGCACCGCATTTAGCAACTGTTGGAGAAGTCTCTGATCTAAGATCAGAGAGTTCCACTACCTCTCCCTCATTGACGGAGGAAAAGCCGCCACAAGGCGCATCACTCCGCGCCATTGCGCATGCTACTCGAGTTATGACCTCGGATCCAGGTAGCATCCTGACTGATCAAGGCCGAGAAACAAGTCCTTTGATTGCCAAACTGGCCCTAGAGCTTGTCAGGCGTGCCCGGGACGAGCATGTGTCATTCCGCGAGCCTCAGAAGCCCCGAGAGAAGAGGGAGCATAGACCAAGTAAGGCTGAGATGGGAGAGCAGATAATAGCGCACGCAACCCTCAGTCCTATCGAGGGCACAGATGCAAGTACGGCTCTGAACCGCACGTTGACCACTCAAGGCAAATCCGTCCGTAAATCCAGGTCGCGGACAGCAAATATGATTTCACCGTTTACATCGCCTATCTTCGGTTCTTTCATGCCGCAGCAGAAGAAATCCTTACCTATTGCGGAGGCCTCGAAAACAACAAGCGAGGGCACGACGTCCACCATACGATCGGGTAATAATCCAGTGCAACAGCAACAGTCTGCGAATAAACCAGGCTCGGTCCCCCTAGAGTCCATCATACCCGCGACTGCGAAGCCGCCGACTCATTACCTTTCCCGCACATACACTCCTCTCACTGCTCCAGACTTTCACTTTACCATCCCTCTTCCTACCACCGCATCTCGGTTCACAATTTACCGCGACGACGAAAGCAAGCAACCTCTTACGGATCGCTATGGCTTCATTTATGATGTCTCGCAGTATGACGTCTTGCTACTCATCCGGGCGAAGGAATGCGGCAACACAGCTCCCGCATGCCTGACCGGCGTCAAAATTGCTGACCGCAAAGAAAGTAATTCTTGGTCAGACGATGATGAAGACGACCGGAAGGATGTGATTAAGATCGTAAAGGAATCATGCAGTTGCGGTGGAGAAGGCAATCCATTGTCGCCGGTTCCATCTGGTCCTTCTAATGGCAAGGGAGTATCATCATCATCCCCTCCAGATAGCAGCAGTGCTTCGCGCCGTTCTCGCGCTGGCTCAGCGTCATCTTCTCGGCCCCGCTCCACTACTGTCACTTCTATGGCTGCGCCACCTGCTGTCTTCGCGCTTCATTCTAGTGCCGCGATTCTGGTTGTGACCCAGTCCACGCCTCGTCATGTCTGCGCTAATGTTATCCGACATCTTCTCGATGACATGACCAAGATTCACGATCAGAACCAGGGTGCCAAGAGGAAAGAGTGGGATGTCTTTGTGAAACAACGCAGCAAAGTCAAGTTACCCAAGAATGTCCTACCTGCGGTCATGAACTCTGGAGGAGGTGCTGCCGCTCTTCTTGGCTTGGGCACTTCAGTCGAGGAAGAAGAATTATCGCATTCAGAGGGCCTCATTGGCTTTGCTCAACTGGGCCTGTCGTCAAACAAGGACGAGAGGAAAGAGTTTGATCGGTTGGTTCGAGGGGGCATACCCCTAGTTTACCGCTCCAAGCTCTGGCTGGAGTGCAGCGGAGGCTTGGATATGCGCGAACCTGGCATTTTTGGCGACTTGCTGGCTCATGTTGACGGGGACGACTTGGTTTGTGTGGAAATCGAGAAGGATGTTGGTAGGACTATGCCGCTGAACGTCTTCTTTGGAGGTGACGGTGCCGGGGTTGACAAACTTCGTCGCGTACTCAGAGCATATAGTCGGTGGGTCACACCATCGTGTCAATCTCATACGTCTTTTAACATGATATCCTCAGTCGCAACCCTGCTGTAGGGTATTGTCAGGGTATGAACCTGGTGACTTCCACTTTGTTGCTAGTACATGCCGATGAAGAAGAGGCGTTCTGGGTGCTCTCAGCCATCATCGAACGATTACTTCCGGAAGATTTCTTTTCGCCTTCGCTTTTACCATCTCGTGCATGTCCTCTGGTCCTCCTTGAATATGTACAGGAGACCATGCCTAAACTTTACATGCATTTGACCGCCCTCGGCGTCGACCTTCCAGCCATCTGCTTCTCTTGGTTTTTATCGCTCTTCACAGATTGTCTTCCAATAGAGGTAAGTGAGAGCGTATATGCGTACGCTATGTCATCTGACTCTTTGGTAGACGCTTTTCAGGGTATGGGACGTCTTTTTGGTTGATGGACTCGATGTCCTCTTCCGTGTCGCCCTCGGCATCCTTCGCAATAACGAACAAGAACTGCTGCAATGCGAATCCAACTCTGCCGTTTATGTCTCTTTAGAGAACCTGCCTACCAGGATGTGGCAGTCCGATAAACTACTCCAGGCAAGTTCATCGGTTGTTCTTCGTGCCAATACACTGACCGAGTCATTGCGATATAGCTGGAGCTCGACCTTAGAAACACGATCTCACATGCTGATCTCGTCAGGAGACGGGAAATGCACGTTGTTGCGCTCAAACATCTTATGGCATAGCTGTTGTCTCTTCTAAGTCTTTTACTGTTATGCATCAGGACACTAAGTAATATCAGCACATTACGCATCGCTTTGAATACAGTCCAGACGCTCTGAGAGCATTTTTTGGTGGCTGTTGTATTTAAACCGAGAGACGTTAGGACCCTTAGTTCCCGCGCATCTTCGATTTCCGAACCAGGCTTCAAGTTGGCTTCTTTCCCTCTTCTTTGTTCAGGTTGTCCACGTCACGATCACGTGGTTATTATTTTGGTGACCTTGAAGAAGGCGACTTGGTCCTGGTCCTGGCGTCACTTGGAGGAGGTACCCCAGAGTCCAGCTTCGACATGAACTCCTATCAGCTTCCCCTCATCGACGAGGAAAATCCTTTCTACTGCCCAAGTTTCCCGGCTGCAGCATACCTGGCTACTATCCGGCAAACTCGTCAATCGAATGCTTTTCTTTTCCAAGACCTATCCTTGCGCTCTTTTTTCTGGAAACTCGGCCTTTGTTTTGCAAAAGACGATCAAGATTATACCAGTAATGCTGCAGCTCATCATACTCTGGAAGCGTCTTCATGGTCGAGCAGTCCGGACGCGCAGTCGCCAATCCCTCTCGCGCGAAACCAGGTCTCGGATGATTTGCCAGATGTGCCAGTCTTGCGACGTGGACTCGCCGGATTGGCGTGGAGGAGAACTTCTTCACGCGTTCTGAAGCGTCTCAGAGATTTTTCCGAGCCCGAAGACCACATCTTTCTTGGAGGCCCGTCGAAACGAGGTCGTTCTTCACAGTCCGTTCATACGAGCCCGGTCGACAATAATGGAATCCAACCGCTGTCTTATACTTCGCATCATCCACTCGCGGCGTCATATCAAGGCGTCCCAAGGGTTCTTGAAGGTGTCCCTCTTTTCCTCTTCAGGAAACATCCACATTCGCTCCCACTTCGAGTTTTCCCTCTCTCTCAATGCTAAACCTATCCATATACTAACTATATGCGTCTCAGCGTGGATCTACGAATCTGAAACAGGAGATGAAACGCCAGTAGATCTTTCCTTCCTAGTAGATCGCCTCGAAATGGTCATCCCGGGCACGGGCGTCTACCAGACGTTCCTAGCAGACCCTCTAGCCGTTCTGCATCTCACCCACCAGAAAATCGCAAACGCTCTGGCAGACCGGGGTATGAATGGAAATTTTCTTCCTCTCGTGAATGCTAAAGGGTTCTAGGACTCCTTACCGAAACGATTTTGACGCTCCTACGAGGTGGCAATATCGACAAATTGGATTTAGGTCCTACGATGTGCGAGGAAGATGGGCTGAATCTCCATTTAAGCAATCCTTTGCACGGTAAAACTCTTGGAAAAACGTTACAGTTGCAAGCTTGACTTCGGGACAGTGTTCAGCAGACCTGATTACTACTTGACGCTCAGGGAGCTGGTTCTCAATGGCGCCCACCTCGAACGCGACTTTGACCTAGTTCACATCCTACGGCTTCCTAACCTAGAAAGACTCCACCTCGAGGCGACTGATGTCGGAAATGAAGCGTTGGCTACCAACTCTTCTCAAGTATACTCACGACGACTGACGGTCTCTTAGAGTATTCTTGCTGATCAACCTCAAAGAGAAGCTGTGTTATCTGAACCTCGCACACAATCCGAAGATCAACGACGACGCTATACCCGCTATCATCTTGCTCACCAACCTCGGATATCTTTCGATCCAGGCAACCGGTATCGATATGCCTGGTTTCCGTCGACTCGCAGCTGTGATCTACACCGAAGACCGCGTCATTGATATTGAAATTCCATTCAGATGCGAAAAATACATCGATAGTTGGGTGTTTCTTATTCATTTAGCGTAACTTACCGAGTTTGCAGACTTGCACAAGCAATACCTCGTCGACCCTGCATTGCCCCTCATCACTGATCCCTCTGCATGTCAGCTGTTATCGAATGCCGCGCTTACTCGCAATCTGCAAGCTCACGCTGACATCAACCCCTCGATTGTCCCGACGGGAACGCGTCTAGAGATGATTGACAGGTTGACGAAGCTCCTGGAACGAAGGCGGATGGACCTCACGGTGCGTAGTATGGTTTGCGGAGAGCCCGGGGAGGTCTGAGACAGATGTGAAAGTTAGTGTGATGTGAGCATGCAGTATTCACACTAGTACTGTATACCATCTATGCGGCTACCCCAGGACCACTCGAATCATTCCCCCGGTAGTCCTTGCCCCATACTTATGTGCATGTCATGCACATTGCACACCCACAACCTTGTACTCATCTACATGATGAAGGCTACTCGACGTCAATGGACAGCATGTTCATGTGCGAAGGACATGGTAAGTTGGCGCAGATCTACACAAGGCTACAGAGACATAATATACACGAGAATCAAAAATGACAATTTATGAGTCAATCAAACGGAGATGGACTGTGCTTTCTCCGTAAAATCAGCTAGACTACGCACGAGGTGATCAACCTGCGTAGCAATTTCACTAAGACGGCGATCCTGCTCGGCAAAGCGAGCTTCCACCATTGCAGCCAGATTGTCGGCTTGAACGGGAAGCGAACTTGTCTCATCCGAGTTATCGAAAGGTTCGTCTGACGTTCCACCTACGTTTTGAACCGTGTCTTTAACCTTGACCAGCCAATGTTTGTGAGGGTAGTGCGCTGTGACCACGTTGAATACATCGTGGAATGCGCAATTGCCACATAGGGCAATGGCAATGGCGGTCGGGAGTTCTGTAGTGGCTATTAAGCTTCATGCCTCTCTAGACGTACAGAAATCTGACCTCCGCAGGTAAGGCATACATAAAAAACGCCCTTGAGTTTGACGCTACATTCAGCACAAGTATAGACAACCCTATTCGCAACTGAGGTTTCAGCTATCCCCATGAATGCCGCTCCTGAGTTTCTGCTCAGCAAATCGAGAGAGGCGGAAACATCTGCTTGATCTTGAGTGGTTTCTGTCGAATGCGGAAGATCTATTCCACCTGATTGCGTCCGAGATTCGTCTTCTCGCGCAGTCAATGATCCTTCTGGTGGTGCTGCATCGGGCAAATAAGTGGACAAGAAGTTCCTGGCGTGCCACTGGACCCGCTTGTAGCGAACGTGCGGTAGCGACATGCGGAAAACAAGCATGTTGTGTGTCGACTTGTGATTGGATGAGTACTCGTGATTCGAAACCGGCATAGATTCACATTCTGCACATAGATCATATTCATCTATGTATGTAAGATGATCAGTCGTCTCGCGCAGGAGAGCTGTCTTCATTACACTCACTGGACTCGCAGTCTATACAACGGTGAAGAACATCGGCAACGAGGGAATGGCATGCATCGCAGCAACATCTAAATACCGGAAAATCAGATGGTTAAAGAATTATAGCCAACAGAAGCTGGACTCACTTGAACAATCGTCTGCGCACGTGCAGTTCAGCTAATGAACTCCAGCGTTGGACGTCTGAGGAAGGCAGCTTATCGGACAAGAAATTGAACCTTTGTTTTTCCTCGGACGATAGGTAAGGCGTGACTTCAAAAGGGTAGAAGTTTCGTGCATTGTGAAGCTCATTCATGCACCACAAACGGATATACTCGTCCTTAGCGCTTTCAGGCTGCTGACCGGAACTAAATGCGACGAGTTTCACAGGCCTTTCCAACAGTTCACTGTCCTCTTCCAGACTGAAGGGACCAAACTTCAGTGCTGTCGTATCGATCTCCAGTTTGGTATCATCAAGCCCGAAATCGTAGGTTTCCCAGTATTCGGTATCGTCTGTGGTTAGTTCTGGACTATACCAAAAGTTGTACTATTGCCAGCGTGTCAGACTCAGGAAACAATACACTATTGCTCCACGCACCAAGCCATGCGCATACCAAGTGAATCTCACTTTTGGATCGTTCCCCTGTTGACGGAAGGATGCTGAAATGGTGGAAGAAAATAGATAATCGCGACACAGCTTAAAGCGCACCTGCCAGTTGCTCCACACGCAGAGACACTCCTTGCAGGATATTTTCTATCGTTTGAGTTGCAGACTCAAGTTCTCTCTCTACTAGAATTACTGTGTTGGCGAGTCTCATGATGTGTAAATGCCTCCTGATGACGAGGTAAAGTAAAGGCAGCAAGAACTGGACGAGCACTCATGTGAGCATTTAGCACAAGCACCGAGTAAACAACTCACATTTTCAATGCGTCCAGATCCGAAAAGTTTGATGGAATCCATGGAGTCTATTTCATACTTCACAATGTCAAGTTTATCCGCCAAGATCTCCTCCTGAGCTGTACGACGCCGAGCAGTCAATTGCGTGAGATCTGAGTCCAAATCCTCTGATCCAGGCTCTGTAAGAGAACGGACTAGCCGTTTGATACCTGTCAACCGTGTAAATGCCCCCGCCCAAAGGTGAGCAGAGCAACCCACCATCGATCGCATATGAATTCAAGTATGTCGCGATACACCCACTGTTTTCTGGAAGTGCGTCTGCTTGCACATAAACCATGCTGTCCAAGATCTGTTCAATTCGTGTGTGGTAATATTGGCTATCCACTCTCCAACCTTTGTTGATGTAAACAATGCAGGCTCGACCTGATAATAGTAATGCTCACCTGCAGCCCAGTATGCGAGTGCTTGTGGAAGACTCCAACCTGAAGGGATCGTGGAAGTGAAGGCATTCACTTCCCTTATGCTGACCAAACCATTTGCATCGCCATCGAAGCCTTCGGATAAACTTGGAACGTAAAAAGCGGTCAAGTATTTCAAGCACCACTTGTCTGCAAGATTGACTATAGGAAGCTCGTGGTCTTCTCCTTCTGAATCAGAGGTGACTGAGACAGTAGGGGTTGGGGATGGGACGCGCAACACCAAAGATGAACCACCTGATATCGCTTGTGCGGGTGGAGCATCATGACGGATGCGGGCAAAACGATCGACGTAATAGTCATAGAGTTCTGCGATAAAGTATAGCGTCTTGACACTTGTTGACCATTTCTTGGCGATGATAAGTATGCACTTTGTTCACGCCTGCATAAACACATACCATCTCTTTCCAGACTATAACAGAGGTGCTGGTGAAATTAACCGAGTTAGCAATGCATGGGCCAGAGTTCACTGATCCTTACTGGATCCTTGACCCGTCGGAATCTGCTGTTGAAAGCACACATGATGCGCGCTTCGGAATCCTTGATAGCGTCTTTAATGTCAGATGTCTGTGTGTCGAGCTTGAACATGAAGAGCGCGCGGTTCTCGTCGAGTAAGCTGCGTAAAGGAGCACGCAGTTCGTGAAGTAGCGAGGCATCAAGGCGGTACTGCTCGACGACCAACCCACTCGCCGAAGTGGTCTTGGAGGTAGGCTGAACATCTTTGGAGAGAGGATTAGCACGCGCTTTATTCTGTGGACGTGCTTCCCGTTTCTCGGCAAATTTCAGTAGCTCTGCTAATTTGTCTTCGCTTTCCAAACATTTCTCCCTCCCATCGCGCATTTGCACTTCTTTCTCGAATCTCGCTTCCCGTTCGGTTGGCCTCTGGATCAGCTTCTCCAACTTATCGATCGCAATGTCAACTCTCAACGTCGTCCTAATATTTAAGGCGAACTGAAGGTCCTGCGTGCGCGCGAAAAAGCTTTTACAAATTTTCAGGAATTCGCTCGCCCAATGGGATGATCTGAAGAATTTCACTGGGAATGGAGTTCTCAATACTATGAAACACACAACAACCCGAGAGAAACAAACCTATGAATTTTGACTTGTAATACTTGTCAATGGCATTTCCACAATCCTCGATATCTTTTTTCATGGCGTCCGTGATACGTTCCAGACGCCCCCGAATCTCACCATTAGGTCCCACGATGGCAGGGTCTCTGGTGTCCTTAAGTCTACCGACGAATTGAATCAGCGAAAGTTGCTCGGGATTGGCATCAGCGGACGCACTGGAGAAGCATGTCCATCATATCAGATGCCTGAGCGATCATCAACCCAACTCTACGATCGTTCTCTCTTCGTGTTAGCTCAAGATTGATGACGGCCTTGAAAGCGAGTATAGCCACTGGAAGTTATCTATTGGCTGGGTAGAAACATCGACAAGTGGGAAACACACCCCCAACAAACGGGTGGACTTGTTGCAGAACGTCCAGGGCATCCATTACCTTCTTTGCATCACCAAGAAAGTCGCTCATATTCTTCTTTGAGAGGTTCGCAATCGTGTCAGAAGCTGAGTCAAGGGCTGGGGCATTCTGGTTGTAGTAATTATTCGCTGATCCAACTTCCTGGATGATTTGGGAGACGAAGTCCTCTAAGCGAAGAGTCGGAATACAACACTAAGTGACTGGGATGAAGTGAATATGACCAACCTTTGTTGAGCTTTCTGGCGAATGTCGAGTGCAAATCCACGACATCATCCAATGCCTTCTGTGTTCGTTCAATCGTAATGTTGGATATGCCTTGTTCTTTGTTATTCATGGAGGCTTCAAAGACTCGGAAGTCGTCGAGTAAGAAGGGAAGAGACTGCCGATAAGTATGTCAGAAGTAGTAGACAGCCGATGAACTTGCGAGTCAAGTTAGACGCACATGCAATGGGCATAGCTCGGAAAAGACCTATCTAAGTTCCCAAACCTGATCATCTCAAACGAGTCTAGACCGGACCGTGGACAGTATAGGTCTAACAAGACTGACAACATGGGAACCACCCCACAAAGAATACCGGCAGCGTCGACTGCCAGGATAGTCCTCTCACCCAGGTATAATTCCTAACCGTCACTGGGCGTGCAACACAACCATCACAGTGATTGAGTGCATTTCTGGCAGTTGAAGTTCGTCGTACTAAAGTCGTGTTCGACTGTGACATTTCTCCGGTATCGGGACAATTGCAATGATCAACCGTCATGTAACGCAACTTCTAACCTGGACACACCCGCGGCTGCAGTCTCATTACCAATGTGGTCCTTCTTTTCTGTCTGCTCGGTCATTCAGTGCTTTACAATCCGAGTCGGACCTCACCTGAACGCTGAGTACTTTCAGGAACCAGGATCACTTGATATGTATATCCCCGACTTCGTGACTGGCTCATCGTGGTGAGTTGGGGACCTTTCCGGTTTATCACAAGCTCATACCCTCTTCCACCAACTTCACCACGTGACCAATAGCATTTGGCTCGAACGCTCGACTCCGAGTCAGTAATAAGTTTACTACTTGCTTCGTATCTTGAAAGTTGATTGCACCCCTGTCATCTTTTCACACAACGCAAAACCTCTTGACGCGGAACTGTCCGTGACAATGCGGATCATGAGGTTGAAGTTGGCTACTGATTAACGCCCAATTCGCCAGTTTGAATCATTGGCAAGGTCAGCAAAATTCGTAAATTTTGGATCAGGTCAAGAATCGTCGACTCTTACTCCCCTAATATATTGCAAAACAGGTTCGCAGAAGAGGAAATCCTTTGCGACCAGCTGAGGACCTTGCTCGGTTATGACTCTTTTCGTTCAGTTCCGCGTGTCGAGAGATCAAGGTAATAATTTGTCAATCCTGGACAAGATTCCCGTGCTGATTACAACATGCATTCTAAGTGAATGTAGTCTACTGCTACAAGCTCACAGCGCTACTGGGTCTCGTATCATGCAACCGACAATCAGGAGGTGTTGTGCGTAAAGCCCACTTTCAAGTTTCTAGACTATTGGTATCTTCTTTCCAGGTCAAACATGAGGGAAAATTAACCTTACAGGTGGGCCCTGTTAGAACATCCGCTACTTGCCTCCCACTGGGGGAGGACAATTCTAGCGCGCAGATTTCAAGGTCGCTAACCCCTACGCTGTACACTGCGTTGCTGCTCACAATACGGGCTCTCGTAAACCTGCACACGCGTATTCAAAGCGAGGTTCGCTCGATCACGCCATTAGGACAACACCGAGGTCTGCCGTCAGGGCACTCACTGTTGAATTTGTAGCTCGCATTCTTAGGTCCTCACAACCTCGCCGCTTCCAAGGCATTTTTTGTGAAGCTTATCACTATTTCGCGACTCACTGCAGCAGTCATCAGATCTTTGTCATGCGTTCTTCAGTGTAGGCCCATTATGATCGAAAATGAGGTGTGTTCTTGATCGAAATGACTGATTAACATACGATTCCATTTCTGTTTATAGCAAATCGTCGGATTACAATCTCGCCTCGCCCTTTTCATGATCACCCATCCCATCCTGTTCACGGTCGGCTTCCTGGCCCGTTCACTAAACTCTCTACTTCTTCGCCGCTGATCCGAAAGTTATAGTGCTGGACCTTGTAGGACAAATTCCACGATTCTCTCCATCTCACCAAGATCGAAGGGAGAGGAGAGAGAGAATCTTATGAATGCGGTGGGTAGCGCACCTCGAGGAAGGCTATTGGCTACTTGTGGCTGTTTTTTGCCTTCGGCCTATTGTGGTTTTTTAGTACAGACACCCTACACGTGCTCGTGGTTTCCAGCATTTCGGAGCCAAAGGGTTGATCACATTACTACCTATGTCCGTAATGCTTGCAGAACGGCGGCGATGGGGAAATGAAAGATGTCAACTTAATGGTTGTTCGACCGAGAGCAGAAGTTCTGGAAATCTTTGTTTGTGCCCCGCCCCTATTAATGTAAAGTTCTGAATCGCACCTATGATAAGCGTATTACCATTTCACATAGACCAAATAGAAGATACTTCTGAGATTCCACTTCCCCCTAGTAGGATGGCACGTTTATATATCTCACCGGCAAGGGCCATCCGTCCATCGGATCCGTCCGGGTTATTGCACACGCGCCTAGTCAGCCTCCCCGTCCCACTGTGACAACAAAGCTCTGGAAAACCTGTAAAGCAGAGCAGAGATTCAAATGAGTAATCGGACTCAGAATTGGAAATCGACGAGATACTTTTACTACCCAACCTTCCCAGCTGCAGTATACCTCCTACCATCCGGCAAGCTCGTCAATCGAATGCTTTGCTTTTCCAAGTCCTATCCTTGCGCTCTTTTTTCTTCTGGAAACTCGACTTCTACTTTGCAAAAGACGACTAAGATTATACCAATAATGCCGTAGCTCATAATATTTTGGAAGTGTCTTCATGGCCGAGCAGCGGGCAGCCCGGACGTCCAGTCGCCAATCCCTGGTCTAAGATGATTTGCCAGATGTGCCAGTCCTCTCTTGGAGGACTGTCGAAATGGGGTCCTTCACAGCTTCACAGTCCGTTCGTACGAGCCCCGTCCAGCGTCGACAATAGTGGAATCCATTCGCTGTCTTATACTTTGGTTCTCAGTTCTCCCTCTTCTTAACATTAAACATATCCATATACCGACTATATGCATCTGCATGGATCTATGAATTCGAAACAGATGATGAAATACCAGTAGACCTTTCTTTCCTAGTAAATCGCCTCAAAATGGTCATCCCAGACACGGGCGTGTACCAAACGTTTCTAGCAGACCCTCCAGCCGTTCTACATCTCACCCACCACAAAATCGTAACCGCTCTGGCAGACCGGGGCATCGATTGCAGGAATACCTCTCATGAATGCTAAAGCTAAAGGGTTCTAGGACTTCTTACTTGAATGGTTTTGACGCTCCTACGAGGTGGCGATATCGGTGCGATGAAGATGGGCTGAATCCTCCATTTACTTTTGATCAAACCAATTGGTATCGACATGCCTGGTTTCCGTCGGCTGGCAGCTAGGATCTACACCGAGAATCGCGTCATTGACATTGAAATTCCATTCAGATGCGAAAAATACATCGACAGTTGGGTGTTTCCTGTTCATTTAACGCAACTTACGAAGTTTGCAGACTCACATTACCTCGTCGACCCTGTATTGCCTCTCATCACCGATCCTTCTGCATGTCAGTTGTTATCAAATGCCGCGCTCGATCGCAACCCGCAAGCTCACGGCAATATCAACCCTTCGATTGTCCCGATGGGAACGCGTCTAGAGATGATTGACGAAGCTCCTGGAACAAAGGCAGATGCCATAGACCTAGTGCGCGGTATGATTCGTGGAGAACCCGGAGGGGTCTGAGACGGATGTGAAAGTTGAAGAGTGTGTGTGTGATGGGAGCATGCGGTATTCACACCAGTACTGTATAATGTTGAGAAGCAACGCAACGAAGAAAACTACAATCGTATTTTTCTCCGTCCTGCCTTCTGCTGTCCCCAAGGTTCAAGGTTCAGCCAAATTAGTAAGTTTTCCCGATGTTCGGAAGCCGCACACACTCAGAAATGCACTTAGGCCCCTTAATTAATACCGGTGTTCTAAGTCAGCCCAGGGTACACATGGCTGACTGGCTGCTGGTCGCACATCCCTTGATAAATTTCCCTCGCTCCATTCTCCACATCTATCATGAGAAGTGCTCAAAGAAACAGTATCATCACGTCGAAGCGGGATGCAAGAGACAAGGCGCTGTCTTTGGCTGGCCCTTATTCGGTGAACGATTACGATATCTATACTAAATCAACAGGTTAGTTTTGCATCCCATTTTGGAATGCATACCCGCTGACGGAGTTCGCAGCCAGCGAAATTGTGCAAAGGATAGCCAAAGGAGAATGGACCTCTTCTCAAGTCCTCGAGGCATACATTGCAAGAGCCGCCGTTGCTCAAGCCGAGACGAATTGTATCACAGAAGGGGAGTAGGACCAACATTTCGATGCTATTTCCATCCTGATACCTTGTCACAGTCCTATTTGAGGATGCCCGTAAGCAAGCGAAGGAGCTTGACGCAGAATTTGCAAGCACACGGCAAGTGCGGGGACCTTTGCATGGCGTTCCAGCGAGCTTCAAAGATCAATGTACGTCGCTCTATGTCCGTGCCATCCAACTGTGAACTCTGCTGTAGATGAGATCCAGGGACACGACGCAACTATTGGGTTCACCGCGTGGGCCAACAAGCCGAGTACAAAAGACGCTTTCGTACGTTCTTGGCATATCATCCGTCCAGTCTCCTTCATCGTTATTCCCAGCTCGTCGCCCAATTCAAAGCTGCTGGCGCCATTGTTATCGCGAAGACCAACGTACCACAGACGATGTTCGCGTTCGAGTGCTCTAATCCTCTCTGGGGTCGTACCACGAACCCATGGAACAACCAGTATACATGTGGAGGCAGCTCGGGTGGAGGTTTGTTATCTGCTTGTAAATCAATTGATACTTAACAGTGTCTGGTGCTAGAGGCGGCTTTGCTTGCCATGGACGGATCTACCATCGGTGTTGGTTCTGATGTTGGAGGAAGTCTACGCATTCCGGCATCGTATTGCGGCATTTACTCGCTAAAGCCGTCGGCTGACCGTGTCAGCTCTATCGGTGCAAAAGGAATGGAATACTCTTGATGCTCTCGGGCAAGTCGTTTGACGGATTTTGTCGTACAGGCTGCCGGCCTGGATACGAAGCGATTCGCAGTAGTTATGGGCCCATGGCACGGTTAGTTGTTAAATCTGCTGCTGGCTATTTCTTGACCATTTCTAGGTCTGTCCAGGACTGTGAATTGTTCTGCAGAACTATTTTTGGTCAACAGGACCCGTCTTACACGATTGTTCCTTTGCCGTACCGACCCGTCGAACTCTCCGCCAAGCTTCGCTTTGGTTATTACCTGTCAGGTACGGTGCTGTATTTTGGTTGTTCTTCGTGGTTTATACTTAGGATACTCATAGATGACATGACGCAAACATCACCTGTATGCCAGCGAGCAGTACTGGAGACGGTCTCAGCACTCAGGAAGCAGGGACATGAATGTCTCGAGTTTACATCTCATCTGAGTACGAATTTATACTTGTCCTCATTCTCCGTTCTGACATATAATCAAGACACTACTGCGATGGAGGTCTTCATCGGACTCGTCACATCTGACGGTTATAAAAAGATGCTGTCATATTTGGATTCTGACCCTCCGGCAAGTATAATTAAGAATCTACCCCACATAACTCACATAACCCGACTGACAGGAGAGCAGTCTGTTCCTGACAACCTTGGGCCCCAGATTACCTTCCTTCATACGTAACTTGGTGTCCTGGATCGCTAATACGTTCATGGGTGACGCGCTCATGTCGCGTTTCTTCTCTCTGTCACGAGAGAAATCTGTCTTGGAATTCACGGATTTGACAGACGAACGAAACAAAGTTTCTGCTGCGTGGTATGAAGAGGTGAGCGTATTGATATTCAGGGACCTTGCTCCGTTAATATCCCTCAGGTATGGGATAAATACAGTTTTGATGGAATCATCGCACCTGTACAGGCGCTTCCAGTGATCCCTCATGGGTAGGTTTCTAGGCCTTGTTATTTGGTCGCGAAGCTCATAACTCTTTAGGGGTTCCGTATACTTGTCCCCGCTTGCAGCCGCGACCATCATGTACAATGTCGTCGATTCTCCTGTCGGCATCATACCAGTAACGCGCGTCGACCCAGATACCGACCAGCTACCAGCAGACTTCGAGCCAGGCGCCTCCGGCCGATCAAAAGTATTCGATTCGCGCATGTACCTGGGAAAAAAGCCCGTTTACGATCCTAAAGCCATGGAAGGCATGCCTGTTGGCGTTCAGATCGTAGGTAAGAAATGGGAGGATGAGAAGGTCCTTGCGATGATGCATGTTGTCGACGAGGCTCTTGGACCTAGGGGATTCGGTCCAGGTAGTTGGAAACCGAGAACGACAAATTGATTCCCTTTAAGTTTTTGTACCGTTCCGGATCTCCCTTCCTGGTATCTCATACATACTACATCTATCGGATCATCTATTGTCATGAATATACAGCCTGGAATACAGAGGACTACGATATAACTCGAGAGATGGGCGAGCCTATTTCATGGAGACACCTCAGCACACAAAATCATTGGGGTCTGGATGTTGGATGTAGATATACATTGGAATGACGATGGATGGTGTTGAATAATACAATTTATGAGTCAGAACATAGTGATTATTGATGCATGGAGGATAATCAAGTGAAAATGTAGGTAGATGAGTCGTGAGCACATGAGGACTAACATTACAGTGAGGTTCACAGCCATCTAGCATGCATGACGAGGAAAGCAAGTTAAAAGCAATTGGAGGAAAGACAAGCAAGCAAGTCATTAGCGCATTAGACGGGAGATAGCACCGAAAGAAGAATATCTAGAGAAGCGCACGTCAAGAGAAGTAGGCCCGATGAAATGATAGAAAGCAGCATATGAAGGATATCCATGGAAGACCTTAGACGATCTCCCACAGAAGCATGCAGGAATGCGGGGTCGTTGGTCTGAGGCACTGGCGCTCACATCGTCCTGCCCTTGCCCTTAAGGTCAGAAAAAGAGTACCCGGAGTTACTCTGTTGCGACGACAAAGACCCATGAGACGGCTGAGGCTGTCCTTGGGGGTAACCTTGAATGCGTCTCGCACTAGGCAAGCCACCTTCGTGGATAAACTCGACGCCTGGTCTGGGAGTAGGCTGGACAATGGGCGCATTGCGATCGTGGGTCACAAAGGTATGCTGTGGACGGGAGGACGTGATTGGAATGGGGCCGAACGTCGCGGCGGATGACGACACAAATGCCGAGGATAAAGGTGCTGGAGGTGCAGGCGCTCTGGGTGGCGCCTGACTGAATCCTGGGCGTCCGAGCGATGCCTGCCCAAATGATGGCTGACCGAACCTCGGTGCAGAATCTTGAGTTCCATAAGGTGGCAATTGGCTCTGCTGGTACCGAGGCGAATGATGAGGAGGTCCAGGGGCGGGATATGGACTGGTGGCACCAGGCCTGCGCGATCTAGATCGGGCGCGACCTTCGCCAACAATATGACTTCCTTGTCGCAACTCGGGATCGATATAAGAGTCGTCGGACGCTGCGGAACTAAAACGATGTGAAATGTGACTCGAAGTTGCTGACATGCCGGAGGCACTCATGGTCTCCACATCGCCTTCAGAAAAACTACCATCGTCGCCCTGTTCAAGCGCTGCTCGAGCAGACTTGCTGCGGCGCTTACGAGTACGCTTGTAGCCCTCGCCGTCAGAGCAGTCGAGTTGCCAATAGCTCCCTTTCCCCGGCTCTGTGATGGCACGTGGCACGAGTTTGAAGACTTTGTTTAGGGAAAGGTTATGGCGAATCGAGTTCTGCACATAAACGTGAGGCGCAGTGCGAGATGAATTAGAATACGGACCCACCTTCCAGGCCTTCTCGTCCCGTCGATCTTTGAACCATTTGAAGCGTGTCTCGAGTGCTGTGTATATATCTTGGAGAGTCAGTTGCTTGTTCGGGCTTCCGTAAATCGCTAACTTGATGAGTACAGGATAGGGCTGATTGGGTTTCTCCCCTTCAGGAGGATCCGGAAGGGCCCACAGGTTGACGTCCGTGTATGGTGGGATGTTCAACGTTTCACGAAGATAAGGTCCTGCGTCTTCGAAGAGAAGGTGTCTAGTCCTGTCACCGGCGACAGGAACAATGGAAAATGTCTGCTGTGACCCACGAGAACTAGAGTGAGATGCCGAAGGCTGTTCGGTAGATAAATGGGGTATGGCAAGATCCTGATTGATTTGTTCTTGGTAGAACTCAGGAGCGAGAATGGCGTCCGATTGATATTGAGGCGGTCTATAGTGCATGGTGGTGTTACTGGCAGGTGGTTGATCTGGGTATCGGGTATGCTCGAGGCCCATGCGATGAATGCCATGATAAGCGGGGTAATGTGGGTGCTGCTGTAGGTGCTGTGGCTCGTTAGAAGATGAGTGGCGGGAGACCGATGGAGTATATTGCGGATGCGAATGAGACGTGTAGGATTGGACTCCATCATGTTGGCTATGACCGGATGACGAGGAGCTGCTCCAGTTGCTATCCGCGCTATGATGAGATTCTGCGGGACTCGGGTACTGAAGTGGGAGGTATAAGAAACATTGAATATCTGGTTACTAAATAAGTTACTCACTGATGGAATGCCAATATCGTGTGGTGCGTGGGTTGGGTATACATGTGGCAGGATCTGCCCAACCCTAGGAGGCACATAGGGCGTATCATCTTCGAAATGTTCCGGGGTCAGAACTTGGGAATGATGACCTCTGCTTCGAGAGGCATGGCCAAAATGGGTGGCTCCGACCTGGTTGCCGGCGCGGGCAGTGCCAGAGTCGGACTCCCCGTCCGAGAAATTATGTGAGCGGATTGCGAATGAATTGTTCTGTGGGAGAGCGCCGAGATCAGCGGCCAATCCCCAGGTATTGTCAATGTAAAGTGAATCGCCACGCATAGAAGCTTTGCAGAAGACATTGTGGAAAAAAAATTAACGGGACCCACCAAACCAAATAGTTTGACAACAACAAAATGAATGTTCAAGTTAAACGACGCGACGCGGAGGCACACACGTGATCAAGACGTTGTAGATATCACGTAAGATAAGGCACAATCCAAGAGTGAGTGACGGAGTTTACCGAGATGGTTCAAAGGATTTACCTTAAGCGAAGTGGACAAATAGTAGAGGAGGAGAAAGGAGTCGTTCAAAGATGAGAAAGATAGTAGATAATATTCGGTAAAGGTGTATATGGTTTATGCGAGGCCTTGTGGGCTTTTTTCACTGCAAATACCAGTAGGCGGGCCCGCCTTTTAAGCAGAACTGAAAGGTGCGACATGTTTCACCTTCCCACCTCGAAAATTACCAAAGGAGGCAAAAAAAGTCGCTTGCTGTAGAGTGCTTGAAAGCAATCAAGGTCGCGGATTGCCTCTGAATAAGGTCCCTTGTGAGAAATGCGTACGTCAGCTCCCTTTGACCTGACAGCGCCTATGGATGAGAACTCTTGAATATGCCTAGCAAGGAAATTCACGATGGCGGTGTTGACCGTATGTCCATATTGGCCTGAACCAGAAATTATGGCTGGATTGCGTCGGATGCAGGTTCTCAATTCCCTTTTACAGGAAGGAGGAAATACCCGTTTTGGTGTTCCCCTTGAAACATGCAAGTGCAACGTGTTTCAACAACGAGGCGTCGGCGCTCCATCAAGGGAGATATGATGCTACCAACTTCTAAGTCATCCGATATCGATTTTATCTTGCAAAGTCGACCAAGTTGCATCGGATATAAGCTTGGAGTGTGGACACCGAAGCACAAAGAAGACGCATACCAGTGGGCGTCAGCGTGGCATCAGGCGGAAGCAAAATCATCATGTTGGGGGGAAGTCCAGAAATGGCAGGTGTAGTATTCAGTATCGGCGACTGCCAAAGGTAAACCAAGTTACGTACCTTTCGAACGACTTGAGACTAGGCATGTATCAGCCCTATCATATGGATCAAGCATTCAGTTCGTTACCGGAAAAGTACTTCTTGTCCTTGTCCAATAATCCCCTTTGGTTATTCGAGCAGAATCGACGTCTCTGGTGCGGCTCACCGCCCTTCGAGTGCACAACTCAGACACTCACCGAACCAACGTTCAAGTCCAACATTGCCATACCAACGCAAGGGGTCCCAGTGGAATCGCGGGCGAAGAATATGTCACCTCGCGCACCTTCATTCCCTGTCTGTCATGGACCATGGTTAATGAAAGCAGCCTCGGCATTCAACTCTCGTTTCTTTATGTTCACTTCCACGAGTGTTCTGGTCAATGTGCACGGTGAAAGATGCTGAATTGGTATCTATTTGACAATCTTTCATTTATAAATACGTGTTCGCACGTCCGGGCCTGCGGCATCCAGCACGAACATAGTGCAGTACGCCAGGGATCCTTGGGTATACAATTTATTCTGCAACACCATTGTTCTTGGAGGAGCCTTCATGCAAGAAAAGTTACCTTCCCATATCTCTGGTGATGCGGTCGAACAGGCACTAGGAAATCCACGAAGAAGTGAAGTGGAGAAGGAGATATGTTACACCCCCGAAGTTCCTCGGCGCAGTACTTTTCGCTCTATTTTGCTCGTCATGACTTGCACTTTTGCTATGGTACTCCAGGTATGTCTGTGCTCAGTATCCTTGATTTATTGAGTTACATGACATTAGACCTCAAATACCACGTCGGTTTCCATAGCTCTTCCAACTATTGGCCAAGACATTGGAATTCAAGAAGATCAGCTCCAGTGGCTAGTTTCCGCATATTCTCTGAGTTCGGTATGTCTATCAGCTTATGTGCCTCGATTTCTCACCAATTGTACTACGAAAAGGGATGTCTTCTCCTGTTCTTTGGACGGATCGCTGATTTGCATGGTCGCAAGAAGGCATTCATCGTCGGCTCCTCATTTCAACTTGTATTTTCACTTGGTGGAGGTTTTGCTGATGGTAAGCAGTGACCCGTTCAACAAATATGAATGCTATAGAGAATGCAGACGGCAACACCCTTACTATTATACGAGGTTTTCAAGGCCTCGGAGCAGCCGCACTGATCCCCTCAGCGGTATGTGCGTGATCGTGTAAATCCACGAGCTGCTCTCACACATGCGCCAGATGGGTATATTAGCGCATGCATTTCCCTCATCATCTCGTGCACGGTCAATTGCTTTTGCTACTTTTGCTGCGGGTGCTCCCGTAGGGGGTGCTTTCGGAACCATGGTCGGCGGGGCAGTTACCCAACTTTCGCAGTATGTACCCACGTTCATGTATCGTGTTCTTGGCGAGCTGACGGAATAAAGGCAGCGCTGGCGTGCGACTTTCTATGTAGCCGCTGCATTCTCGGCACTTTGTTGTATCGGTGGTTTGATATCCTTCGAGGCGGATAAAAAATCCACCGAGGTTGACAAGCGCATCGACTGGATCGGCGCAGGTCTAGTGACATTAGGACTTGTGTTGATTGTATTTGTTCTCGGCCAAGGCTCTCTCGCACCACAGGGCTGGAGCACAGGTTGTAAGTGGCCCTTGCCTTCCAGTGAAGTCATCTTGATGGTTGAACTAGATATCATTGCCATGCTCGTGGTCGGTGTATTCCTGGTTGGCTCCTTCCTTGTGTGGGAGCATTTTCTGGAAAAAATTGCGGATGATACCTTCAGACCCCGGTCAATGTGGACACCCCCTCCACTCATGAGACCGTCGTTATGGACTCGATCCAACGGTAAAATCGCGGTGGTCATGTGGGTTGCATTCCTCAACTGGTGCGGCTTCAACAGCTGGACCTTCTGGGCTCAGGTAAGCGACCTCTATTTCGCGGTGCTTCGACTTTAAAAAGCTTCAACATCACCAGCTGTACTACCAAAGGTACCTTTCGTTATCGCCAGTGCTGACCATGATCCGGTTTATTCCCATGTTTATTTCGGGGATATTGTGCAATTATTTCGTTGCATTACTCGTAGGAAAACTTCCGCTTGTGATATTCGCCGGTTCGTCCACACTGACAAGACTGCAAACGGACTGTCTTACGATTTTCCAACAGTTTCTGGAACTTTGTTCAGTGCTGTTTCTTGTCTTCTATTTGCGATCATCAACCCCTCCACGACATACTGGGCGTTCGGATTTCCTTCGACAATCCTTTCTGTTTGTGGCGCTGATTTTGTTTTTGCATCTGGAACGATTTTTATTGCGCAAACGGTGCTTCAACACGAGCAGAGCGTTGCTGGAGCTCTGTTACAGACTATGACGCAGGTGCGTTGTCTTTGCCTGACCATGATATTGATGTTCATTTACCGTCTGCAGCTCGGGACTGCGTTCGGCTTGACCATATCCACGATTGTATTCAACAGCATAGTCAAGAAAGAATCCGCTCAACTGGGAGTCACTCTGAACTCCCAAATGACGAATGCTCCCGCATCGGCGAATCTGAGTGGTTACAAGGCTGCTCAATGGAGTGCTACTGCTTTTTGTCTTCTTGGTAGGTGTTTTGCATCGCGGATTTGCGGAGCCTTATCAACGTTCCAGCGTCACTTCTTGGCCTCGTGTTTCTAAGAAATGTCGGTGTGGTGGGACACAAGAAAGAAGCTGAAGAAATTGCGCATTCATCTCAATCGGAGAAAAGCATCTAGGGCTCAAGCACCTGAAAACAGCTGTGTGAGACATAACGTCTGCCATTCGCTGCTACTCCCTTTCTTACGATGCGTCGGTGTTACCAAGCAAAGAAAGAGACTGCTTCAGCATTGACAGTAATTAGACCATGTCGCCTATATGACGTTCACGACATTCACGTGTTTGGAGACGATGCATTAATTTTCTAGCAAATGTGGACGGGCCAGCCAGAACTCGTCACTGATGATATCGCAGTGCAGGACCTCTACTGTAGTTTCCACCTTGTTTTTCTTCTTCGCCTTGGAGCGTTTTTGATGTGAGTGTGAGTGTATGTTTGTCGATGGATCAGACGCTGCTGAGCACTCGATGCTCTCGCTGCGTTCTTGCTCGGGCGCTGAGCGAGTCAAAAGCACGGGGGTCTCTAGACATTCTCCCCTGTCCGGCGACCTAGGGGCCACCTACACGTTAACGTGAGCAGGAGTCGATATAATACCTTCCAATTGAACGCACAATCTCTCGAACTATGACGCTGCCTTTCTTGAATCTCTGTGAGATTTCGTTATAGTTGATACCGAACCGGGAAAAAAGCATCTCGTGCTTAGTTGAGGAAACGGTGCCCTGAAGATTTGTCAATGGTGTGTCGCAGCTACGGAAGAAAGAAAATACCCTAAGCGTGGCATGAGCCTCCGTAGTAGTCTGACCTCCCTTCTGTATAAGAGCCCAGAATGTTGTATTATATAAATTGTTTATGTGGGCTTTATGCTGACACGCAGCTGAGCTCAGTCTCGGCAGCACCATAATCTGAGATAGACCCACTGTCGGCTTGCCGCCATGAAAAGTAGTCACGAACTGCACGCTCAGTCGGATACACGACAATACGTCCGTCGAATGACGGTGGATATCGTAGCAGCGTGTCTGGGAAATACTGCGACCAGTTGAACACATAACACGATGTGAAATAGGACGTCAACGTGGTGAGTATTTTAGCGTTTCGCCGGTTATAAAGGTTCGTCGACTTTCGGAAGAGAAAGCTATGATGAGTGATAAAATTGGTCACGACTAGAATAGAGGTTTATATTTGCCTGAACTCGTCGGATTCACCGAACGCGAGCAAGATGTCTTTGAACTCGATCATCGCGCTCTTCGCGGCGTGATCCATGAGTTGGAGCGCACGCTCGTCATTGGGCTTGGCAAACCCATGCTCGTCTGAGAACCTGAATCGTGAGATGACCATTAAGCTTTATTCCCTCGGTTCGGCCTCCGATGTTTACTTACCGGTGGAAAGAGTGGCCATCGAGACGACATACCAGATAGGTGTCTGGTAACAATGGATCAGGGAGCTCGAAATTGCGCACGTATGCAAACTTCGTGCCTGCCATCTTGATAGTGATCTCCTACAACTTATGCAGATGATGACTCGGATCTTGCGCCTGCAGTTGAATGGAGCTTGAAATCCGCTCAAACTTTAGTATTATTTGACAGCAAAGTGGTCCTTTTCTGGAGGGCGTTACCTAATACCTGCTCTTTCCAATCAACTTCGTTCCTCGTTCCTTTCCGACTCTCGCGGTGTGGCATTCATTCCGTTCTCAGAACGCAAGTCCCTTCTGGACGAGAATGATCTATGTATGATCCGAAGGGATCCACACAGACCCCAAACGAGCTCTTGAAGGTGATAATTGATAATTACAAGATAATTAACTGATCTCTTGCAGACTTTCTCTTCTATCTGTTTCAAGCGCCTGTGGCGGGCGACGAATTATTGAACGCGGTCCCACGCAGCCCATGTCCAGTGGGCTCGTGACCAGCCTCGCGAACACCTCAGATTGACGTGTTGTCAGATTGGTTACGGGTCTACATGTCCAGCACATCCTTCTTAACGAACATCTAGGCCATATGGGCCCTTCAGTGAGTAAAGTGGAAGCTTCTTTCCGATGTACTCGACAGCGATAGGCCCACATGCTATCTTCCTCCGATCCCACCTGTTCCCCCGCATGACACGGCAGTTCTCTGCTCGCCCTCGCATATTTCATTCTTACTTTCACCGCCTAGTTATCGTGATACTTCTGTTCCTTTTGTCTGTACTTATTCGATATATTGCGTTCTCCCACGTTATTATGTGTCGTGAGTCAGACTTCTGATACGAGCAGATATATCATAAGCCTTGACGGAGAAGGTCATACTTACGGTCGATATCCTTATCGAGTCATAACATACATAGTTGCTATATCAGGGATTGTGGGAACGTCTGTAGGAGACATGATTTCTAGTCACAGTTAGTCACTCTGAGCCTATCACCACACTGCTTTAAGCACCGGTTCCATTCACATCAGCTTCGAACAGCACTCACACACGTTGTCTGAATCCTACATACATACAACTTGCCTCGAGCTTTTATTGTTTTTCCTATACCGCGATGAGCAATCCAGGATTACCTACCCCAAATCCTCCTTATTCCTCATACTTCAGGCGCCGTACAATCGGTCGAGCTTCCTCTCCCCCAACATGGGCCTGCTATGAACAAATTCCATCTGACGATGATGATGAAGACTACAATGAAAGTCCTTCAGAAGATGAGTCTTGCTCGGAAGACGGGGAGGACTACGGCCATCACGACCGTGATTCTGAAGGGGATCATGCCGTAAATAGTGAGAGGCAGGATGATACGCAGAACATGGAGATCGATCGAGGTGATAATGGAGCTGACGATGAGAAGAGTGCCGCAAAGTTTAAGAAGGACATGAAGGGCAAACAAAAAGCCCTTGACCCTGAGCCAGAGCCAACAAAGAAGCATTATCGCAGACGAGAGCGCCGGCCCACCATGCATACACTTCGTCCGATCTTGACCATTCAAAGGAGTCAAGGTTTTGTATGGAACCAGGTTTGCATCCTTTTATCGAAGTTTCCGACCCCGAGTTGATAGGTTTTCCAAATTCAGGATCTATTCGTCCCTCCTTACATTAAAGATAGATGTGCGTTTCTCATTCCACGCTTATTTCTTGATTCTCTGGAGAGGATGCTTATTGTCTGCATGATTTACCTTACAGATGTCGCATCTACCTCACCGCCAAGCTCAAAAGGCTTTTCCAGCTCCTGGACGTCAACTACATCTTCAATGACCGATTATGAGGTAGAAGTGGTAGAGATCCGAGTCGGAGATGGTGAACTCTATGATATTATCCCTTGATTCACATTCTTTCCGTTCCTCCCCGTGAGATCGGGAGTCTTTTCACCCTGGAAATATCGGGTACTCGCATTTCTTCCTCCCTATCTTGCATATCACGAACTGGTTCTCCTTTCGCCATGTTGTTTTACCACCACACTTCCCTTACTCTCACCGCGTACTAAACTTCATTTCCTTGTGTTAATAACGATCATTAGACTCTTATAAATATTACAATGTTCCTTTCCCCCTTCACATTTAAGGGGCGATTTCAATCTGGACCGACCATCGCCATCAGCGCATCATCCACTTCTTTCATACGCGCTGCCTCCTTTTCTCGTTCCATCGCTTGCTCACGAACTATATCGTTTTCGCGTGCCACCCGGTACGTTGGTTTCATATAGGGTTTGTAATCGAGATGGCGCTTCACATAGAAGCACATATAAGCATTTGAGGCTAGGCAGTCACTGAGCGTCGATGGGGTCACTCTGTCAAAGGTGAGATAACAGTAGATTAGGGCATTGAGTTGCATACTTGTCGTCGTCGAAACGGTACCACTTGAACGATGTCAATAAATATGCAATAAAACTACACGACGAACACGCACCTCGTCTTGAAAACGAGCAAAATTCGTGTAGTGCCCATTATCCATTTGGCCCTCGTGGTTAATAACTGCAAATAGATCATATTCATACATGGCGTCGGGTCCTGGGTACCTATTCACGGAGTTAGGGAAATCGGTTGCAGTTCTTCGGGGAAGACATCTCACCCTGTTTCACCGTCCTTTCCTGTCATATTCATAGCGAGAGTCGTATACGGCGCCATATTAATAGAGGCTGGTATTCGAATTGGAGCGTCGATCTTTTGCGGTGCAGCTTTCCCAGATGTTTTATGCTCGAATCGCTTGAATTGGTGTCAGCATCAATTTACCTGGATCGGGGAACGTATCAAGGAACCTTGAATTGGAAACTGAGAACTGGAGGTAATGTCCGTATGCTGAGGCGCTTCACCGCTTCATGAGACGCTTTCGTGCATTTGCTACAAGTGTACTCTCTTGCTCCAAGCTTTTCTGGTTTAGTATACCTTTGAAGGAGTCAAAGCCTGTCAGACAACAGATGGTCATTCTCACCTGCGCAAGCAGCTCGCAAGCGTGTTCTCACTAGCCGCTTCCCCAGATTTCGCCCTCAACTCAAGGCTGATATCAAGCATTGGATCGATAGTGCTTGTCACGGTTCTGCACTTCTCACACGTAACATCACTTTGAAACTGACCGGCGAAAGTCTGATGAATGATGCAGTTACACGAAATGTTCGTAGAACCGCGGCATTTCCCGTGAATCTGATTCAGCGCGGTGATGAAAAACTCGTGTGCGTCTTGTTGGGCATAGCCCGACATCTCGGCGGAAACCTTCCAGGTCGTGTGCAGGAATGAGGTCGGTCCAAATGGGGTATTGGTCGGGGAATATATCTAATTCATCTTTCTTTAGCAATCAAGGATTGACAAGACCAGTGTGGATTACTAACCTCCGTGAACAGATTGTCCATTTCGCAACAAGTGCAGTCCGAATGTTTGCACAGCCTGTTGTTATGCCTATCACTGAGAAAATAATTACGTAACAATGGGTTGTGGATGAAGGACTGGAGTATGACGTTCAAGAAGCACGTCTGCCCTAGATTGAGCAGCCCACGACGACCTGTTCGGTGTGAGCTCCTATATCTGACATGCAATAGAAAAGTAGACCTTGACAAGGGACTGTGGCGGCATACTGCAGGGCAGCGGACTCCTCGCCTGTCGGAATCCACGGTTGGTATGGCTCTCGGCCTCTCTTCGCCACTAGACGTAGATTAAAATCCGCTGTGCTCTAGAGATACTACTTCAAATTACCTTGAAATTTTGTTCTTTGCTCCTCCACCGATACGACGGTGGAGAGATACAATTCGTCAATGGTGTCATCAAAGACAAAGTCGTCGCACTCTGAACAGAAGACGGATCCAGACTTTGCATCGGTGCCTGGATTGAGCGAGTTTAGAGTTGTCAGCTGACCAAGAAGCTCCGAAAACACGAACAAAACGTATGCCCCGCTTCTTTCAGGTGGTTTGTTGCGTGACCTTCTGACCAGCATCCTGCGAATGGGCAGTGCAGACAGATAAACGGTCGGGAGAGCGCTTGGTTGCAGGTGTCACAGGTCGGAGAGGATACCTGAGTTGCAAAACAGGGGGTCGAGTATACCATGTAACCATGCATCTCTACATAAATAAGCTAGCTTACCTTTCTTCGCTTTGCTGGATGCAAAGAATCATGCGTCCTGCTTGCGTGCCATGCTACGACTGTTTTGAATTTGTCTGTGATACCTGCTTTGGCGGAGGGATCGGCGAAGACGGAAGCGATATGTGAACACCTGGCTATATCGTTCTCGGAGGCATCGGAAGAGACAGATGGTGCGATGCCAGGATGTGCCTCTGCAGAGAGAGTAGATTCCTCGCCGAAAAGAGCTGTGTGCGTGCTGTCTGGAGATGCAGACATGCCTGAAACAGGTCAAATGGACACGATACTACAGACTTCAGACCGCTGGAAAATATGGACGCGTTTCAATGCAGCTGGCGCTGGACTATCCGGGAGTTCATACGGAGACTGTAGTGGTGATAAAGACGAGATGAAAAGTTGTAGAACCTTGCACTAAGTAGTGCAGCTGGCAGCTGTACTAGTGGCTCGCGTCGGAAGCGGTGAATTCAACAACGCTGACTTCCATAAATAGACAACCACTTTCTTTTTCGGATAATAGCCTATGTCAGGACTATTTTATTGGATCGCTGGAAAGCTCCCCATCATGTACGCGGGCAGCTCTCAGTCATGTATATTCTGTGGGGCTTATTCCACAAACCGCAGTGGATTTGATATCATATGGGAGGTGCGTCATACATACGTTGTTAATTGGTCATGTAATGAGCCTTAGACCTAAGTCTTGACATGTGCATCCAGGATGAGGAATTCGTTGCCTTTCGGGACATTCATCCATCGGCACGACACCATTTTCAACTCATCCCCAAGACCCACATCAGTGAGCTTCACGAGATTTTTTGCTTCGTTAGCTCACGGTCGACACACAATCAGAAAGTATCAGGCAGCTTTCCAAGAAGGATGTGAATATGCGTGAGCACTGAGCACGTCTGTACTTGCTGCATTGGCTAAATATCTCATCTGCATCCAAGTCCGGAGAGTGGAGGAAATAGGACATTCCATTCTCGATACGTTCAATGTACCTGTTCCAGAACGGAAGTAAGTCAATATCCCCTTGAATTATACTAGTCGTGACATCATCTTTTTAAGGATGGGCTTCCATATACCCCCGTTCAACTCAGTACTCCACCTGCACCTACATGTACAGGCTTTACCGTACAAATCGCTGGTACATCGACTCAAGTACCCGTTCGTCCAAGGCTTTGGCAACTATGATAAGGGATTCAGTTGGTTTGTTGAGATCGGTCAAGCAATACGGATTTTGGAAAAAGGTCGTCATGTCGCCATCGCGCCGTGCTGAACATCATCTTGTAAAGCGATGGTTGAATGACGATGACAAAAGTCGCTGTCGTGACGACTCTGACACACCTACTGTTACCCGGAACCGTGTGTCTTTGTCCCAGACGGCTCAGCTTCCTATCTTGCAAATATCAAACAAAGGTGAAACTCATCTCAATTAAATTTGGAACGGTATTTCTGGCCACTACTTAATTGTGTTTCATGGTTGACTCGGTCCACAGCTGCCAGACCATAGATTGAACGCGACCGAATGTGGATAGTCTCGACCCAGTCGCCTCATTTTAGTAGGAAGGGATTACCCCTCCGCAAATCAAATATTTGCACATGTAAGCGGTTACGAGTTTAGAATGTGGAGCAGCGTGCTGGGTACATGACCCTGATGACTCTTGCGATGACAACGAGCAGGTAGTCTGACTCCATCTACACGGGACGAAAGGCGGATGATCCGGCTACCTGCGCCATTTGGTGAAGCGGCATTCTTGCAGTCCATCACATGGAAACCATCAAAAGTGTCACCCTTAGATGATCGAAGTCTTCGACGAGTAAGCTTGATCTCTTTGTGGAATCGACCGATGCGGAGATGTCACCTTGGCGCAGTTGACATCAATGATTGGGCGGTTGATATGTCTAGCCCTTCAGTCCCCGTCATACCTTCCCGATGGGTTGAACTCACGTCAGTGAAGCTGCCTGACCCTTCGATTACGGTACGTACAACCCGCTGTACGTCCACGCGATGTTTAACAGGCACTTACGTTTGTGGAGTGCCCGTGTTAGATTCAGAAATGCGAGACTGATGCAAGTAATGTCTCTACTTGCATCTCTCCCACATCGCATTGGCACCGAAATGCTGAGGAACGAATTGCCAAAGGCCACTTCAGCCTGGTTTACGAGTACTATGGTAATACCGTACCTGCAATGCACGGTTACGTCGATATGGGAGGAGGGCCGCTCTCCAGGATATCGTACATCGAGCGGACGACTACACAATGGTTATTGTATGTACTGTCTACAACGTCTAAACTCTCGTTGATTATTCAAAATGATGTGCAGTTCATATGAAATGTTGACCAAGTTGCACGACGTCCGAGAGCTGGCGCGTCAGAGTCAGAGTCCATAAGTAGAGTCGCTGGATAGGAAACAATTGATTTCTTCTTTCTCCGGCTCTATACTGTCGAGTTTCAACTTACTTATGTGTAAACTTGGTGTAAACGGGCACCCAATTCGTTTAAACGCCAGCCGGGAATTGCCGTTTCAGGATGAAAACTTGTAATGCGCATTAAACCTGCCCTAAACCAATCACTTGAAATTTCAGAATCGACGTCAAACACACGTTATATATTTTTTTCACTTCCGTCGATCTCGAAGATGATTTGACCTTTGAAACAACGCGCTGGCGGCGTAGTCATTCCGGGCTCTGGTTAGAATGATCCAGGTTAGTGATCTTCCGCTATAATTTAACTACCTTCAACGATGAAAATTTTCCACTTCATGGCGAGTGTCTCATGACACTATGTGTCCTTCTTGTCATAGTTACCCTGACCACCTGCTCCCTTCTATGTGTACCTATTACTCAAGTTTCACAGAGCCGGAGTATATCATGATAAGGAAACACCGCATCAAGGCATTCGTCCAGAGCCGGGGCGCTAGGTGAGTCAGGTTACCTATTGTGCTGTTTATTAGTTTTATGTTTTTACACGATGAAACATTCATTCAAACTAGAGTATCTGAGCGCCTTTATAATATGGCCCAATGCTTTGCACTTATCTGTCAATCCACTGATCCCTTACTCTTCTGTCGATTCTTCTGGGCCAATACTGATAAATTTCTCTCCAGGACCAGGGGCGTATCTCCATGAAGCCAGATTCGATTCTAATGTAAGCATTACTCTATATCATATTTCAGGGATGTCAACAAGGAATTACCGCCTGAAGCCCTCACGGGTGACTTGATGTAAACTCCTGGCTGTATTTTTTTACTTTCTGAGTCTCAAGTCTCGCCTTTAATGATTTCGTATCTGATGCATCTTCGTTTCAGGGCTGATGTTTCTGTCGTTCGCATCCCCTTGGGTCTGCTGCGGAATTTCATGATGGTGAGCCTTATCTCATGTTCATTACTCCTCATATGATGTACTATCACGACGGTCTTCGTATCATCACTGCCGAAAGGGCCCGCCACAGCTCAATTTATTCGGGCACCCCCTCCTGATATTCTTATCATTATCTAATGATCTATCGACTCAATGGCTGACTATATCTTATTACCAGCCGCTGGCCAGGCCGCCGACGTAAGCTCCCTTCCTGTCCTTCTATTTCTCACTAGTATCATGCGGATGAGAATCACATCATAATTATCAACTAGAAGCTGTTGCTTAGCTGCGGCATTGATTATACACTTTTTCTGACTTTTGTTGGCCTTGCTACCGTTTTTGATTTGTAATCTGAAATCAAAACATTTCCAGGTCTGGTGACAGGATTTGAACTTGGTGCCAACGTGTAATGCAAATTGTTTGAGTAAACTTGAATACCGAGTACGGGATGGAGTTCTAAATTTCTCGGATCTCACTCCACGGGCAAGCTTCTGGGTTTGTGATTGGAAACGCCTTATTGATATGCAGATCTCCCAGCTGATGGACATGTTGACGTTTTAATCAGAATGACACCTTCTGGCCGCTCGAGTAGCCGACGTATATATAACTGGAGTCGTCGACCAGTTTTTTTACCTGTCAGTCGTTGAAGATGTCTTCTCCAGCACCTTCGGATTCTGGCATCGATGTCAATGAGCGTACTCCTCTTCTCGACCCAGGACAGCAAGGCCAGAAGAAGCCCACTCCCTTGCCAAAGCTTCAGATCTCGATTTTGTTGCTGGCACTGCTGGTCGAGCCAATTGCGTCTCAATCTATCTATCCCTACATCAACCAGGTCAGTGTTCTTTGCCACGTCAAAATCACGCTCTTTTGAATGTTCCATATAGCTTGTCAGTGAGTTGGACATCACTGGCGGCGATGAGCGGAAAGTCGGCGAGTAATCAGCTTTTTGCGCGAAGCAAACATCTGATGCTATTCCTTTGCTCATATAGGATATTACGCGGGGCTGATCGTAAGTTACGTGTCGTAGCATCTCCGCGTGTAAATCTAATCTATATCAAACTGATGATAGGAGTCCCTCTTTTTTGCCACTCAGGCACTGACCATCTTCCAATGGAGCCGTACATCGGATCGTATTGGACGTAAACCTGTTCTCTTGATAGGAATATTCGGGCTCTCCCTGTCAATGCTTTGTTTTGGGTTGTCCAAAACATTGTTGGGGCTCATTCTCAGGTGAGGAACAATTTTGGTCATCAATTACGCCTTCTGAATGAGTACAGTCGTTGCGTCACTGGCGCCTTGAATGGCAACATTGGAGTCATGAAGAGCATGATGGGTGAACTCACTGACTCCACCAACATGGCACAAGGCTTCGCCCTGATGCCTATTGGGTGGTCCTTGGGTGCTACTATTGGGTAAGTGCCCTTGCCTCATCTGGCGTAGAGGTTAGGTTGACATATACTTTTGAATATAAACAGTCCTATGATCGGTGGAACTCTAGAACATCCACAACATCATTTTCCTAATCTATTCAGCGGCGCATTTTGGTCGCGGTTCCCATATTTCCTGCCTAGTGCTGTTGCTGCGGCATTTGCAGTGACAAGTTTCCTAACGATCCTCTTCTTCTTAAAAGAAGTACGCACAACCCGCGCTCCCGCAAGACCCTTGATTAATGAATTTTCAGACACTGCCTAGACAACAACCGCAAGAGAAATCCACGTCTGTTCTCAACGTCGAAGCCCCCAACGTTTCCGATAATGCTGTTGAGGACTCACCTGTGACCATCCGTTCGCTCTTCGTGCCATCCATACTGATCCCTATCGCCAACTATGGCTGCATCGCTACTCTAGAAATCGCCATGTATGCACTTCAGCCTCTCTTTTATTCCACCCCAATCGAACTGGGTGGCCTTGGATTTGATCCTGTTACTATCGGTCTTTGGATGGGGGCTTACGGCATTGCCAACGGTGTCTTGCAGACAATGATTTTTGCACCGCTGGTAAACAAATTCGGTCCCAAGGTCGTTTTTCAGTTTTGCGAAGCGTGTTTTATTCCTATCTTTGCTCTCTTCCCCATCACCAACATCATTGCACGCCAGTATGGAATCAACTGGCTTGTCTGGTTTTCCCTCACGTGTTCGCTGATACTGGGTATTTTCATGGATATGACGTTCGGTGCGCTGGTTTCTGCGGTTCTTTGTTAATTGTAGCTAATTTGGTTTTAGGTTGTATACTGATGTTCATTACCGCCGCAGCTCCAAACAAGCGATCCTTGGGAGCCACGAATGGTCTTGCGCAAATGACAGCATCTATGGTTCGAGCTGTTGGCCCTGCCATGTCCACCTCAATGTTTGCATATTCTGTTCAGCATAAACTCATGGGCGGTTACGCCGTCTATGCCGTCCTCGTGACCGTGAGTTTGTTTGCTGTGAGGTTTGCTGCCAAACTCCCGGGAAACGCTGAAAAGAAGGCATGATCTTCGGCACCGTATAGTACTTAATTCATGTCACGCTATGATTTCAAGGTTTGCTTTGGTCTCCTGACCACAAAATCGAGTTTTAGATAACGAAGCAACTTACTTACGACACTTTATTCCATCACATGTACCCCAAAAGCAATGCGTTCTTGTCTGTACTTAGATAGCTCATGCACTGATCCGCGGTCCGAAGCTATTGAGAGCGCTGATTTGAGTCCACGTTAAGCAGTTCGACTTCAGTGCAATGTTTAAGTTCTTACTAGAAGTGCAAGATAGTACTGTGGGACGATCAGTTATGGACCCTTCATCGGTGAGAGGCCTTTCTTTACGTTGACAATTTGAAGCTTTCCCTAGCTTAAGCGAGCGCTCTCAATGGTGGAGAGGACTAGAAATCCGAGACTATACCAGGGATCGTTCAACGATAGTTTTTCGACAGGTCCAAACACTGATGTTGGACCACGGCGCTTGAACTTCGACGTTAATATTGCTAGTCATGGCCCATCTACTAGATCATCTAGTCAATTGAATCGGGTCATCATCCTGTTGGGAATTCGTCGTAACGTCATTTCTTCAACTTCTTCCTGTGACTTCCCAGGTTGGCTGATTGAAGATCCCGACGTCGGCGCCCGAAATGGCAGCCGCGGCGACATTCAAGTTTAGCACCAGACGTTCAACTGGCCGGTTAACATTCCTTTCATAATTTGCTGTGGTTATTCCCGGTCAGTATTTGATTGGCTGGTAGGTTGACCAAGTCACAATTGCCTAGCTATCCTAGCCTCGTCGCACACTCGCATGGGAACGACCGAATATTCACTGTTCTCGAAACGGGACCAACCGAATTCCGATGGTGGGGCCTCGTGATCTCGTCCCGAGGGATAAAGGCCCTCGATCGACGAATCTTAGCTACGAACCTTCCGTCCTAGCCCCAACCCACCCGTAAACTACCCTTACAGTGGGTCACCGGGTACTGATTGCCAGCTGGCCGGCCCTAAAGGGGACCGGTTGCAGTAGTGGCACAGACCATCCACTCCCGCCGTATACATAGGCTTAGTAGTAGTATCCCTAAAAGATAACGAAAAGTACAAGCGGTAGGGGTCCGCTTTACTAGTCGCCCTCTGGCCCTGCTGACAGACCCTTATCCTAGGAGACGGGTGACTGCGGCGGGAGCTAAGGCGATGGTCAGACTCTATGGCGCTTGCACGCATGTCGACGGTACTTTAAGTCTTTAGAAGTGCATTTAACGTACGCTTGAGAACGGAACGGCCTATTGCCTCCGTTCTCCGGTCTCGGATCCTGACAACTCTTACCATGTCGGCAAGCTGCCGTCACATTCCAGCAGCCGTCAAACAGTAATGAGTCAGTACTGGCCAATAAAATGAACTCTATCGACTTGTCTATCGATATGAATGTCAGTATTTCGTTGTCAAGCATGTCCTTAGTGTGGGTGGTCGCCGAGTTGCCGCCAATGCCAGCTCATATGTTCGTGATGAGCCGGGAACCCAGATCAAATGATGTTCTTCTTCGGGTAGGGAACCTACGCGGTAGCTGGTCAGCTAACGACTTGGGGCCGAAAAACTGGTAAACAACTTAACCTTGCCATGGATCTCGACTAGCCGGCGTATATATATACTTATGTAACTGGAAACGTCAACCGGTTCCCTGAACTTTGCCTTCGTTGAGAATGTCTTCTTCTGCAACACCTTCAAATTCTGGCGTCGGTGTCAACGAGCATACTCCTCTTCTCGACCCAGGACAGCAAGGCCCGAAGGAGCCCACTCCCTTGCCAAAGCTTCAGATATCAATTTTATTGCTGGCACTGCTGGTTGAGCCAATTGCATCTCAATCTATCTATCCTTACATCAATCAGGTTTGTATCCTTTACCAAATCAAAATCATCCTTGTTTCAACGTTCCATATAGCTTGTCAGTGAGTTGGACATCACTGGCGGTGATGAGCGGAAAGTCGGCAAGTAATCACCTTTGTGCGCGAAACAAGCATCTGATGCCGTTCCTTTGAAATACAGGATATTATGCGGGGCTGATCGTAAGTTGCGTCTGTCGTGGCATCTCCACGCGTAACTCTACTCTAATCTTTATCAAACATGATAGGAGTCTCTTTTCTTTGCCACTCAGGCGCTGACCACCTTGCATTGGAGCCGTGCTTCGGATCGTGTTGGCCGTAAACCTGTTCTCTTGATAGGGATCTTCGGGCTCTCCCTATCAATGTTGTGTTTTGGATTATCCAAGACACTGTTGCGGCTGATTCTCAGGTGAGGAAAAACTTTGGCAATGAATTTTGCCTGCTGAATTAGTACAGTCGTTGCATTACTGGAGCCTTGAATGGTGGCAGTGGAGTCATAAAGAGTATGATGGGTGAACTCACTGATTCTACCAACATGGCGCAAGGCTTTGCCCTGATACCTATTACGTGGTCCTTAGGTGCTACTATGGGGTACCTACCCTTTCTTCTTCTTCCGTATGGGGGCTAACATATACTTTTTGAGTCCTATGATTGGTGGAACTCTAGAACACCCTCAATATCATTTTCCTAATCTATTCCGTGGCGCATTCTGGTCGCAGTTCCCATACTTCCTTCCTAGCGCTGTTGCTGCAGCATTTGCAGTGGCAAGTTTCCTGACAATCCTCTTCTTCTTAAAAGAGGTACGCAGAACCCGTGCTCCCGCAAGATCCTTGACTGATGAATTTTCAGACACTGCCCAGACAACAGTCGCAAGAGAAATCCACGTCTACTCTCAACGTCGAAGCCCCCAACGTTCCCGTAAATGTCGTCAAGGACTCACCTATGTCTATGCGTTCGCTCTTTGTGCCATCCGTACTGATCCCTATCGCCAACTATGGGTGCATCGCCATTCTAGACATGGTCATATATGCACTTCAGCCTCTCTTTTATTCCACGCCAATCGAACTTGGTGGCCTCGGATTCGATCCTGTTGCTATCGGGTTTTGGATGGGAACTTGCGGCATTGTCGACGCTGCCTTGCTCACAATCATTTTTCCACCACTGGTAAACAAATTCGGTCTCAGGGCCGTTTTTCGCTCTTGCGAAGCATGTTTTATTCCTATCTTTGCTCTCTTCCCCATCACCAACATCATTGCACGCCAGTATGGAATCAACTGGCTTGTCTGGTTTTCCCTCACGTGTTCGCTGATACTAGGTGTTTTCATGCATATGACGTTCAGTGCGCTGGTTTCTCTGCGATTCCTCTGCTGTAGCTAATCTAATTTGTAGCTTGTAGCCAGATGTTCATTACCGCAGCCGCTCCCAACAGGCGATCCTTGGGAGCTACGAATGGTCTTGCGTCAATGACAGCATCCATCGTTCGAGCTGTTGGCCCTGCCATGTCCACCTCGATGTTCGCCTACTCTGTTCAGCATAACATCATGGGTGGTTACGCCGTCTATGCCGTCCTTGTGACTATGAGTGTCTTTGCTGTGAGGTTTGCTGGCACACTCCCGGGAAGCATTCAAAAGGAGGCATGATTTGCGGCACCATATTGATATAGTGATTGATTCACGCCACTCCGTGATTTCCAGGTTTGCTTTGGGTTGTTATACACTACACAAGATCACGAAGTACGATACTTTGTTCCATCTATGCACACGAAAAGCAAGGCGTTCTTTGCACTCAGAGACGCGTTAGGGATATCGGGAGTTCCATAGACTGGATCTAGATTGAATTGTCATACATATTATTACATAGAGTATGTCTCTCAAACAGGACAACAACTGTATTTTTTTTAAAAAGGTGTTCATTTATACAGCTTATGTGCTGATCCCTCGGAAAGCTATCCAGAGAGGAGAGGTGCAAAATAGTGTAGGACAATTAGCTATTAGTGACATGGAAATTTCGCAGAGTGTATCAACAAAGCAATCTGAGTCTAAAGCTGCTACTAGTTAAGAAGCAGCCCTATAGCGCAAGCACTGAAGCATTTGGCGGACTCGGAGGTAGGAACCTGGAACTCAGTGTTAAGAAGTTGCTCTGTTATCATGTGATTCCCGTGACTGGCAGTGTTGTCTAAGTACTGTTCAATTGAGCGACCAACATGCATTAGCATGCATCACGGCGTCAGTCTTGCTACCTTTAATAGAGAACAGCTATCACAGTGTTTTGCAGAACTATCTTCAGAGTTGTCGAAAGCCCAGCTGGTCGATAATTTGCAATCGCAACTAGCACAAGAATTCCGAACTGCCCATTTGCACTTCGCAACGACGCACAAAGGTTCCATTCATGGCGATCCAGCGTTTCGTCATGCATTTCAGTAAATGTGCTCGTCAATCGGTGTGGATCCGCTCGCTGGACCAAGGAAGGGCGGCTGGTGGGCAGATATGGTTGGAATGGGTGATTGACAGTATGAACAGGGGTTCAGATAGTGGACGTTTGTGTGAGCACGAGAAAAGAACGGAGGCGTGATAGAAATGGGGGAGTTTGTACGTATGGTAGGCAAGCTACGTGGCGTTGAGAGTGGTGTCATTACGGAGAAACATATCACAAGAAGCCTACAACTGCTCGGCGCTGGATACGAGGTCCTTGACGTTGATGGTGAAAAGAACATGGTGAGAAGTGTGATCAAGGGACTTGATGCAGATCAGGCTGTGATTCTTGCAGAAGCACAAGTAGGAGGATGAATTGTCGAAGGCTTGAAGTAATCTTGGAGAACCGTCGAGGATGGATTGCAAGAGACTGTGCTCGAGCTGCTCTGGAGAATATGCTTCTTAGAGACAGACTCCTCCGCTGGCTCGATTCTCAAGACGAACACTACGGGCAATTAGCCTATTGGGTCCCGTCTGCCATGCGTTGGGACGAGTAATTCACTCACCCATCCCATCAAGGTGTGTGAGCCGTATTTATGTTATGCTTTCCATACTCATATGATAACAGCCGATCACTTCCAATGGTTTCGATCGAGGTCAGTTCAGAGTTCGGCGAAAGGGCCACTCCCTCTTGTATCACATCATGTTGGATGTCGTGGACTGTGCACCGGTCAAAACGAAGACAAAACAGCGACTTCGGCTGGGCGCAAACCTAAAGAAATTGCCAACAGCTATAAAATTCATATCGATAGACTTACCACATGTGTTTACTTGTGGAGCTCAACGAAGAAGCTCCCACCTATTACGATGTTGTTCGGTCGGAATAAAATGGCAAGGGAGTGCGTGGCGGCATTCTGCTGCTCGTTTGACGCTCATCGCGGCGTCTGACACCTCAGTCAGTCAGCGCCTCGTCAAATGAGCGCCTCGACAGATTCGGCTGTGCAATCCCTTGTCATTGGGTATTTCACCCGACCAGGGTATCGTAATCACTCAGTGGGAACCCTTTTATTTTTCAAGTTTTACAAGTAAACAGAAGCGCTAAGGGGAAACAAAATGAAATTTGGTCTATTGATATGAAAGTACTTAGTGGATGAACACTAACCTAGATCATTCTACCAGAACCCTGAATGACTACGCCGCCTCGGCCCTCGGAGCGTATTGAATGGTGTTAAACCATTTATTTTTGAGGTCGACGGAAGTGAAAATTTCACAACGTCTATTGCCGTCAGTCTCCCCTAGGATGGACGAATGAAGATGACGGTCAACGTTCCTTCTATAATTTATCAAGATACTCGGATCCAGATGAGAAATTTTGCTGATCGGCGACAGGTGCAGAAATGTCACGCCTGTTCGCATCCTTCTCGGATAGCTTTCTGATACTTTCTGGTTGTGACATGAGCCAGCGAAGCGGATAATTTCGTGAAGCTCACCGATGCTGGGTATTATTTCGATGGACGAATGTCCTGAAAAGCAACGAATTCCTCATTCTCAATGCACGGGTCAAGTCTCACTGGCAAGATTCAGTAACGTCTGAACGACATAGGTATACGCACCTCCCACACAATATGAAAGTCACTGCGGTTTGTGGAATAAGCCCTGCCGAATATACACCACTGAGAGCTGCACTCAGCTACACTAATCAGACGGTCATAGTTTTCACGATCCGTGAAATACTGACAGTGAGACGACAAAGAAGTAGTTATCTATTTATGGAAGTCTACCGGTATTTTGGAACGGTAGCAGGTCAACTAACGACTGGGAGCCGAAAGACAGGTCGGCATCGTCATCGTGGCTCACTTTGTCATGGCCGCCGACGTATATATAAATGGAGCCGTCGACCAGTTGCTTTAATGTTGCCTGTCACTCGTTCAGGATGTCGTCTTCTGCAGTACCTTCAGATTCTGGCATCGATGACAATCAACATACTGCTCTTCTCGACGCCGGACAGCAAGACCAGAAGAAGTCCACGCCCTTGCCAAAGGTTCAGATCTTAATTTTGTTGCTGGCACTGCTGGTCGAGCCAATTGCGTCTCAATCTACGTCGGCCCTGCTATGTCCACCTCGATGTTTACATACTCTGTCCAGCATAACCTGATGGGCGGTTACGCCGTCTATCTGTTCTGGTGGTCATGAGTGTCTTTGCTATGAGATTAGCCACCAAACTCTCAGAAAAGAAGGCATGATGTGCGGCACCGTATAACCATATCTCAGTTTCGAATGCTGTATGAAACTGATAGCACTCGTGTCCACGCCTTTCACTCCCACCGCACTATGACCTTCCATGAAAGTCGTTGAAGTTTTGACAGCGCGCAAATTTGATTTTAGATGCAGCAAGAGAGAGTATAGAGCCATACGGATTATTGCCATCTGCTCCAGCTATTATCGTAGCACATACCAGTACTGGTCCATCAGTGCGAGGGATGGCAAGCTCCTCGTGGAAGGACCGAAAACGATTGTCGAAAGGAAAAGTCAGGAAATTTTGCGTCCGACTCTGCCGTCAGAATTGCTGGTTACATATTATTTTCCAACAAGCTGCTTTGGTTGAGGGATCGGCGAAGACGGAAACAATTTGTGCATCTGGCTATATCGCTCTTGGAGGTATCGGAAGAGACAGATGGCGCAAATGGACGCGCGATACTGGGATGTGCCTCTGTGGCGAGAGATGCAGCTGGCGCTGAAGTACCCAGGAGTTCGTGCGAGGACTGTGGTGGTGATATTGCCTCTCCAACACTATGTTTAACTTGTCCCCACGACCCGCATTAATTGCTGAGCTTCACCAAATTATCCGCTTCGCTGGCTCAAATCGCAATCAGAAAGTATCAGGAGGCTGTCCGAGAAGGATGCGAACATGCGTGAGCATTTCGGGACTCGCTGCATCAACTATTAAGTATCTCATCTGGATCCAAGTCCGAAAATAGAGCGAATAGGCCATTCTATTCTTGATACGTTTGATGTACCAGCTCCACAGCGTTCGGAAGTGAGTTAATAGTACGGCTTCCACATAACACCCGTTCAAATCGATGCTCACCTGCACCTAGTACATGTGCAGGCTTTGGCTGCGCACTATCCAATTGGTTTTCTGAGATCGGTCATGCCAAGCGTCCATACTAATGCTGTAGATAGTACTCAATATTTGTTTAAAAACATGCGAAGAAATATAATACTTATGTTCAAGTTATTGGAAGGAACAACGTAGTGGTAGGAAATTAATGCCAACAGATCCGCCGGGACTCAGTGATTGCCACTGGTTGGTCAAACGCGGTCGGGAATTGCCGTCTCAAGACGAGAAACTAGTAGCCACTACTTAGTCGGGGATGAAAGTTGACATCCGTCTTAACTTATTAAGTGGTTTGTCTATCATAGGGGAGACTAACGGCAGATAGATTGAATTTTTCACTTCCGTCAAAGATGGTCGCGTTTTATGTTCGACTCAGTCCACAGTTGTTTGTCCATATTCTGGAACTTGAACGCGACTGTTGAATATGGAGCAGCGCTATATGGCGTGCCAGCACAGGTGCATACTCTGATAACTTCTTTTGCGCTGACAACCAGTAGGTCTTCTGGCGTCCTGTATATAGAAAGCAAGGCGGAAAATTTGGCTACCTGCGCCATATAGTGAGTGGCATTCTTGCAGGGGAAGTGCCACCCTTAGATGCCCGAAGTCTTCCGACGAGTAAGCCTGTCTCTTTTTATGGAATCGGCTGTGGCTGATCGAGCGATCGAACAGATGCGGAGACATCACCTTGGCGCAGGTGAGGTACTTCAACGATTGGGCGCTCGATATGCGTAGTCCTCCGTCGACACCAGAGGATGCTGAGTCAAACCGGTCGGATGGGACGGGTGTTCCAGAAAGTTCTGGATCGAAACTTTCTGAAGACGAGAACCTATAATGCGCATCAGCTTGCCTTAAACCAATCACTTGAAATTCCAGAATCGACGGCAATTTATAGGAGGAACATTGTCATGTTCATTCGTCAACTTTGTCGTAGTCATTTCTGGTTCTTGTTAGGATGATCAAGGTTAGTGACTATAATTTAACTAGGTCATTCAACAATGAATTTTCCACTTCATGGCGAGCGTCTCATGGCACTGCTTTTTGTCATAGTTACCCAGCTGTTCTCTTCCATCTGTACCTATTACTCCACAAATCTCACAGAACCCGTTTATCGTGATAAGCCACTTACATCAAGGGGTTTGTCCGGAGTCAGGGTGAGTTGGGTTACCCGTTACGCCATTCGTTGGTCTATGTTTTTACACGATGAACCATTCATTCAAACTAGAGTATCTGGGCCCTTCTATGGCCAAATGCTTTGCAGGTATCTGTCGATCTTGAATACATTGATCCCTCTTCTATGTCGATTCTTCTTGGCCAGTCCTCATCATTTCTCTTCAGGACCAGGAGCGTATCCCCATGAAGCAGGATTCGATTCTCATGTAAGTACTACTCTTTATATCGTGTTTCAGGGATGTTAACAAGGAGTTACCGTCTGACGCCCTACCGGGTTACTTGAGGTACATTCCTGGCTGTTTTTACGTTCTCAGTCTAGTCTATTCTCGCCTTAAATGATGTCGTTCTGATGCAACTTGGTTTCAGGGCTGACATCCCTGTCATGCGCATCCCCTGAGTGTGTACCTCGGAATTTCATGATGGTGAGCCTTATGTCATACCCATTGCTTTACATGTGATGTACTATCACGACGGTCTTCATGTCATCACTGCCGAAAAGGCCCGCCACAGTTCAATTCATTCGGGCACCCCTTAGTGATGCTCTTCTTATCATTCAATTGACTCAATGGCTGACCATGTCTCCTCACGACCAGATGATGCCCGTGAGTTCCCTTCCTGTCCTTCTATTTGCAGATTCAATCCAGGTCCGACAGGGGTTTGAGTGTGTAGCGTTAACGTTGAATGCAGATTGTATGAACAAACTTAAGCATGCGATGGAGTTGCAAATTTGCCAAGTATTACTCCATGGGCAAGCTTTCCTGGATTTGTGAATGGAAATACCTTATTGATTACGCAGATCTCCCAGCCGATACAGGTCGACATCCCAATCATAATGCAACCTTCTGGCCGCTCGAGTAGCTGGCGAATATATAACTGTAGCCGTTGCCCACTTCCTTTGAAGTGCCGTGACTCGTTGAGGATGTCTTCTTCTGCAGCACCTTCAGATTCTGTCATCGATGTTAATGAACATACTCCTCTTCTCGACCCAGGACAGCAAGGCCAGCAGAAGCCCACTCCCTTGCCAAAGCTTCAGATCTCAATTTTATTGCTGGCACTGCTGATCGAGCCAATTGCGTCTCAATCTATCTATCCCTACATCAATCAGGTTGGTATCCATTGCCACGTCAAAACACCCTTTTTGAAATGTCCCGTGTAGCTTGTTAGTGAGTTGGACATCACTGGCGGCGATGAGCGGAAAGTCGGCGAGTAATCACTTTGTGCACGAAACAAGCATCTCATGCCGTTCCTTTGAACATACAGGATATTATGCGGGGCTTATCGTAAGTTGCGCCTGCCGGAGCATCGCCGCGTGTAACGTCAATCTTTATCAAACTCATGATAGGAGTCTCTCTTTTTTGCCACTCAAGCGCTGACCATCTTCCAATGGAGCCGTACGTCAGATCGTATTGGACGTAAACCTGTTATCTTGACAGGACTCTTCGGAATCTCCCTATCGATGCTTTGTTTTGGGTTATCCAAGACATTGCTGGGGCTGATTCTCAGGTGAGGAAACACTTTGGCAATCAATTTTGCTCTCTGAATGAGTGCAGTCGTTGCATTACTGGTGCTTTGAATGGCAACATTGGAGTCATAAAGAGCATGTTAGGTGAACTCACTGACTCCACCAACATGGCGCAAGGCTTCGCCCTGATGCCTATTGCGTGGTCCTTGGGTGCTACCATTGGGTATGTCCCCTCCTCGTATTTCGTACAGAGGTTGACGTATACTTTTTGAAAGTCCTATGATCGGTGGAACTCTAGAACACCCTCAACATCATTTTCCTAGTCTATTCTCTGGCGCATTCTGGTCGCAGTTCCCGTACTTTCTGCCTAGCGCCGTCGCTGCAACTTTTGCGGCCACAAGTTCCCTGATGATTCTTTTCTTCTTAAAAGAAGTACGCAGAACCCGTGCTTCGGCAGTATCCTTGGCTGACAATTTTCTAGACTCTTCCCAGACAACAGACGCGAGAGAAATCTGTGTCTCCTCTTAATTGCGAAGCCCCTGATATTATCAAGAATGCCGTCGAGGACTCACCCGTGTCTATCCGTTCGCTCTTCGTGCCATCCGTACTGATCCCTATCGCCAACTATGGCTGCATCTCCATTCTAGAAATTGTCATCAATGCACTTCAGCCCCTCTTTTATTCCACGCCGATCGAACTAGGTGGCCTCGGATTTGATCCCGTTACAATTGGCTTTTGGATGGGGGCTTTCGGCATTGTCAACGGTGTCCTTCAGACAATGATTTTTGCCCCGCTGGTAAACAAATTCGGTCCCAAGACCGTTTTTCAGGCTTGCGAAGCGTGTTTTATTCCTATCTTCGCTCTCTTCCCCATCACCAACATCGTTGCACGCCAATATGGAGTCAACTGGCTTGTCTGGGTTCTCCTTACATGTTCGCTGATCCTGGGTGTTTTCATGGATATGTCGTTCGGTGCACCACTTTCCCGTGATTCCTCCACTGTGGCTCATCTGATTTATAGGCTGTAACCTGATGTTTATTACCGCAGCAGCTCCAAACAAGCGATCGTTGGGAGCCACCAATGGTCTTGCGCAGATGACAGGATCTATCGTTCGAGCCGTTGGCCCTGCCATGTCCACCTCGATGTTTGCATATTCTGTTCAGCATAATCTCATGGGCGGGTATGCCGTCCATGCCGTCCTGGTGACTATGAGTGTGTTTGCTGTGATATTTTCTTCCAAACTCCCGGAAAGCGCTGAAAAGAAGGCATGATATTCGGCACCGTATAGCGCTTGATTCATATCACGCCATGATTTCAAGGTTTGCTTCGGGTCGTCACATATCTCCTGACCACAAAATCGAGTATTAGATAACGAAATACGATACTTTGTACATCACATGCACTTGACAAGCAATGCATTGTAAATAGGTTATGCACTCATGGAAAGCTATTCAGAGAGCTAGTTTGAGTCCACGTCGAGGAGTTCAACTTGAGTGTACCGCTTGAGCGCCTCATAGAGGTGCAAAATAGTGGGACAATCAGATATTGGCCCTTCAACCAACGGCGCTTGAACTTCGCCATCATCATTGCTAGTTATGGCATCTAGCCAATCGACCACAAGGGTCAGACGATCCCGTTGGAAAGGTCGTAACGTCAGTCTTCTCATCTTTCTCCAGCTTCCTCCTGTCACTCCCCAGCTTGGCTGATTGAAGATCCCGACGTCGGCTCCCGAAATGGTCAATTGTTCTACTCCGGGAAAGGCCTGGATGAACGCAGCAGATGCAGTGATGCTGGCAGCATTGTTTAGCACGAGACGTTCGACGAGAGGGAATTTAGGTGTGGGTTCTTCACATCCCTTTTTGAGAAGTAGATCGGAGATGTCCTGGCCTTCAATAAAGCTGTCTGGGTAGACAAGCTCAAAGTGCCGCAGATCTGGTGCCATGATCATTGCGATGAGGTTCCGCAGGTAGCGGGGCCGGACGTTATTAGGATGGAAAATTAAAGTCTGTAAACGAGGCAACGTGATGTTGTCATCGTCCTCCAGATTTGTGGTTGATTTGACACAAACAAGTTCTCCGTAAAGCGAAAGGGAGACTAAGCTCGGCATTCGCAAAAGCAATGCACGGAAGCCTTGAAGTTCCGTCATCGTCTTTAGAGCTCTCGCATCTCCTTCACGGAGCCGAAGAGTAAGATGCGTTAAGCCAATGAAGCAATAATCGTGATGGCGTAAACAGGGGGAGCGTGCTGTGAGAACTATGTTTTCGACATCAATGGACCGAAGGTTGGGTGCTGATCTGCCCATAAGGAGAGTCGCAGGACACATCTGCCCAGGCTGCTGGGCTGTGAAGGTAACTTGCTGAAGTGCGTCGAAAGACCCGACGGTACGCAGAATAAAGGAAAGACTCGCAAGAAGGGCGTCGCAGGACGCGCCAACTGTTATACGACGCCAGCGAGACGCGGACGGGAGGACTGCGGCTAGGGTGTGTTCGAAGTGATGAGGCCTTGTGAAAGAATCTCGATAATCCCACCATCCCCAGACTTCCACATCAAGAGGAAGCGCAGCGGAACGCAGAAGATGTAGCTTGCATGTCACGTTCGTCCGCGTCAGGGGTCACACAGACCCGCGTCCACAGCCGAGGGGTATGCAGAGCTATCCTTCGCCAGCGAAGCGATACGCGCGATATCGCGCTCTCAACCTTTGTCCGTGACTGCACGTCCTGGCTCAAAACCGCTTCCTCGAAAATTGCAAGTAAAGTTTCATCGGGAAGGCGGGAGGCTGGAGAAATGCGCTTCACACATTCGCTTGCCCGAGTACGTATTATAGACAGCGTACTACGGACGGAGACCAAAGCCTCCGAGAGATCCTTGATTTGTGATGTGAGTTCGAGTTCCTTCCTGTCAAGGTGTGCTGCCTCCGTTTGCAGCACTTGGAAGAGTTCTATGACAATACTGGGTTGGCAGGTACTTTGTGAAGGTCGTAACATGGTGGAAGAGTGCAGCAGGTCGTTACCGGGCATACTAAACCGAAACTAATGCCCTTTGAATACCGAGCACGACCACAATGAGTATAGTGATTGGGGGAGCTCACCTTTTGTTCTTTTGAATAATTCACTTCCATACCATCATTCCCTTTATTGCCAAGGCCCAGCACCTGCTCGGCAAAGCAGAAGTTACGCGAGTGTTGCTCCGCGTGTCACTGGAATTCCACATTGCACGAGCCTAAGTCGTGGCCTTCACGATCATTCTTGCTGTGAAGCTCAGGCCCGGTCTAGATTGTTCGATTGGACAGATGATAGGACTAAACCAGACTCGCATTCGCAGTCCCCCGTTAGGTAGTTCAGCAGAAACCTTCTGTGAAAAAATAGGAGTTTTCAGTTTCTCTTAGTATGTGAAGTATGAAATCTCACGATGCTCATGGTTATTTACAGCGTTAAAATTAGCATGCAAAGGAGCTCATGAAGCAACAATCAAGATCTGAACATAGGAGAGATGGTCAAAAGATATATTCAATGCTCAGACCTTGCAGACCTGAGCTAGAAGGGGGTTACATCACTTGAATATCAAGCCGCTTGTACATTAGTATTACCCGCGACGTAAGACTACGGCATGGGAACAGGCTGCAGATAGACGTGTACATGATCAGTATCACTCGACGACCGAGGCACATGCATACCTTAGGTAATTACTCGATAGACGCGTGCGCAAGTGATCTACCCCAACTAGAGAGGTCAACGCCGCATAGCCCCACGTCCGTACAACTCGCAAGTTTCGAGAATTGTGTAATAAATTCAGGGCAGTCAATAGCACGGATGGGTCCTTCCAGGGTTATTGTCGGCAACCGATGGGCCTGGCTAGTCATACTGAGAAGCCACTTGTGCATCTGTAGCAACGTATTGGGGAGTGGAGAAATGACAGTGAGGTGCTGGATGTGCGAGGATGCCCACGAACTGCGTATGCTATTGGAAGCTAAGTCTTCGAACAGGTAGCCAGCGTCCGAACCGCCGAGTTTGATGCGAGACAAAACCGGAAACGCACTCGTAAATGCTGGACTAGTATCCGCGCGAACCGCATTGTGAAGACGCACAGTTTCCACACAAGGAAATCTAGCTAGTGGAAAAGGGTCGAATAGTAGATCCGATACATCTTGTCCAGGCGGAGTATTGTCAGGATAGACTAGCTCAAAGTGACAGAGTGCTGGTGCTTTGATCACCGAGATGAAGTGACGCAAATCGCAAGGACACTGCGTGCCTGGATGAAGGACGAGAGTGTGGAGACGAGGAATATCTAGGGGAATAATGTCTTCTTCATTGACTCTCTCCTGGCCAAAGTTTATGGGTTGTCCATAGATTTCGAGGGTGCTTAACATCGGGGCTGAACCTATCAATGCTCTGAAAGTAGAGGGGTCGGTTGCTGCATGGGAAATTCCAACTCCCATCCCACGCAGCCGCAGCCGCAACGTGGTCAGCCCCGCAACGCTGAAACGGGCAGCATCAAAAGTCTGCGTGACGGGGGGCGGAAGGGGCATGTTTTCTACTTCAAGTAACTCCAGGGCTGGAGCCGAGTTGCCAAGTAACAACGGACACGGTCCACATACACCTGGTGACCTCATAGAAATGCTCTGGAGCATCTTCAAAGGGGCCACACGTCGAAGTTCCCGAAAGAGATGCGTGAAGTAGGGGTAAGACCTGTGCAGAACAATTATACGGCGCCAACGAGCGACCGAAGGCAATACAACATCAAGAGCACAGCCAAGATGTGCCATGCTGCGTTTATCGGCACCGTGCCAGGATGTTTCTCGTTCGCGGAATTCAATTGTAAGGGGAACGTTCGTAGAGCGAGAAAGGTAGATCTTCAAAACAGTAACTGGAATCTCTGATCTGATGGAAAGGCTGTCCCACAGCCTTTGGGCGTTGACCGCAACCTGTCTCCAGTGATGTGAAGTGCATGATATGGCTATCTCCGCCCGTCTAACATGTCCTTGCTCCTGACTTCGCACTGTTTCTTCAAATATAGCCAACAGGATCTCGTCTGGAAGGCAAGATATGGGCGCATGAGGAACTGTATGTGCTTGTGCCGTTTTCATCGTCAGGAGCGACTGAACTTCGGCGAGCGATGAGGTCGTTTCTTGAAGGCGGGTCCATAACTCCTCCCTTCTATTTTCTAATTCACAGACTTCTTGTCGAAGGGTCGAAACCAATTCTTCAGGAACCATGATGATCTAGAAGACACCTTTAGCCAAGTCTCGAGCAGTAAGGCTGTGCGCCACGCGGGGGCGTCTGCGTTACAGTTGTAAATGACAATTGAAGTGACTTGCCGCTAGTTTGTCAGAAATTTAAGTAGTAGATGTTGGAACGAATGGTGTTGGGTTGATAGCAGCTGCTGGAAAGCCACGATGTATAGTCACAGATGATTGCCTGATACGATGCCACTTAACCAAGTTGAGCTTCACGAGCGCTCATGTAGGACTACGACTAAAATGATTCCGTATAGTAATTTTGCAATCCGAAAAAACGTATACGCTCAGTGCCAGTTATTCGCAACTATGTCGCTTGTAAGCAGCTGATTGCGAGCTATATTAACACCATCTAGTTCAACACTAGTAGATCCCTTGATCGTTACAGTATGAATTGTTCTTTCGCGTTCTGGCACCGTATGGCACCCATAGACGCTCTCCTGAAGGCATAGGAAAGAATGAAACAACACGGCCGCCGAGCGTCACGCGCGAAGCGCCCGGAAACGCCTTGATAAACAATGTGATGGTGTCTGGGTCTCAAGCGTTCTGCAGGCGAACAGGTCTCCACGAGAGAATTTCGTAAACCATGCTCTATCAGTTTGTCTGCTGTCCGCTGGCCATGTGAGCAGGAATGCGGGAAGACAAGCTCGTAGTGACGAAGGGTGGGGGCTCTGAGTGCTTTTAGCATCAAAGGTAAGAAGTGAACGATCCATGAGCTGGGTCGGAGGATGAAGGTATCAAGGCTTAGAGTATCTAGATGCGGGATGGACCCTTCGAGTCTCTCTCTGAAAAAAATGAGCTGGATCACCATGTAGAGAGAGCACAGTGAGGTTCAGTGCTGACACCAGGAGCGCTTGCACAGATCCAGATGGCGTCATCATGGACCCCTGAGACAAGGTATTGTGAAACTCGATGATTTAGTATACATGACAGGTATGGGGAAATTATCTGGAGCGGGAGAGGCGCGGCCACGGTAGACGAAACCAGGTATGTGACCCCATAACCGCGACATCCACGTACGATGACCTACTCAAGCAACTGGAACGGCCCAGAGTTGCGGAGGCTTGGAAGGAGGTAAGACAGGTACGCGTCGGAGGTGTGGATGAATGCCAAACTGTGCCATCATGCAACAGACACTGGGTTTGTCATGTTTCCCCTCCACTCCATGACGTAGATATCAAGCGGGAGAAGACGCGAGCGTGATATATATGCGGCAATAGTTGCTGCAGAAATGGCAGGCGAGATACACACTCGTGTCCACAATATTGTTGGCGTGGTCACGGCCAGGCTGCGCCATCGACGCGAGACTTGAGAGATGTGATAATCTCAGTGCGCGCACCTTCGCTACTTGCGCCATGCACAGATTCTTGGAAAATAATAACCACCATTTCTAACCGCAACGCCGGCTCAGACAATTCCTGCTTTGCCAAGCATGTCCCTTTCAACACGTCTTTGGTCCTTCCGTGATGAACTTGCAACATCTCGCACTGATGCCGACCGGTAGTATTTGCCACTACTACTAATATAAGCAGATGCCCGTGACGATCCGTGGAGCTCCGTGTCTGTTCATCGCTGCATCTAAAATCGGTCTTGCGCGGTAAAAGCTTGGACGACTCACATGGAATGTTATAGTGCGGAGGTGGACGCGACTACTTAGTAGTAGCTTCCGGCGGGTGCAGTGCTACTAATGCCGTTTCGTCGGTTCAGCTTATGTAAATACACTTGGCTTACACCAGGTGTTTCGACATCAAAATAGAAGTGTTCTTGCCAAGAATTTAAACAGACAAGAAAGGAAATTTTGCTTATGTACGCGCAAGCTGGGTCTTCATATCATATTTGGCAAAAACACTCTGATGCCAATTCTAAACTTGACCAGAGTACCCTAGACCTCACCAGTGACCAGGCTCACCTAGAGTTTTCTAGGGTTCTCTTTCAAAGGCTGCAAATTGTTGCCGGTGGGTAGTAGCATATTGTGCGTGCCGTCAGCGCTGATGGTGGAACCTTGTCTTCAAGTTCCTTCTATCGCTGAGGTCTACCTACGGGAGACTAGTGGAACCTTAAACCTTTAAACAAGCATGGCAGCAGGATCTGGACTCCGTCTGTGTAAGGAACGCTTGAGATAAGTAAGCCATGTTATGATGCCGACTTAAACCTGATATATGTATGCCGTATACTTACTACTAGGTATTGCCGCACCTGGCATGCCGCATCCATATTTTATATTTATCCACCCCACCGGGGTATCGATCCAAAGACCGCCTGTCAATGACTGGTGGGCTTGGCTCGTCCCCACGGTGATCGCACGTATCAATCGCTCAGGTCATTTCCGGATTCCTCAGTTATTTGAACAACAAGGCACTCATTCAACCAGTCTCTCCTTTCAATCTGTTCCATCACCCAGTACATCATGGGCTCGTTACAAGATAACATCGAGATGATCCCCAAAAAGCAGATCATCGAGGAGCTTGGTTCGGAAGAACGAGCGCGCATTCTGCGCAAGATTGATTGGCACCTATTACCTTATGTGACGTTATTTTACCTGTTGGCGTTCTTGTGAGTCTGCTGAATGCATGTCTTGTCTGATGCTTGCTTCACGTTTTACGCTGCCTTCAGAGACCGAGTCAATATTGGTGAGTTGGAGCATGTGCCCATATTTTCTGTCGATTACTGGCTGAGACCGCCACCAGGCAACGCGAAGGTCGCTGGCATGTCTACAAATCTGAACTTGATCGGCCTTAGGTACAACATCGCTGCAGCCGTCTTTTTTGTGCGTTGTGTATCACGCTCATACCATCAAGTGCTGAGTTTCTCTAGATCCCGTACAGCTTTGCTGAGGTCCCCTCGTATGTTTAACTTTAACATCACGAGTAATGAGTCTGCCCTCAATGTTTGTATAGGAACATCGCGCTCAAGCTGTTCAGGCCGTCGCGCTGGAGTACGCCCACCTCTACCTTGTTATCCCTCATCAGATAACATTGATCCAGTACCAACTCTCATGGTCGCATGGGGTCTTGTGATGACCCTCATGTGTCTCGTCAATTCGTTCCAATCTCTCATTGTGTGCGTAAAGCGTATCTGCATGGTGGAGATAGACACATAATAATGCAACGGCAGAGCTCGAGTGTTTCTTGGCTTGACAGAAGCAGGGTTGTTTCCTGGAGTGAATTACTACATATGTCTCTGGTATCCACGATCTGAACGGTCCAAACGCATTGCCATATTCTTCTCTGCGGCATCGATGGCAGGTATGCAACATTTTGACAAGCGCCGGAGTTCGGCTCTGTTTAAAATTATCTCTGATTATAGGTGCCTTCGGCGGACTCCTTGCGTAAGTTGCTTGTCTTTCAAACCCTGTTGACCTTCATGTTTCATTCATACAGGTATGGTATTGAACGGATGGAGGGGTAAGTAATCTACTTCCCTTGTCAATCATCACTGATTTGCCAATCAGGATCGGAGGATTGCATGGTTGGCAATGGATTGTATGTTTGCACTTTTTCAAACTGAGATTTTACTAATTTACGATCACCGCTAGTTCTGCTTAGAGGGCATGGGCAAGTCGTGCTAGTAGATCTAAGGCAATTCAGATGCTCATCATAGACTTCGATCAGCCACCGTTCTCGTCGCATGTGTCTCGTTTTTCTTCATGCATGATGTGAGTTCACGGTTATGCCGCGCCGTTCAGTTGTTGATTTGGACTGCTTAGTATCCCGAAACAGCCAAATTTTTGACAGAGCCAGAGAGACTATACATCGTGAATATGCTCAAACAGGATGCGAACAACCTTTCCACCCGCTTCCGCACTCAATTCATCTTGCAAGCCATGAAGGATTACAAGACCTACGTCCAAATTATCATTTATATGGGGTACCCACTGCCTCCTGTCATCTCGCATGCATGAGCTGACTTCTTCATTAGATTGCTCGTCCCTGGTTATGCTATTGCCCTCTTTACACCAACTATCATCAATGAGCTTGGCTACTCTGCTGCCAATGCTCAGCTGCTCTCAGTTCCACCATTCGTTGCTGGTTGTATTGCAACAATCATAGTTGGCATCTATTCTGACAAACACAAACTTCGTGGCCCGTATATCATTGGTTGCACGCTCGTGGCTCTTGTGGGATATATCTTGCTATATACCAACTATCGAGCAGGCCCGTCGTATGCTGGAGCTTGTCTGGCCGCTATGGGTAACTATCCAACCGTCGCAATTGCTCTCGCTTGGGCAGGCTCCAATGCAGGAGGCGACTTAAAGCGTGGAGTCGTGCTAGCGATGGTCATCGGTGTTGGTAACCTTGGAGGGTACGTCATCTTATCACAAATACATATTTTTTTTTCCACTCAAGCCGTCTTAGTATTTGCTCCTCCTTCATTTATATTGATCCTCCACGTTTCCACATTGGGCATGGCACCGTCATGGGATTCCTTTCTCTTGCGTATGTCTCGTCAGTCTTCCGAACCGCAACACTATAACATATCCTTGTAACAGAATCATAACGAGCCTCTTCGCCATGTGGAACTATAATCGGTTGAACGAGAAAAAAGAAGCACAGTGTCTGGCGAAAAATATTACTGACGACAGAGGACACGCATTCGAGGACATGGGCGATGCCAGTCCGCTTTTCAGGTGGGCTCCACGACTCGTCCGCGGTGCAACCTTGACTGACGGGTATGCAAGGTACGCCATATGAGACATACAGCTGATGCAAGCCGTCCTTTTGAGCGTTCATTAATTCCACACGTCAGCTTCAAGAATAACGAATACCTAATACGTCTCGCCTATGATGTGCATTTAGAGTACTGGCATTTGACCGGCACGATGGAATGTTACAGATACTTGTCAGTGTCAATTAATCCTTCGCAGAATAGGACCATCAGCATTAGAAGGCAGATAGAACACGGATCACATGTCCACAAAAATAACTGACGGACCAGACATATAACTTGACCACCCTCAAGATTCCGATACAGAATTCATTGACAGGTGTCTTAAGGGGGTGAGAGAACACGTCCGAGACGCAAGGACTGCGAGGCGGTCACAGGCGTGAGCTGGCGGGAAAATGTATGGTGAGTTGAATATGATACTTAGGTACCCGTCCGGGATTTCCCAGACACACCGGCGATAAGTAACCACGTTCAACCTGCATTTGCAAACAGCAGATTTAGATGCGGCAAACTCTGCACGGTTCGGAACCAGATATGTAGCAACCTATAATTAGCTGAACGGCGTCTCGAACGAAAACATACCAAAGGCAGCTTCCGAGACAGGTCGTCTATAATGGCGAGTGAAAGAATATGGTTAGAACACAGGCATGCTTATGGTGATGCAAACCCGATGGTAGAATATGGTAGGCTAAACTTAGTTCACGAGATTTCTTCGGCCGTTCTTTCACAGCTCACTCATTGGTGGGTCGTTCCGGTATCGAGCAAGACTAGCAGATATCATGAAAAGGGAAGACGTTGGGCGGCAGCCTCGACGGTTACCGAACAGACGACGGGATACAGACAGCGAGGCAGTCGAACAGAGAAAGGAGCATGTGAAACGAAAAAAAGGAAACAGCTGAACCTTCGGTTATGACCATTGACATCATGCTTTGAAGTACGTAGCCGCTTCTCATCGTACACATATGTAAGTATGTACTTACTACGAGCCACTCCACGATGCAGGAGGTTGATGAAAACAAGAGGCGCGCGAGAATGTCGTTCAGTGACGTAAAAATGTGAACCCGACCCGGATTGAACGGATGACCTTGAGGATACAAGCCAAAGCTCTGGAATCTCACGCGCTACCACTGTGCTACGGGTTCATCCGTAGCCACCCTCCTTCACAAGCACCAAATACGTGAAAGGCTCTACACTTAAACTACGACGATGCGTCAATACCGTAAAATACATGCAGATCATTGAAATCCAAACGTGAATCATGTCCGTCTACTTCCTCGTGAATAACGTAAAACGCCGCTTCGATCCACGCGCACCGTCCCCATCTAGGTTCGTCGACGATGACGCTAAGCTGTACTGGGAGTCCTTGCGTTTCCGCATGAGGAACAGGAGGGAGTGTGGCCGCAAGGGCAACGTAGGGGGCCGCGAGCCCGTCGCCATACTCAAGCCTGAGGGCGTTGATGAGCCAGAAGAAAGAGGGTGCAGCGTTGGCACGTGCGACCGCGGTGTAGAAGGCGTGTTGAGTGATGTGTGGGACCACGAGGGTTCTGGTTGGAACGGAGGGAGAGCGAATGAGGTATAAGGTCCCGTGTCCGATTCTTCCGATGGACGGGGAACTTCTGCTGCTGACTCCTCTTCCTTCGGCTTCAACGAGATCTCTCTCTTTGGAAGAGCAATGTCATGATGAATGAGATCGAACCCCTCTAGTAGGTTCACAGCATACTCTGGCACGCGGACCGAGTCCTTGTCTAGTTCCGCAAGGATCTCCGTATGCGAGCGTGGCGAAGAACTTGCGTAGATTGTCGCTACGCCCCCCGAAGGCGCTTGTAGTGATGTCTCTGATGACACACGTGACACATGTGATGCCCCATTTGACGATGTCGATGCAATGGATAATGGAGGAGTAGAAGGCCGAGTAGAAGTCACGTCATCAGTCTCATTAAATGGCAGCAAGCGAGATGAAGGGGTCGATGACTGCGACAAAGATGTGGAAGAATATTCCGCATTGGAATGACATGTATTTCTAACTAGCGAGGATGGTCTAGTTGGCCCGCTTGCGACCCGTGGTTTGTTGGAGCGTCTTGGAGGAACAGCTGGCTCACCAATCGATTTTGGACGGGTATGCTGTGTTGTTAACCTCCGAGTGACACTGGTCGACGGGCGGAGACGAAGGGGTGAAACGTCGCTCATGGTGATTCGGCGTGAGAAGCTGCAGTCAACGAAAAGAGGCCTGCACTTATGGTGGATGTGTAATGATTTCCTCGTGTGTGATCGTTCAAAAAATCTAGCAAGATTAGCCCGGCGCCTTGCCTCGTTGTCGAGGGGTGTAGCTGGAAGATTCTCGTTGACCCTTCCTTGCTCGGGCGCATCCCTTTTCAACTTGAGTGAAGCCAGATGCTGACTCAATTGGCGAACCTCTCGGTCTACTGCAGACTGCCTTCGTTCCTCCATCCAGCGATCCGATTGCAGGGCAGCGTAGCTCTGTGGATCGACCGCTCTATCTGCGAGACAGATCCTTAACTTGGCAGCACGGTCCCTTGATTCATTCGCACGCGCACCCAGCGCAGCCGTCGCTTTTTCCAAAGCAAGAATCTGAAGTTCTCGAGGCGACCGTTCGCTTGTGCAACTCTTAAGTGCATGCTCCAAGGCCTGTTCCGCTAGAGAGTAGCGCCGTTCGCGACGTAAAGAGTCTGTAGGGGATCCACAGATAGAAGTAGCCTTGGTGGAGCGGCTAGGCTTCATGTTGGGATTGAGCCTGCCACATGCGTCGCTAGAATTAGGTGTGCTAAGCGTTACAGGAATGGACTGTTCAGATACAGTTTGTGTGCAATGTGAAGAACACGTACTGTACGTTAGCTGATATATCTGGAGAAATGGCGTCCTTTGATGCAAGAATGGCGTTGGCACGCTCCTGAAAGCAAGTGAATCAAAGGGTCTTCATCAAGTTGACCATTACATACACCCAACACACGCTTCATGCCCGTTACGCTGTTCGTTTTGATTTGCAGCGGTGGTAGATGTAAAAGACGGGTCTTGGATTCCTGCCCTGATAGATCAGGGTGTTCGTCAATCTGATCGATCTTCCGTTCCGTCATGATGAGGAAAGGATATCAATCGCAGCAAGCCAATGCTGAGAAATTGCAAAGCTATGGCACAGAAAAGACAGGAAACAAAGTTGGCTGAGAGAGCGGTCGGTATTTGAGAACTAACGGCAGCTGGCAGGGCTGTGCAAGCTTCGTGTCATTACAAAGTTGCAAGTACCTTGCAATTGCCGGTAAGACGGAGTTGGAAGCCTTACGGAAACCCGATAAACACCAGAGAAGCGCTCTCTCGTACTTATATCTGAAACGAAGCTTGCAGATAACAAAACAATGGCTTTCATTGATATATGATCGAGATCATAGATGTTTCAGTTCTATTCACAACTCAACGCGTCACTCCCCAGATCACATGAGTCAAAAAAACAACCACGTGTCCTTACGGGGTAAGTAGCTGCTGTGCTTCTCCGAGCAGGGCGCAAGTGACACAAGCTGGGTAACGGATATGTAGACATGGGTATATCGTGACATGATCTGTTCTTACATGTAAGCTATTCGTACATACTAATCACGATCTGCCCAGCATAAGATCTCGCAAACTCTTCCCAAGCTTCTTCACCCTACCCTTCATCCCTTTTCCGCGGCATCCTGTCTCCTTGAACAGGTAGTCCCCTGGCTCATCCGGGGCATCTTCTTTTCGCCATCTCGCCAAGTTCATCCGCATCTCCGTCTCGCCGCTTAACGAGAACCCAGAGTACACGCTCACAGGTACCGCTTGTCCAGGGAGAACCATCGACATAGGCCGTGATTCTCGGCCAAACTGCACTGGCATACCCTCCCCGCAGTCAAGAGATCTTGTGGCGCGTGGCGCGTAATCATAGTCAGATGGCATGGGGGAGGGCGTGCGGGGGAGGGAGCTGGGAAGCCCAGGTGTACTAGGGCGAGACATGTTTTTCCGAATGACGGTATAATATGGTCGGCTAGGATGACCGATTCGGACAGGAGGTTCAGCGCTGATAGGAGTCGAAGGCGCAGGAGAGGGTGATGGTGCTACCTGCATTGCATGTGGCACAGGTGATTCCGCACGATCATCAAAGGCGGGGGAAGACTGTCGTGATCTCGAGCTAAACGAGAGCGACGACATGCGCTGGAGCAATGGCATCCGCTTCTTTCTCCGCAGTTTCGGGCAACCTTGTGAGGATGATGACGCAACAGATAGTAATGAAAGGGCGTGAGCGTGTGAGGCACCATTGGGGTATACGTCGCCGCCAGCGGCGCGAGGTGCATCGATCAAAATGGAACTCGTATTCGAGTGTGAGGAAGTCATTTCTAGCATCATGAGTGATTTGCGGGACAAGTCGTGAGGATGGTGAGTGGCGCGTGCGTGCGTGGACGACGACGATGTTGTAAGGAAAAGAGCGGGTAGTTTACGACGGTGTCGTATCGACTGTTTCTTCACAGCTTGGTGCTTGTATTGTCCATCGGAAAGCTCCTGCTTCGCGCTGGCGGGGGCCGTCGAGGGTAATAATGACTGCACAAAATAAATGAAACACAAAGGGTCAGCAACACAACCCTGATTCCATGGAGGTATCAAACGGCATGTAAAATATAATATTTACCAAAATTGGTGTTGCTGTGGCGACATCGTCATTTGGAATAACGCCCACGGCCCTCCGCGCGTCCTCAGGTTTGGGTGAACACGCCAGCTCGCTGGTACACGAGTCTGACACTGACGTAATTCCGGGTACCTGAAGACTTTCCATGGAGAACATGAGGTCACCTTCAGGAGTCACAGGACCAGCGCTCGAGTTTGTTGAATCCGCCGAGACTCTCTTCGGCATACGCTTGACTCTCGCTCGCTCGCTTCTACCTCTCAATTGAGAAGTCGCCTTGGACGGTGCAGTTATTCTTCGCGGTCTCGGCAACCTCTCCTCGAACTCTTTCTTCGCCCCCGTAGAACTCCATGTACACCAGAGACACATAGGGATGAGCGTATTAGAGAAGCCGCACTGTGCACAGACAAAGAGCGGCCTGTTCGGGCAGAGGTGTAATGAAGGTAGCGAATCGGATGCAGGCAAGTGCTGGAGAGCACAGATCCACGATGAGTGATCATGATCCTCCTCGATATGAATGTAACTCACAGGTTTATTTCGTTTCCATTCCCTTCGAAGATAGCGTCGCGGAGTTGCTGATAGGTCCATGCAAGGGGGATCAAGGGCCATGTCGATGGTGGGGTATTGTCGCTGGTGCGATCCAAAGTGCGGGGTCTCTAAAGCTTTGAGCCTCTGGTTAAAACGACCAAGTCCACGAGGCCGAGGTCTGAACAAGCTAAAGTATCAGTCTGAATCACAAGCACGAGTGGGACACGGAGAGGTGAATATATCGAGGTATCTGTGAAGCGAGCACAGACATATCGATCATGAGACTGAAACTGTGGTCACTGATTGTTCTAAAGCATGCGTTTGGAGCGTGCTTGACGGCGTTTGCGAGCGACATCGTGGCCTCCACCAAGCTCTCGGAAACGTCAATGCACAAAAGGCATGCCAGGTCACACATCTATGACATAATACGGCAATATGTTCCGGACACCCCTCCCCCAAGGCCTGTAACTACTTAGTGTTGTTGACGACTAACAGAAATCTATCTGCACACGATTGAAACTCTTCCATTCAAGAAGCTTCCAAGTGGTTCGAGGAAGCGCTACCCTGAGAGTTGGAACTTGGAAGTGCTTACCCGGGCGCAATTCAGACGCGAAGCATAGCCTCATCCCACAAGTAGTTTAGATGCACACACCTGGTACAAACAGCCGAGGGCGGAACAACCTTTACAGGTGAGAAAAAAATATGCAATTGGTGATGCGAATCCCAAGTTGTAATGCTGGACCGATGATGGTAAACATGCGTCCGTGAGTGAAAGGCGTGTGTTGAGGTATATAACGCGCTAAGCCTATCGAGATGGAATGAGCGTCGACAGAAGTAAAGACATAAACCGAGCTCACAGCTTAGGAACTGCCATATATCATACAAAGACAGTGATAGCCCCTCTCTTCTCATCCATGACCCACTGCCCGTTGATGAGCTGACTCACATGAACACGTCCACATCCGCCAACAGGACAAGTCCATTCATATTCAGCTTCTACACTGAGAACCTTGGCTCGATCCTTCCCATTACCCTTCGCTTTCGTAGACGTGCGGGGAGCAGCTCTAGGTCGCCCGCGAGACGGGCCAGGGCCAGCGGGCAAAGATCCAGCCGGACGCGGTGGAACGGGGGGACGGGGACGAAGACGTGAGCGAATAGAGGGGAATTCCGGTTCAGGGAATATATTAAAGATATCGGGTTCCGTCGCCTTGCCTTTACCTTTCGAAGAGCCGGTGGGGTAGGTGCTAGGTAACTTGGGATCATCTACCTCCTTTGCTTTGCCTTTACCTTTCACATCATTGGTTTCCAGCGAGTCCGGGGTGATAACAGGTATCGGCTTCATCAATTCCTCAACACATTTTCCGTCCAAAACATGTCCACATCTCAAACCCCACAATCTTCTCTTAGCTCTGTCCTCGCCAACATCCGTGGCTCCCAGTATCAACGGATCGTGGCACCAGGCACAGGCAAGCATAGTCTCGCCATGACGACTACTGCTTGAACTGGAGGAACCAGGGCTATCAATGTCGATAACAGGCGCAGACGTTATCGATGATAACTCGAAGTCATGCGTAAAGCCAGATGCAGGGTTCGTTGGATGGGTATACTCCGTTTGATAATCAGGTTCTGAAGGTCGCCCTAGGGAGTTGAAACGACGGAGGTCGCCTCGCATCAGCGCATCGCCTGGTTCGTCATAAAAATCTGCAGCACGATAGTGACGGAATCCATCATCATCATACAGCTCGTCTTCTTCATGACCAAAGAAGTCTAGAGGGTTCCATTGCATGAAAACATCCGCTGGAATGCCGAAGACTCGGCGGCGGCGGTCGTTATTATGTGATCGTACAGGGGGATGCTCAAAGGCAGATCTAGCGCGTTGAAGCAGTGCCCCGCCAAGTCCCATGATGGGAACGTGATGAGACCGCGCAGCAGCAGGTGGAGGAACAAGCGCCTGAGGATGCTCAACGTGCGTAGGGGCATGCCTGATGGTCCTTTCGAATGGAAAAGGCTCGGCATTGGGAACCACCAAGCCAGGGGCGGTGGGAAAGGGAGGCGGTCTTCTTCGCATAGGTAGAAACCTGCGCGGTATCTGCGGAACTGGTGGTATCACAGCAAGCTGTGGAGGAGGAGATGGAGAAAAAAGGCGCTCTCCTAATAATTGTTCAGGAAGAACTGTCGAAAAAGATGTGTTGGACGCACTGTGAGATCTGGCACTGACGAACTGTATATCGTCATCGCTGTCGTTTATTGTTATGATTTCTGGCTCGACTGACACAGAACGACCACTCTCCGACACCCTTCTTCTCCTGGTAGGTGGTCTCGACCTGATGCGAGCCACCTGGTCTTCTACATCGAGCAGGTCGACGTCGATGATTTCAGGGGATTCACGACCCCGCTGCTGTGGAATGACAGATATTGGACGTTCAACATCTACCAGGGACATCTGTAACTGCAATGTTAATGATCTGTTCAGCCTTTGTCGTCGTTCTAGGTTAAACATCGGTTCCATCATCCACAAAGCACTATATATGTGTTACATAATCAACGGTGCACGGGCCAATGCCAAACAATTGCCAAATTGTGGCGGTGTATAAATTCCTCCAATGGCAGAACTTTTCTTCTTTATCCGCATCATTGTTCTGTAAGTATCGCGTCGCCATTCTTCTTCTTTTCTTGATGACTTTATTCTCTTCCCCGTCCTACACGACCATGCCGAGGAATAGAGCTGTTCGTTCGCAACGAACACGCGTTCTCCGGAGCGCACAGTGTACTTGCCAGTGCCATTTCGTCTGATTCTTTTCACCTCAATCTATTTGTGTTCGATCTGTTCTGACCAACTCTTCAGCCCTGTTTAGGTGCCGATGTCCAACTCGTTGCATTGTTCGTCTTTCAGGTGAGAATCGATCTAAGCTCGAACTTTGCATCGCTGCGCCCATCTATGCACGATGAAAATTTTCCGTTATTCGCAGTTTCCACTTTAGCGCCCTCCGCCAGGAGTACTCCCCCAATACCGATCGTTTATATTCCCCCTCGCTGTGTGAACCCAAAAGCATAGTCGTGCGTGGGCCGTCCTTGTGGCGCGCTGGACGGGAGGTGGGGGTCGGCGCAATGAGGGTATGCAGTCCTTCCAGGATGTCTGATCTTTCACTTGGCGCAGCGTGCATTGTTTTTGTAGAGTTTCAATGCTAATGAGATCCCCGCAGGTTTTCTTAAGCAAGGTCGTCGTATTTGTATGTCGAGTTGCCGCCTTGTCTTCCGTAGAGTTATACAGTTGTTGGCTATCAAATTTGTTTGCCCTTCTATGTGTGAATCATATGAATATTTTTTGATGATGATCTATTAGTTGATTCGCGTATATTGCGATGTTCAATTGTTTACACCCAAACACTACCACGCCTGATGGGGTATTTTTTCAAAGCGCCATCATGCCGATATATCTATATAACCCTAATTATCTTATATATCCCCTCCTCGAGGAGGAATTCTACCAGGGGCCTTGGCGAAGACGATATACATGTGTCTAATTTGTGTTCGGCAGCATGAGCTTATAAGTATCTGATTATTAGCTGAGAGACGGCGATAAGATACCCATCTGTCGGTTATGCAACGATCATGCTTGCCAAGTGCTAACTGAGAGTGTTGTCAAGGAATTTATCAAGGTACGAGATTCAAGCTTCCCGCGAGTAAATCACTGCTGCTCCAGTATTGACTCCCGAGTTGTGTCATCCAAAGAGCGCCAACAAAAGGGGTCTATGCTGTGTCCCAAGTCAGCATCCAAGGAACGGATTATATCCAACACGAATGTATGTAAATTCGCACTAGAAGAAGAGATCAACACGTTGGACAGTCTGGACAAAGGTGTGTAGCTACTATCGCCGTTTACGCCCTGCTGAAAGTGGGACACGACTCTTAAAGGATTGGGGCACAGACCCTGCTGAGGGCCTCATGAGGCTGTATCCAAAAGAAGGACATGTGCATTAGTGCTCCCATGCACATGAAGAAGAATTGAATAGTGAACACTGATTTCGGAACCATCTGCCATCAATCTCACCGAGGGGGCGGCCATAAGTATTCTGCAGAGGTACGATGCCAGTTGGACACTATAACGGATCTTCAGTTAACTTTAGTAGACTCATCAATGTTTACGAGGCATGAGGTTGGCGTTCATCACCACAAGGCTGTGCTTCTAAGGACAACGAACCATTGTCTGCCATCTCCACTCCAGGCCTAGAGCGATCGATCCTTGCTCATCCCAACCGGTCTAACCATGGCATGAGAGTGCATCAGCCACCGCAGGAAACATAACCCGGAACCCGAAGAAGCACGTATGATAGAACGGAGTGGTGCACCACGCTGCAGGGGCAGATGTTGTTGTAATTCTGGCTTTCGTGAGAGTGCCTCGAACTCCAAGTCACCAGATTTAAGTCACTCCTAGAGTAATTCGATCACTCAATTGGATAGACAGGCGTGTACGTCGCTCTCGTCATGCTGTTGGCCTATCAGTCTGACCGTACTCTGGAAGACCACATGTTGTCCCTTATCTGAGCTTCCTTGGAGACGACACAAACCTCGTTGACATCATTCACGGATCGCGTTCCGGTATCATCGTTTGCATTTTGGCTTTCCGGAGGCTGTCTCGAACTTCAAGTTACTGGATCCAATGACCCTGCGTCGTATTCAAGATCTGAAGCCTGATTGTACAGCTCGCTCTTCGTCGCCCTTGTTGACCTGTCAGTCTGGCCGTATTATGGAAGTCCACATGTTTTCTCTTATCGGATCCTCCTCGAGGATGTCAGTCAACCTCATTAACATGTACGGCTCGCGTTCCGGTATTATGTCCTGCTACACTTGTGATCGGACTATGGTGGAGAGCGCTGGACGTGTAATGTTACATGGCATCCTTTGTTTGTCCTAACCCACTTTGGGCGCTCCGTTCCATTTCACCATTCGAAACTTCAGGCTGGGCGCTAGCCACGTCAAGGTGGACTGTGTTTTCCTGTGGCTCATAAGATCCGGACCACTGGTACTTGTTCCGTGCAGCTGTCCGGGGGCTTTCCCTCGTCGAGTTTTTCTGTCCGAGAGTCGAACAAGAGATATCCCACAATGCCGGTATTCCGACATAGCATTTAGTTCGTTCTCTCTGACATCATACCCATTTGCCTTGCGCCTCATTACCTACCGTTTTGGCTGATCGATGGCGCTCGTTCAAAAGTGCCGACAAACAATCCGTTGACCTCGAGGCTCCTCGAGGCCCCTCGAGGCCGGCACCCTCGCTATGAAGGGTGCGGAGAAAAGAATCTCCGCAAGATACCAGATGTCATGATCCTGGTGTCAAGCCTTCATGATTGGATAATTCCCATCATGTTCGGCAGGGAGTTGCGCCTTGGACGTACTAAACTATCCGTATACACCGCATACGATTGTGGAAAGTAGGAGGACGCCCGCCCGCCACTTTGCGGCCTATTGATACCGACGACAATTGCAGTTTCTGGCGGACATTCCCTGGGATTCCGCACCAGAGCCGGTCCTAGATGGGCCAACAGAGTTTCCGGTAAGCTTTTGATGCGTTTTTCGAAGCAACTACTTGATTGCACGCATGAGATCGTTCCTGATGCGACATAACGTCGCGACGCGAGTGGTAATGTCTCGTCGGTGTGCAACAGGGGTCAATCTCACTGAAAGTCGCCGATCACCCTATGGTCCATTCGAGATCTTGCTGAGGCTACGAATGATTTGTTGACGTCGGCAAGAGTAAGTCTACCTGGGCACATATTTTACTAACGCATTCAATAGCGTGCAAGCCTGAGAGAAGCCACTCGATATGATATCTCACTCGGATATCACGGACGAAGGAAGCTACGACTTGCAGTTCATAGTCAATTCCGTTACTCGTGGGAGATCTACGTTGATCCGTCCGTGAGCTAATTCATAAAGAACGAGACACCGTATCATCCTGGGACCTGACATTAGACCTTCGGTCTCGTGTGGCAAAGTATGTGCGGGGATTGACGGGGACTGGATAATCAGATATCGGTGTTTGGTGTCTTCGCACCAGAACTCAACAAGCGAACCATGGAAATCTCAAACAACAATTGAGCTCAAGTGTGTATACTTGTATATGATTGTGAGCCTATTATAGGATCAGCCCGGACAACTGTTCGACTCTGACATCATTCATCAAACATCCATCTACACGAGTACAAAGTATTACTAGCACAAGCACAGCGACCCCATAGAGAGACCGCGGCTCTGAATCGCTGCAGGTTGGCCTTCACCACTTATGCCTGTCTGGTACGAGACGAGAGCCAGTGGACATATTATTTACATAGATGATACTAGACAACGAATCCATACTAAAAACACTATCTACTAGGGCAGCGCACCACATAAATGGCATTTTCTTTTATATCAAAAAGAAGAATAAACATCATCATTTCCAACTTTCGCTACGATGTAACTTCACATGCAAATGTTCGTGGAGGCGCACAGAACTTCACAGGCAACTTACTTGTATATGTATCTCATGCATCGATGACATCTTTTACGTCTGGGCTTACATGCCGCAACACCCACGTCGATTTCCTATGGAAACGCATGAGCGAGCATACCTACAGTGGGACCTCTGATACTTCCCTGCGACGAAGCCACTTGCCGTGGATCGCAAAGAATCGATGCCCGCGGGCGCGGGCAATTTACGCGGATATGAACTGATACTTATGAGAGGCCGGGCTGCCGCACACTCGTGAACTGTGATCGGGTTCGGATCAGATTTAGATATCTAATACAAACTGGCGCTGGAGATTATAGAATGAAGACGGCATCAATTGACACGATGATGGCTAGGGGAGAACGAGCTGGAACAAGGTATTCAATCCTTCGGACAAATGCGGAAACGTGGATTGGTGCACGGTGGGCGACTTGCTCCAAAGTTGATGAGATAAATCAAATAACACGTTACACCGCAGTACACCGCTGGCATCGCGGGACCGATAGAAGGGAAGTGTAAACTATCTGAAAATCAAAACGTTCAAAAAGTATAGTACTCCACAGGAGCCTACCGTTTCTGGTCAAAGCCGGGTCCTTTCCACCAATCAGATTGCTAGTTTCAGTGATATCTGAGAAAAACCTCAAGCGTCAAGGTCAAGTGGGCTCGCGCAACTCTTCGAGCACTCGAACGGTCGAGAACCAACCCATGCGGGGCCATTTGGACCTGAATGAGTTCATAGGTACCCGTTGGAACTTGGAAGAGTTCGAGGAAGGATGCCACCTTATTTGGGAGACGATGCCCCACCGAGACTGCCCGCTTTGCAGTGTATCTTAGGTCAATCTCAGGCTCCATCTCCAGATCTCGTTTTCGTTGGCGCTGATTTTGTCCAATATACATAGAGAGACTCCTGAAATGAAAAGACCGTTGCTCAGATGTAATATCTAATTATTTTCTTACTTTCATGTTTTTCAGTGACGCATCCTATTTCCAGGAACTACTTGTCGGCGTTCTCGTAATGATGTGGTCATTAGAACGGACTTTCACCACAGCCCGGAAGAGATGCGAAGGACGCGGCGATCACACATTGTACGTCGATTTATCACCTTTAAGTATTCATTGGCGCCGGTGTCTGAGATGAAACACTCAAATACCCTTCCTGAGCCTTCCGAGTATCCAATCGAACAGCATTTCACCCAACATGCTAGCTCAACGTATGCTAGCAGGACCTTCCGCTTCTCTTTGCTCTTTGTCTCCCCTTGAGCTGCTTGATGCTCCCATACTCGAACGTGTCGCATTTTACTTGGCTACAGGTCGGTTCATTGGACCACCGTCGGAATTGATCCCTCTCTTGTGCACGTCTCGCACGATCAATGCGTCACTCAGGTTCCGCAGCAATAGCCATCTATATTCTCAGATTTTTCACCAAAAGTTTGACTGCGCTGCAGTACTACGTCGCCTGTCATGGGGACGCACCACTGTCGAATGCTTATCTGAGGAGCTTCGCAAGCGCAGTACCATATTGACTCGTATACGTCATCGGAATGTGGAAAATTTTACTTCTCTTCAGGAGGACCTCTGGGCAGTCTATCTCATGATGCTCGAAAATGATCATAAAAACATGGCCCAGTTGTGTCTCTGGGCCGAGCTTCCGATGTGGATAGCAAATGCCATCGAAGACAAATGCCAAGTTCCCCGAGAGCATCCGCTATCTTGGGTGAACGACATTGAAGGCACCTCATTGGCCCTTTGGCTTCTTTGGATGAGCAGCAACGAAGGTCAGTTGCTAGTATATCAAGTCTGATGTGTGTTCTCACATTACGCATCAGGGAGCGTCAAGAATGAAGACCCTAGGGAACGCAATAAAATACTGCACCGGCTTGAGCCTTTCCTTGTGCAAGGACATCGAGTGCGTATTGCAATTTGTTATTTGTCCCTGACGTAACACTGTTACGTGCAGTTCTCATCTGCGTACGCTCCCGATGCGTTTTTCTATCTGCCTCTTTGTGCAGAACTTGAGGCTGCAATCCCATGTACGACGGGTCTGCCACTTCCCATCTCCCGCGAAGTTGTACACTATGGTCGAAAAATTAGGCTCGCTGCACCGCCTTTAGTACCAGCTGCACTCCTGAACTATGTGATCAGGTTGGAGGTGCGTTTAGACACTAATCCATTACCGTCCGCAGTGGCGCAACTTCCTGCTACGAGAGTACAAGCTACTACAATGGGATTGCCTGTTCCGCGGCTTACACAGGAAGATGTTGTAGACTTTCACTTTCACACTCGCACAAAGTTTTTCGGCGACTATAACGGCCTTGGCAGCGAGCGCCTTGATAGTGAATGGTTTCGAATTGTATCATGTCATGATCCGTGGGCTGTTGATCGACCGCTCCGGGGAGTTTTCTACCGTCTTGGGACATTAACCGGACACCGGAATGGTCGTGCTTTGGTACGTTCTTGGTCATATTATTGTCCGGCAAGTTGATCATACCCTGTCGCGTCAGATTCCATACCTACAGGCTCACATGGAAGCTAACATGCGTAATCGACGACCTTCGGTACAGGGTGTTACTTGGGCGCACGAGCGCATATCTTGCGTGTTCAAAGAACATCATTGTTTAAACCCCGATGAACCTATCCCTGCACCTGCCGAAGCTCATGGGTGGGGCGAGGATATCCTCAACGGTTGGTTGCCCCGTCGGCTGGAGATTAAACATGGAGCAGTAAGTTTTCTATGCGCCTGGTCTCGTGTGCGCAGCATTCACAAAACACATTTAATAGGATAGCCTGACATTAGATGATCCGGATACCGGGAGGACCGTACGTTATGAAACATACCATGCTGAACGCGAAAACCCCTACTCCATGCCGTTCAAGAAGAGCTCCGAGTGGCGTGGTGATTTGCCCATTGAGACCGTAAGCGAGGATTCGCCCCACGAAACGGACGACGACTATGAGGAAGTTTGTGAGGAAAGATCTAGTGGTGTCACCGACATTATCATCACGGGAGAGGTGAGACCTCCTTTCGTCTCGAGTTGAAGCTTGACAAATGCGTGAACTTTTTCAGACGTACGAACGCGAGGGCCCTGCTTGGGGTTCTTTCTCTTTCATTGGCCGAGTAAGACCATGGGATGGCTTTGTTGTTCTGCTGCGGCTGCCAGTACGTGAAATAACGCCTGCGTGGTGTCATTCATTTTAACTAATTGTTTGAATCAGACGCACGTTGCCCATTCATATCATGGTCGCTGGATATTCAAAGGTTACGTACACGAGCGTAGCCTTGTTGGGCGCTGGCGTGAAACTGGCACTGCAGTTGACCAGGTAGGCTACGAGGGCGGATTTGTGCTTTGTAAGGTGGATGAAAATTCTACAGATGTGGTTTGAGTTTACGATGTGACTTTCATGACCCTCACTCTCATCTGGAATATATTGTATTATGATATGCATGTAGCCATATACTATACATCGTCACCCAATTGTATTAGCATTTTTATCAACACATGGGCAGATGAACGCCGTCATCGCTAACCATTCATTGTCCTAAGTCACGAGTACTTTAATGAATCACTTAATGCATATCGGATGCAATACATTTGTACTTGGGTGGTATCTGACACCCACCAAACACAAGCATGGCGAGGAAGAACTCTAGACTGATCCCGTCCGTCTCTCAATGAAACCTCTGACATTAGCATGCCCCTCAAGAGTACCAAAGAAGCACCGCTTGACCGCGTTCTCCCAAAGCACAACATCCAGCTGCTTTGCATACGCTAGCACGTATTCATAATCGGCTTGCGACGCGAAGTCTTTGTAAAGATAACCTTAATTTGTGTTTCGGCTGGCGTGAGAAGGGTATCATAATGAAGAGGAGATCCTTACCTTCTGCAGATTTCAGCCGATTCCTCTCAAGCTCCCAGAGTCTTATTTGGTCTTGTACGGTCACAGGCAAAAGGGGATTCTATTCAGGGGCAGTGAGCAACAGAAGCGTACTGTGAGGACGAATCTATACTCACGTTCTTGCGCATCTGTGGGTGTGCGTGTGTTGTTAGGTAGCTGATGATCTGTCAACGGCGATCAGGCTTATTATGCAGACCCGACTACAATCAGAGAAGAACGTTTGATACCTGGTCAGCCGAGATTCCGTTGCCCAGTGCCTTCCGTACGCTTTCACGCGTGAGCATTCCCACAACCAAGTTCGGAAAACGGTATTTCATCGTGATGAACAAATTCAGGACGGCCGTCTGCAAAGGGTTATCTTCCAGCCGCCGACGACATGTAAACTCCAAAGCAAACATTGAAGAAGAGGTGACATACCTGTATAGGCATATATTCGATAGTTAGTTTCCAGAACAATGAAGCCTTGTTGCGCGGCCCCCGAGCTTAAAGCAACCGCTCCTGTACCATCAACTGGACGAGAGCCACCAGTAGGATGAGAGCTTGGTAAGGGAGGCGATGACGAAGTCAAAGTTGTTGCTAGTCGTGTGGGACTGAAACGTTTTGATGACGTCTGCAAGTAGCATAGTACATTTTTTGTGAAAATGTGCCAAAAGTGGTAAACTGGACGGCTCCATACCTTACGTTGCCACACAAGCCCATAGTCTCGAAGGTCTTCGAGCATTGCCTTCTGTGTTTCACTTAAGGGTTCTGTCGAATATTCCTGGTATGAACAGTGCCCTTTCAGCTACTGCACACAACTATGTCAGATGTGCCTCACCCGACCTAGATCCATTGTCGACAACATAAATAGAAAGCTAAGCACCTCCACGAGATCCATTTGCCGCTCCTGAGGACACATCAATATTAAACACGACGAATTCTATCAACAGGAAGCGGACCTCTGCCATGTGCAAGTACTGTAATAGCAGATTCCAGAGTTGGTCATGAGGTGAGTGGAGTAGGAACTGGAAACCCGATGAAGTGATTTGTAGAGCTGCGCCACTGTTGATGGGAAAATGTGAGAACACGAAAAAAGGGTTTTCACGCGTATACACCCACTGAACATTGTTCATCAAACCGCTCCGTTGAAGCAAATACAAAACTCCTTGGGAAGGCTTGGTGGGATTTTGCCCTTGACCAGACGACACCATGTAGTGAAGGATGGTCTACGAAACTGTTTGCTTACTTCCCACCAGTTTATGACTAGCTCACCTCCCATCGTTCAAGGGCATATGCGTCTAAGTTTTCGATGTTTGCTGACTGTCGCTTGCCGTCCCTGTCGGCAGGGACTCCAAAGCTTCCCGTGTTACCACTTCAGGCATTTGTTGGCATGATGAATTTGCTTCATTTATAATTTCAACGTACCCTCCTGTGATAGCTTGCCTCAAGCTAGATTTGAATGTAGGGTTTAGCGCTAGTCTAACAGCCGAGTTTGGGGCAATGTGGAGTCCAGTCATGACAGCAAGGGCCGAATCATACGTACTGGACGTATGGATCATGAGTGTGAAGCATCCGCAGCTATAAACTACGTACTTCTTTCCCTCGGGAAGGACCCAAGCCGACATTGTCGCTGCAGAGAGGGCACTTTCTAGCCATAGTAGGTTCATTATGAGCTGCCGCTCAATTGGCCCGAGCAATCTAGTAAAACGTCAGCTTAGGCATATATACAATGGAAGGATTCATCACCTAAATATTGAAAGACATGATGATGGTCGTTGATAGAGGCGGGTTAATGTGGTTTGTGACTGGGATTGAAGAAATGGAAGGAGTGGGTGAGGCGCATGTTGAGGAACGATCAATTCTGTGTCCTGCAGCGTCTGTGTGGGCATCCTAGTCGATTATGTTTTATCTGAGGGTCATGGAGGACCCAAGCTTAAGGTCACTCACTGCAGCTGACGGTAATCACGACGAGAACGAATTTAGGGTTAGGGTCATGAATGACTCGGAGGCGGCCTTTCCCGAGCATAGATGATCGAGTCAGACTCAGCGCTCAAGGCTCTTCAACAAGTAGTTGGTCTGAGAGCGACCGGACCCGCACATCAATATTAATGTCCAAATCTCCCATAAACATGCATATTGATGACAATACATTATCACCGCTTGAATGATGCGGCCATCAGGCCTAAAGTTTGGTTGGGTAATTGTGATTCTACGTGCTTCACTCTTCCCACCACCATGTCCAAACTACCAGACATCTTCACCGATCCAGAGGACTCCCAACTCGTCGCCGACGCCAAGAAAGACAAACCAGAAGACCACGAGTTCACTTATACCGAGCGCGACGTCATTCTCTACAACCTTGGCGTCGGCGCGACCGCAAAAGACCTGCAATGGACGTACGAAAGCCACGACGAGTTTGCAGCGCTCACAACGTTCGGAGTCATTCTGCAATTCGCAGCCAGTTCTGGTATCTCACTAGGCTAGTTGCCGAACTTCAATCCTGTGAGGCGCCATGGCAGAATTAAATGCACCCTGGGGGCTTAATCATGCGGTTCAGGCTAAGCTTCTTCATGGCGAACAATATTTGGCAATCAGGAGCCCTATACCTACAGAGGGTCATTTTGTAAATGAAACCAGGTTCATCCGTCTTTACGTCCTCTTCCTGCCAATCCCCACCATCATTGCACAGGCTTTTGGAAGTCCTGGATAAGGGCAAGGCCGCTTCGGTCACCACCATAGTGTATACGAAAGGTGTAGCCACAGGGAACGTCATATTCGAAATCAAATAACGGTGTTCATTCGAGGCGCCGGTGGCTTTGGTCGCAAGCGTTCTGGCAAAGGTATTAAAGCTTCTATCGAACACTGGCGCTTATCTGAGTTTGCCACAGATAGAGGTGCTGCCACAGCTGCAAACACACCCCCAAAGCGTCAACCTGGTGCTGTGATCGAAGAGAAGACGAATGCCTCGCAAGCTGCACTATACAGGTCAGTCTCCCAGTCATTGCTGTATCTTCTTGTATTTCTGACGCTGGTATGCAGACTAAGTGGGGACTATAATCCTTTACATGTAAGTCGCACACCGTACTCGGGGTTCGAGTAGTCTTTTATATCCCATACAGATTGACTCCAGCTTCGCGGCAATTGGCGGGTTCGATCAGCCCATTCTTCATGGTAATATTTGAATTCTATGCCCAGACTATGTATCGATACATCTGAAACTCGATTTAGGTTTATGTTTCACGGGGATCGCAGGCAAGCATGTCCTGCAATCCTTTGGCGCCTACAAGGACATCAAAGTTAGGTGAGCGTTATCCCCATTACTGGCGAAATCCTGTGCTCTTACGCGCCCCGCAGCTTCTCTGGTGAGACGCTCATTACGGAGATGTGAAAAACAGGCAACAAGGTGATCTTCTGTACGTCCGATATATACCCCTCTTTCCACTGTGGGCCAGGTACTGACGTCTCACGTGACTTGCTAAAAAGTAGCTAATAATCCGCTAGTTAATAATTCCCCAAGAGCCACCTGGCTAAAAAGCAGGCTAATAATTCGTCAATTAATTTTGTCCCGAACCCTAGTATGCTCCCATCTGTCTAATCTCAATCTACGGCAATCATGTTGCTTCATCTGTCCGACATTACCGTCCTCCTTTGGTCGGAACGCCTCTTTTCTGAACTTGTGCTGTGCGGCAGACCAGAGACAACAGGGTTGTTGCCACCATGCGCAAGTCAGAAGCCTTCCCCCACCTCGTTCCTTCGGACCACGTTGAATGACATCTGAGGTCAAAAAAATGCGTACCGGAACTCACGAGGGTCTTGGGTGTATTGCAAACCGCTAGAACGACCTCGTCCGCTCGTTGCCTATTCGTACCAGACTTTTGGTACCACAAGGAAGCTTCCGCAGAGAGGTGAACACACCTATTGCAGGCCGGCTGTCGCGGTATTCGACAGCTCAGCTTGACGACATATTCAGGTGTCAGATTCTACTCTATTTCGTTAATAAGAGTCTTTCCTGAATGGGTCTCGGTGTCATCCCCAAGTAAATTGGTGAGGCTTCAGTTGTGAGGCAACAAACCATAAATACATTAATTGATTTGTGTAATGTCTAGCCCTCGACAGTATCACCAAAGACTTACTGCAGAATTTGATGCCAAGGTCGGTGTATGCGGGACATGGCGCAGCCTCCTCGCTTAAAATCGCCGCTCCGGGCCTTCGCGCACCGGGGGAGTCGACATCTTCTGTGGAACTCTTCCTATGCCGAAGAATTGTGAAACTCGTTCATCAAGAGTCTCTCCAATATGCTTCCTGTTGCAGACCTCATCGAATGATGTTCGTCGCGAGTTAGAAATCGGGCAGATTTGCGAGTCTTAGGCGGAGTAAGTATGATAAATTCAGCTAGCTACGCCACGATTCTATTGATGTTGATTTTGCGTTTTCTTCGATAAACCGAGAGTTTTGATCGTCTGTAATTGGTCTGACCTATGTATGGACATATAACCACGGGGGTAAATGGCATGGAGGAGTATAATTATCGCGAGGCTAAAGTGAGAAAGACAAGATCCATTCTAGCAAGTCAAGCATGAAGTCCTCAAACACCACTAGATCTTCACCACGCAGTTCCCTTTTCCGACTTAAGAGCGGACCGAAACAACATTAAAATCGCAAATCAGTGTTGGTCATACACGAAAGAAAGTCCTGGCAAGTTCTCACATCTACTGCTGCTGAGCCGGGCAATTTGTCTTATGTTTATTGAGGTTGTATCTGCGAGTGAACGGTTTGTTGCATGTGTCGCAAGGGTATATGATCTGGAGGTGCCTTTCTTCCACATGTCTCGAGAGGTTCTCTCTGTTGAGCTCCATGGTGCAGTGGTTCCACAAACAATGAACGCGCAAATTGTTTGCACCCCGAATTCCGTGAATTTCACGAAGGTGAGCAGGAAGTTGGTGGCCATCAAATATGTGGTTGCAGCGCAATCCATATGGTCCGACGACCCACAGGCATTGCACCAACTGCCGCAGTGTCAATTAAGTCGCAGTCATGCCCTGTCAGACAACTGAAAACTTACAGATCCCGATGCGGAGGGGGATCCTATGTTAGCGTAGTACGACATAGTGGTGACAGAGGCGACGGTTATGACAGGTGTATCTTCTTCAGATTGAAGTGTGTGAGGGAGGGTTTTATATTCCGCATGAGCTTGCCAAGGGGGCCATCGTTCTAACTCTCCGAATCCGGGGCCGGGGCCTCATGAGCTGGCGCACAATTTCATTGATTAGAAGACAAAACCATAGCCATCAAATAGGCGTCAACTGCCAGTGGCCTTGACCTTCGGCGGAGCGTGCCGTCGATGAGTATCAATGTCGCCACCAAATGCGCGTGCAGGATAGGATCACAAAAACTTAGAAAAGGAAAAACATTTTAGGATTGGGCACTTGGCCTCCATGACAACTTCTACCACCAACCTGGCCAAGGGCCGGCTGCGGCCACCCAGAAGGCAAAAGGATGTACATTTGAACGCAAGATTTAAAAGTCACGAAGGAAAATGAAAAGGATTTGGCGCCAAAAATAATGCGTGGTAAATTTAATGCTCGACGCTATCGGAGCGCTAATACTTAGAGGCCGATGCGCAAACGGTTCTCGAGGTGATCTCGCTTTTATATCCCTACTAGCCATCAAGACCATCGGATGACAGAATCGACAGAGCCGTAAGTGATCTCATCAACTCGGGTACTGTCGCAAAGAAACGCACCACCATATCACAGTCATCGTGTGCTCCCGGAGACGCGAGACACTCTCCGTGAGCGCCTGTTGGACCAAGGCAGCACCACCTCGTAGAAGTCTGCGAGGCAGATACTAAGGACCTGATGTGCAGGTGAGCATTGCTGATTCCCCAGCCGATTTCAGCTGAGAATAGGCCAGATCCCGGCAAGATTGACCATAGATTCGTCGTCTTGCGGGACGAACATTTGACCCTCTGGGTTTCCATAGGTAAGCAATTCTCCGGTCCTACGAAGTCAAGAAAACAGAAGCTCTTCTGGAACCCACCTGGTCGTCGACGTCAAACATTGTGGGTATACATCCAAAGTTATATTGGACTTGGGAGGAAGACGAAGAAACTTGGACTTGAACGGGATCGTCAGCTGCCAAGGTCGCAAATCGGACCAGTCTCATGCATCCGTGTTAGTAATGACGACCACCGTGGAGGCAAGATCAGCAAGGACTGTAACGTCGGGGGAATGGTAACGGGATCGTCCGTCGCGAGCCGTTCTTGAGTCTTAGCATCGAGATCCACCTAGGTAGCCCGACTGACGAATAGAATTGATGGAACTTCGAAACCTGGAGGATGCCGTGATTGAATGCTTCCCAGTTTAATCGTCACCGAGGTCAAAAAAATTGCCAAAGGGTCGATGGCCTCCCAGAAAATTACTGGTCGAGGGGATTGCCGTCAGCACTCATGTGTACCCAATCCAATATATTCCGAAGACTGCTTCGAGCTCGAGTGTACTGTGCAAGAAATTTGTCATCACAAGTTGGCGATCCATCCGCGAAATCCAACGTTTTGCAACTCCGAATTTCCTTGGGCACTTTTAGTTTTCAGTGAAACACGATTGGAGGGACGACTCTGACGAGTCCATCCTTCAGCTCAACGCAGGCCACTGATAACATTCTTTCATCGTCCTCCTTCGTAGTCTTGCAATGCCACGTCAGCAAGCTGGCATTGTTCTCGATTCTCTGCACGACTCGGAGGTTGGGACAAGTGCAAGGGATATGCAAGAATCGTAGGCTTATCCACCCATCGGTATTAATGCTGGCACTAATCTCCATCGAGCGTGCATTCTCCACCAATGATATCATGTCCGACAAGTGACTGCCTCGTTCGTTAAGATGGGCGTAGCTGGGGGTGCCTCATCTGGACCCGGACCCTTCATTCCCGAACTCGGTCGAAAAAAGACCAAGGTCGTTGCCACTTACACCCTGCGCCAGCCAGATCTCGTCACGAAGTAGCCTTGCGACCAACTTTGTTAAAGGTAGACATTGCGAATGTATCCGGGTCCTCAAGAGTGAGTTCACGTAGAACCCATGATGCTTTTGGACTTGAATCATCAACGCTGGCTTTACCACTATGTTTAGGTGAAACTGCAAAACTTGACAGGTCGGCTCGGCATCGATTTCTGTTCTTTTTCGTGAGTACTCGGAGTCTTTCTGCGTTAGTATTATCTCAGTGAATTTGGAGTAGCTTGTCTTGTGGGGCGCGAGTTATAAATATATTGATCTGTGTCATGCCGTCCAGTCCTCCGAAGGTAAGTATCACTGGCATGCCTGTAAACTTGATCCGGAGGTCCGTTTACGCAAGTTATGATGCGGCCCTTCTTGCCACGTTCTTATACGGATTACAACATTGTTCCCGGGCCCACCTGGAGGAGTTGAGAATTCTCCCGTGGAACACCGACAAAACAGAAAGATTTCTATTTTTCTCGAGTTCATCAGCGGCGATACTTGTCAAGTTGTGGAGGTTTATCGAGGAACCCGTTTGCTCCATTGCGCCTCCCGCTGCACACATAATCGGTGCTGCGTGCACGGCAAGAGATCGAGGGTGTTTAGAGGCTAGCGGATGCGTATGAGCTTTGGTTAAAGATATTCACACATTCATTATCTACGACTCTAATGATCGAATTACATTGTCTTCTGCTTCGTTTCGATGGTCTGTGACCTATGTATAGACATATAGACATAGGTGTCACTTAGGGTCTAAGTTAGAGTTAGAGTTGTTCCAGGCGCCGTACTTACCGTTGTCATGCCGTTGCTGCTTAGAATGGGTAGAGACGCGTTGGATAACTTGGACACAATTTCACGATAGAGCATACATTTAAAACCTACCAAACAGACCAACGCCATTTGAAGGCAAGCATGTCTAGCTTGGAGAATTGACGAACCCGCTACCAACTTGCTATTTGATAGTTTCATACATACTTGGACATATATTTCCACCAGGGTAAATAACATAGAGGTAATTAAACATAGAGGACACTAGTAAGTGCATCGGATCATAAGCTACATAAACCGACAGAAGTACTAACTGGAGTTATGACATAGCAAATAAATACCATAAGATCCACTGTATGGAGTCGAGTAAGAACTTCGAATCAGACTGGGCATACGCCAGCGTCTACCCATGATAGCGGCTCCCCGTTTAGTTTGGACTTGAGCAACTTTGCTTATGCTTGTTGAGAGTGTCCGTGCGGGAGAACGTCCTCCCGCAGTCACAGGAGTATACGATCTTCATGTGAGTCTCTTCAACGTGCCTCGTCATGCTCTCTCTATTCACCACCCGACTACAATCCTCCCATTTGCACTCAAAGCGCAATGTATCCGAGCCATAAATCCCGTGATATTGACGTAGATGGGCAGAGAGGTTGTGACCGCGAATCAATTGGCCGCAATGTAAGCCATATAGTTCACTCCACTTGCAGAGGAACATCTCTCCAAGAGAATGGGGCCTCTGCAAAACGCCGATTGAGTCGCAGCGACGCACGGTCAAAATATCGAGAACTTACAGTCTGGGATGAGCCAGATGATCCATTGCCTGAATGGTTGTAATTGGACATCGAATAGCAGTATTAAAGCGACAGTCGCAACGGTTATACCTCGAGGAGACTGGAGTTTTTGAGGGAGCCGTGTATTTTTGTTGGTACATTTACAAGCCTACAATCCGATATATATATGCTGAGTGAGCTTGCCAGGAGGGTCATCGTTACAGCCCTCCGAATTCCACTTGGAGGGGAGTCCAGCCTCGTGGGTTGGTGGGGTGCCAGCGTCGGGATGGTGAAAATACCATTGGTCGGTAGACACAACCACATCCATAGAATATGTGTCAGTTGGCAGTGGCCTTGGCCTTCAACGGAGCGTGTCATCCACGAATGTCAATATTGGCCACCGAGTGCGCGTGCAGGATTACTAAAACCCAGAGGACCATCGAATTTCTGGTGCCGAAAGTATGACTCGGTCAAAAGGACGATGGCCAAGCGTGCCATGTCGGGATTTGGTACATGGCTTCCATGACGATTTCCACCCCCCGACCCGGCCAAGGACCACTGCAAGCTGTGGAACAAAAACACTCCCGAAAGTTAAAGGACACCACTGGATGAAATCCAGAATTAAGCGAAAGACAACGCATTGGCCCCATACGTGATGCGTGGTAAAATCAACACCCAACGCTATCAGGGCGCTTACAACAGCTCACGCGCACTGACGGCAGCTGTTCATGAAGCAATCTTGTTTCGATATTCTACTTGGTCACCAAGGCCCTCGGAAAACGGCATCGACGGGGATCTGAGTGGTCTATTCAGCTTGGAGGTTATCGCAAAGAAGACACACCACCATGGTTGCACAGTGGACGCATCAGCAGTTTGTAAAAGTGCACTATTGACTACACCTCACGGTAGCGAGACGCTCTCCGACGTCCGTGACGAAGGTAGCACAGTCTCGTAGTCCGACAGGAATAATCGACACCTGATTTACAGGTGAGCATTGCTGATTCTCCGGCTGATCTCAGCTGAGAACAGGTCAGATCCCTTAGGCTGCAAGATTGACTATGAATACTTCACCTTGCGGTCAAACACTTGGCCCTCTGATTTCGATAGACAAGTAACTCTCCGCCCCTGCGATGCCAGGGTGACCAGAGGTTGTTCTGGAACCTAAAGTCATCCAGCTTCGCAAGTGATTTTCTTCCTCTTGAGTAGCCGCTATCCCAGGCTATTATAACGGACTTCGGAAAAATATGAAACAAAGTGATCATCGGGACGCGAATCGGAGCACTCTCGTGCTTTAGCGTTTTTGACGCTAGAACCACAAGGCAGAATCGGCAAAGACTTCCGGGAATGGTAACGAGATCGTCGTAAGCTGTTCTTAGTATCGAGACCAGCCTGAGGTGCTCAATTGAAGACTGATGGTGGAACTTCGAAGCTTGGAGATGGGGCCCAAGGAGTACTACTACTTGTAGTCCGGAGTTTAATCGCCTGCAGGTTGCACAAAGTTTGTCAAAGGATCGATGGTTTCCTATGGTCTCCAGGAATCACCGGCCAAAAAGGTTGCCCTCAGGCTCATCGCGCCCATTCCAAATACTTCATTCCGAAGAAACCGAAAGGCTTGTAACGCTGGAATTTGTCATCATTGCGATACATCCGCGGAATCTTGGCGGAATGCAACAGCATTGCAACTCCGAATGCTTTCTTCCACGTTCCACAGTCTACAGTCGTCTGCCTGGTTTTTGGAGTCCATCCATGCAGGCCGCCAAGCAGAATCAAGACTGATGCAAGGGCATCACTCTAGTTTTTCCATTTGCGGACGCGTCTTAGTCTTAGTCTGTCTTAGTATTATCCTCTCCGCCATCGGACGTTTTTCTGTCAGAAGGGACGACCTGCCTCGTTCGGTAAAATGGGCAGGTTGACCGTTGTATTGCAAAAATCTATATATCGTCGACTGAACGTCTTGAACAGGTCCATGCTCAATTTGCCCGTATGAAGTCGTTAGCAGCGCGCATTGTGCTCGAGCTCATCTATGTGGCGGTCTGTTGTGTTGTGAATGCCAAAGGGTTTTAGTCCCCTGGGCACTGCTCTTTTCCCTCAATTATATATTCACGGCAGTCGTACGTACGTTGCTCACGCAACTAGCAATATGCGATGTCTTTCGTGGCAAGATCTGCTACTTACTTACAGATGGGCCTATACCAGTATTCCCTTCCCCCGACCGTACAAAATGTACAGATGGAATTTTGGGCTTCTTTCCAGTCAAGGTTTGCCTGTAGCTATAGGACACCATCTGACACCATATCATAGCATATATGTGCCCGTGACCTTGGTGAAACGCCATCTGACAAGTGATAATCCCAGATATATCCTCGAGACCATAGCATAGGGTTAGGAGTTATAGCTTTAGTTAGCCGCGTAATCATACCAAAATTCTCTATTGAGTCCATTCTGCTTCATAACCACTAGGTGATTAAGATGTCACTGTCAATACACGCTGCCGCTCACAAAAGTGCGCTTTCACTGTACCTGCCCCCCTACTAACGTCTGACCTTCCATCTTCCAGATCAACCTGCCCTTGTTCGCGCGTTGGCGGAAGAGAACCCAAAGCTTGTGAATACTGTCGATGACGTGAGCCAGCTAGCCTCGTTTCTCGATGACTTGAAACGCCTATTGCATGTGCCCCCAGGATGGTAGGACACCACTACATTGGGCCGCGTCGAGCGGCTCGACCGAGATTGCGTCCTATCTCATAGAGAAGAACTCAGACGTAATAGACAACGTGGATGAGAGTGGCTGGACGGCCTTGCACATAGCTGGTATGGTTGTCTGAGTATGCAAATCATAGTCTGAACTCATGCTCTCCGAGTCTAGTAAGCGCAGGTCATGAAGATGTCGTTCGAGAGCTAGTGGGTGCTGGGGCTGATGTAAATAGAAAGAACGACAAGGGAATTACCCCTCTGTCAGTGATGTTCCTGCTCGAGATTGTCTTTACTGGTCTGACTGGAGCTGCTCAGACACTACGCAGCATCAAAGTCCCGTATTGACGTATGTGGGCGTTGGTATTATGAACTTGTATATACTAATCGCGTCTACATCTACAGATCGGGAGGTTCCTGATAGAAAGGGGAGCAGACGTATGTGATTTCTTCGAGGGTACTTCGCAGTCATCAAATGAGCGGTCACTAGATAAACGCCAAAGATAAGGCGAACCAGATGCCCTTGTGAGATCATCTCATCGCATTCAAAGCTAGCACGGAATCGACTTGTTTATCACTCAACCTTCTAGGCATCGAGCGGCAACGACTGGCTCTACAGGGTTCATTGCCCTCCTACTTAAGCCTCCAGAAGGCTCAACGACTGCCAAACCACGACTGAACACGGGCGATCGGATAGGTGGGTCCATCGTAGCTTTTATTGATTAGATTAGATCAACATGCCGTTCTCAGGCAATACGCCCCTTCATCTCGCTATGGACTCGGCTCATGCACAAGCCGCAGTAATGTTGATTGAGGCAGGTGCTGACCGTGGCAGGGTGAGCCCTTTGACTTCGCCAGGGGAGCTGTGTTTGTTAATAGTGCTTTAGACTAACTTGGATGAAGTAACCCCTGAGAGCGTCGATGGCGTCGGGGGCACCGAGCAGAGAAGGGCGAAGCAGTATGTTATTGATCACTGCGGCGAGCCCTGATTCAAAGTAGATGGAGAAGTAGACACGATAGAGGAGCGGTGGTACCAGTACCAGCCTTCAGGTTATTCCTGTGGGTATCCACAACAACTTCTATTTGCACAAGGTATATCAGACTATCCCACATACAGTGGTGGTACATGAACAGCAGTACAAAGGCGCACAAGGGCACGAACTGAATATCAAACTGCAAGGCGCTGTATGAGAACCACGAAAGCGTAGAAAATTACGAAGGTCCGTTGTGAGTAAGGTAGGTGGGATGTTAGGAATGTTATGGATCCGAAGAAAATTATCCAGCTTTATGGTAAGACGCAGATGATGTAGCATTCTACGACAAGGCACAGTTAGAAAATGTGCAGTGCATGAAAGAGATGAAAACGATCTCACCTAGAGAAACCGATGCAATAGAAGTCGACTTTACAGAGGCCTTTTGGGAAGTAGCTTGATGACTCGGTCTCGCTTGACAATACACCCATCCTTCCCAAAATAGCGGGTGGAATCGAAGGACCAGTGCAGTGAACCGACAATCCAGTTCTGCAGCCCTTCGACATAGATAGCCACCTGCTTGTCGAGTTCTTCTCCCCATGAGGGGAGGATAGCACGGTTGTCTTCGAAGCGCTGGACGGTACCCGTGCACAACTGGCCAAGGTAGTCGACAGCACCTTGTAGGCTCAGGCCTTGTGTGCACATAAGTACGACAATCATGTTATGTGTGTCGCGGCGAGATTGCTCCACGTTGTACGAGAAAATATCCTGTCCGCAATGATGTCAGCGGTGCCCCAGAAATCGACGACAGAATGAGGCTTTACATTCGACCAAGTAACGAGATCGTTGGTTGCCTCCTCCATTGCTATGATAACTGGATGCGACATGACATTGTCGGGGAGATCAATCCGAGCTGCATATTCGATGAGAGCAAAGCAAGGCTTGCAGCCGCTCGTGTCTCGCCTCATGGTGATGTAAGATTCAAGATCAGGGATACGTCCCTTGGCACGATCTTCCGCCTGCTTAGCTACAGCAATGAAGAACAGGTCCACTGTGTGGATCAATCGCTCGGTGCAGCCGGGGCCGCCTGTCTTCCTAAAGCGGCTGAAGTACCTAATGGCCGTATTGGAAAGTGAGGGAGTGTGATAGAATAAATCAACGTACGATTTGCACATCTTTCCACCAAGTTTTGCCGTCCGGAAGTGTATTGGATCGCGAAATGCAGAAATACAGCATTCACGCATTCCCCATGTACTGTCGACATCAAACTCGTCGAGCCAGTCGTCCATATTAAACAACCAGTTCATGAAATCCGAGCAGACTCGGAGATGGAAAGCATCCGCGTCAGGATAGCAAGCTGCAGTGAGTTCACCTGCATGCAATCCCATGAATTTAGATATTCTGGGCTCTACCAGACGCGCTCCATTAAGGAGCCATTGCTCAGAAGCGCGAGAGACCGGATAGCAGTGAGGATTCAGTCGCAGAGGATAGTGACAATCGCTGACAAGGTCAGGTAAAATAAATCCTGCGGGCTCGAAGTCAGAGCAAGTCCTGGTGAAGCTTGCAGTAGGAGCCATGGAACAAGGGGAGACACAAGTCAAGAGACAGTTGAAACATGTGGTGTCTTTATAGTGGACGGGTCGTTTGGCTTGGATCGGTGCTCTGGAAGCTTAGAAGTCTTGCGGGGGATCACAGCTCAGGCCCCGCAAGAAAACGCGGTGTTGTACATCTGTCATGACGGCAGGCCAGGCGTAAGGGCAGGCAACATGCGCACGAAATAGTTCAGATCTAATCCGAGTACTTCAAAAATGTTACGTACGCGCCGTATCAGGATACCGCATAATTCATCATCATGCCCCAAATCGGAACGCATCCACGGATTACCGGCGAATTTGACACCTAGATGTTGCTTCTAGCCAGTAATACCTAACAAGGTCCACGGACCAAAGCTTGATGAGACTGCGGTTTGTAAAGCATTGAAGTCCTGGTTCCGGAACCGATAAAATCCGCATGTGATCGGAAGTGGTAGAATGACATAGTCGGAACACGTATGGTTTCGAAGGTACTCATCTTGGATCGTGATCTATTGTCTTGATGTACGAAGTGTCTGTGCTCTTGGGTAGTTGCGATCGACCCAATTCTTAAACGTGGCAAACGCTAAGTTGTACTCAGCGGGGCAGCGCCACAACTTGAGCAAGAGGCTGCAAGATGTCGACCGGTCAAGAGGTGTGATTTTTCGATGCTCCGTGAATGAGCATTGAATTCAGATGATCACCCTGAGTCCCTGACAAAGCTATAGTCATGAATCATGATCAGCGCAAAAATCCGCTGCGCCACCCGAGTCTTACCTTCCGTTCGCATTCAGTTTGAATGAAGAAAGCTAAAATAGGCCGCTGGGGACGGATCGTGTTCCACCTGCGACATATATCTGCACGGTTTGCTGATACGCGACAGAAGAACTTAACAGTAATATTTGACGAGGAGAGTGCCGACCGTGAGCCTATCACTGATAATCTGATTTGGCCACTCTTCTTGAATCTTGACCAGTACTAGCACAATATTTAGATGTCTGTCTTCTCAGTTCCGCAAAGCTTGTCCAAACGCCCAATAAGTTGTGGAAACCACGCTAGGCAGTGTTACATTCGAGGCGGTGTAGGTCGTCCGGACAAAGAAAGACCTGTCGAACATGGGTATTTCAACTTTCAGGCCTCAAATTCCGGCAAGGGACCAGGGCGGACCGTTTACGAATCAGGGTTTTCTTTTACGTAATACAACCCTCTGATGCTGGAAGTTCCACCACCTTGAACTGATCCTGCCTGCATAATGCCGTCGACAGCTCTCCCACTAAAAGTTACTCCTGCATCAACGCCAGCAAGGGCTTCACCACAACCGTCTACTTCGGGTTCCAAAACTCCGACGAAGCAGGCCATCGCCACTAATCCTGGCGAAATATCTAGCCCCCATGAACTAACGGCCTTCGTGCGTTTTCCAAGTTTATGCTCTCGCAGCCTCAAAAATGGCAAGTGACGGCTCATGGTGTTTACAGGTAGAAACGCTACTTGAACAACTAGATACCCAATTCGATGCCATGTCGTCTCAGATTCTTGATCACAGTGCGTTTTCAATCCCCTGTGACCTGCCAGTCAACCCACAGATTGAACCATGTCACAGTGATGCAAATGTCGAATCGAGTTGACGCATTGGAGGCTGCTATACAGGACATCATTAGTGGGGATGTGACCACACCAAGTGCATCTATGTCATCGACGCCGCTTCTAGCCGCCGGCGCAGCTCTGCCAAGTGTTCGAAGGAGTGGAAGTGCCGCTCAATGACGGGGATGTGATACCGTTTTTCATCTGTCGCCGCGTGGCTTCATTTTATTGCGGATGGCGTTAACGACATTCATTTCATAATTCTACTAGCACATGTAGATTGACCACTCATCTTCTTTTTGCAATACCAGATAATTGTATTTTGGCCGACTCGGATCTTCTGCCCTCGCGAAGTAATGCCGCTCTATTCTACGTCATCCTGGCCTGCTATGTATGCTTTAGGGCAGTAGCACCGAGGCTACTCGGATACCCATCCATATCGCAATCTAACCACTCAACTTTTTTTTCTAAAACGTCTGCACCTTCGTAAGCTACTCTTTCATTGCACAGGTTGAACACATGGCATCTATGTATGTACCTCGAAACCAAATGCACTAGTCCTTCATCGGCTAGACTCGAAGCATGTACATTCTTCCGTTCCTTGGCGGCCGACCAAGTACGGGAATCTGGCTCAGATGGACTTATGCGAGGACCGCTACTTCTCGCACACAAGTAAAGTCCGCATCTACCCAGTATGTATCATTTGGCTGGCTGCGGGAAGGCTGTATTTGCCATCCGCCCGCGTATCGCCTCGGCCATACTGCGCAGCCACGATTTGACCTTCACCAATAGGACTCGCTCTAAGATTGTAACTTCTAATGAACACTTTTATTTGCATAAACTATCGGGACAAAGCACGAACGGAACACGCGAAATCAAAAGGCGGTGCATGAGGTGTATACGCAAGTGGCGTAGCATTCTATTACGCAAGTCGTTGCAGTTAGTTTTGTGAAGTGTGGGGAATAATCCATCTCATTTAGAGAAACTGATGAACTACTCTACAAGGGCCGTTTGGGAAATAACTTGATGATTCGGTCCCGCCCATCTTCCCAAAAATAGCGCGAGGACCAGTGCCATGAACCAACAATCCAGTTCTGCAGCCCTTCGACATAGATAGCCACCTACCTGTCAAGTTCTTCTACCCACGATACAAAGCGCTGGATGACACCCTTGCACATCAGGCCAGCGTAGTCAACAGCGCCTCGCAAATCCAGGCTTCGTCTGTGCATGAGCACGACGATAATCATATGTGTGTCGTGGCGAAATTGCTCCACGTTGTAAGAGAATATATCCTGTCAGCATTAATGTCAGTAGTGCCACAGCGTTCGACAGCAGAATGTGGCATTACGTTAGACCAAGCAACAAAATTGTTAATTGCCTCCTCCATGACCATAATAACTGGATGAGACATCACTTCGTCAGTGAGATCAATCCGATTCGCGTATTCGATGAAGGAAAAGGAAGGCTAAATGCCAATCCTGTCTCGCCTAACAGTGATGTAAGATTAAAGGGTGAGGCTAACCTCACCTCGGGGCATTCGCGAGTCCAGAGAAGTAGAAAAGGCAGGGGCCTTATCGACTAGTTAGTACTGTCCGACATAGGGTACTTTACCCCAATAGACAGAAATTGGAAACAAAAAAAAAAGATTAAAAGAACAAGGATACGTCCCTTGGCACGGTCTTCCGCCTGCTTAGCTGCAGCAATGAAGAACAAATCCATTTGCGAATAAACTGCTTGGTGCAGCCGCGGCTACCCGTCTCCCTGAAGCGGCTGAAGTACCTTAGCACTGTATAAAGACTGTCAGAAGGAGCGTGTGCAAGAGAATGAACGGACGTACGATTTGCACAACTTTCCACCAATCTTTTCCGTGGGGAAGTTGACGGGATCGCGGAGCGCAGACATGCAGCATTCACGCATTTCCCATGCATCGACGGCATCCAACATCGTCTATATTGAACAACCAGTTCATGTAGCCCGAGCAGACTCGGAGACGGAACGCATCCGCATCAGGATAGCAAACTGCAGTGAGCTCCCGCTCATAAATGCGGTGATTTCGGGCTCTTCAAGACGCACTCCGTCAAGAAACCATTCTTCAGAAGCACGAGAAACCGGATCATAGTGAGGGTTCTGTCATAGAGGATACGCAGCGGGCGGGAGCTATAGAGGTCATCGAATCCATATCGTGAATGTCGAGATGAGTAGTATGTAGAACGAGGCAATGGGAAGTTAAGAGACGGATCGCTTAACATCTCAGTATTATATGTCGATTTCGCTCGGACTCGTGATTTGAAAGTGGGTGTCACAGTCGGTGGTGTGCAAGGCTGTCATGACGGCAGCGGCAACGATGCACCTCGCCGAAAGGAAGAAATTTCGTCATGCTGAGCGTCAGGGCAAAACGCAGGTGAGATGCCACTAACTTCAAACATGCTACGTACGCGCCATATCTAATCGCCACACAAATTTCATCGATGCATCAGTCATCCAATGTCGTCGTAACCAACTACGTTCGCACCTAAAGCCTCGGCTCAGGGACCAGTGCACTCCGGGTTCCAACGATAGTCGTGGAATCCCGCGGTCAACGGATATGCTGTCGTAGGCATAATGAGCAAGAGGTAAGCATCATCGTGTGGAAGATAATAGGACAGCCATGCTCATATTATCGTGATTCGTCTGGCAATATTGTTCGTTACCGCGGCGAAGTATTGATGGGTCATGTGATGTTTAGGGCCGGCCCTTTGGCGTCGCCGTCACTTTCTCAGGACTATGCATGTTGACCCAGCTTTTTCCCAAAGACACGCGAGAGAATGGGACTTCGAACCTGTGCACTGAAAACCCCTGTGGTATTATATCTCGTCACCTTTATTTAACCACTTGGTCGATCACTTCAAAGCAGGAGGAGGGGTACTTTTAATTCCGTAGTCGTGTACTGGACATACGGAGATCCGATGAGAAAGTGATTGTTTTCCCAACTTGTTATCGGGCGACACTCAGTAGTCTCAGCACGCAAAATTGTCAAAGCCCCCTTGGAGTGCGAATGGTCTTCTACGTCGTTGGCTTTCCTATAGTCACCGGAGTCTGGCAGTTGAGGCCCCCTGAAGCTCTAGCCAATGTACCCCCGCAAAATAGCATTTTTGAGGGCCAAAATCGACCAAATCTCTGTCCGGAAATTGCACCCCTAGTTTGCCCGCAGTCATACCATTAGAAGGAAGACGAAGGTAGTCGTTCCTTCCTAATAATAATGGATTTTCCATGGTCTCTCATGTCCTCTCAAGGCATACTTATCACTGGCCAGTCGTCTTCCCAGAATTTGCGGAGCGGTTTGTTCCTATTCGTTCGTCTGCTCACATAAGTCCCCACATAACTAGTTCTTTTTTTACATGCGACTTGCGCTCATCCGACGATGCACATACAAGTGACCTAACTTGGTCGAACCACATCTCTGTCATGCTTGATCAGCTGGCAATTGAAACCCCTTGCTCACAGCCTCAGCCGCGGTCCATGGTCGTGTGAGGTTACCATATTAACTACTCGGTTTTTTTCTTAGCACGTCTGCAGTTTCGATACCTCAAATTTAAGATCCTCTAGTCCTTCATCAGCTAGATTCGAAGTATGTCAAATTCTATCTTCTCTTCTTGATGTTGGACCGAGACGATACTCTCGCTCAAATGAATTTATGCAAGTACCGCTACTTCCCGCACAGAAGAGACGTTTTCATCTGCCCAGTATGTATTGTTTGGTCGTTCAATTGGTCGCGCAAAGTCTGTACCCGCATATCTGCCGGCGTTTCAGTATCGCTTTGGTCATACTGCGCAGCCACGATTTTGCCTTCGCCGATACTCGGTCTAGGAATGCGACCTCACACGTTATTTTCCGACACCAGACGGTACCGATCTGCCATCAATCACCACCCAGTCATGATTGTCAAACCTGGAACACATATTTTCCCGGCAGTTCATCTTTCAAAACGTTATCGTCTCACTGTGTGCTGCTGGCCCCCAAAGAGGACCCGATCAGAAGCTCAAGTTTAAAAACGGAGACTCAGGCTAATCCAACTGGCGTTGATGCTCCAAGCACCCATCCTCCGAGGAGAGCTCAGCCGAGTTGATCGTCAGGCTGGGTGCATGGCGCAAGAAACGCAAAGTACAACATTGTGCCTAACTTAAATGGTGGCTGGTGGGTTTGTTTGTAATTTCTGGTTTTGTAATTTAGAACTAGTTCGGAAGCGTTAGAAGTGCTGTTAATTAGAGGGTATGCACCAAAAGCTACCTGTAGGCCCGAACTTCCCTGCTATCCTGCGCAGAAGACCAGGAACACATAAATTCGACGAAACCAAAACCTTCCCACAAAATCTATTCGAACTTGCCTCTCTCGCAGTTCTAGTCCCGGAGAAAGGTGCGTTCAAGTTGCCCGTTTTCCGTGTGCGAGAGTGCGGCGTACTTAATCGGTGACTTTCTTGGCGATGTCTGCTCAACTTCTCAATTTTATATCTTGTTGTGATCATATTTTCTTTTCTCAATACTATCGTTAGGGAGCCGCAAAATAGTTCATAATTACCAGTGAACCCAGTGCACAACAAAAAGAAAGGGTTTCTGATTTTCAAGGAGACTACAGAGCACCTGCTAGTGTTGCCGCGAGGTGAATCGAATCGAGGTGGAAAATTCTGGTAAATCGATACAGTTCGGCACTGACGAGCTGAAACGAAGTGTACCTCCAGCCAACGAGAAGCTAGGGATTCTGCATGCCGCCACCGACGATTATTTGCAAGTGACTAGTGCACGACCAGCATATATACTAATTACAATCAATATCTCTTGCATTCTGGAGCAACTCGTTAAGCTCGCGAAGATTCCCAGCAGCCATCAGTTCGTCAACTCCTCTGGGAGTTACAGGTTCAGATATTGTGTAGTCCCACTCGTTAGCTACCAGGTCCTCTGTAAAATTGAGCTTGTGAATAAACTTCAGGACTTGTAGTGCTTCGAGCATGGTCGGAGATAAGTTGCTGCGCCGTAGAGTGCAGGTCTCTTTGCTGGATGAAAATATGCGCTCGGAAGGCACAGATGAAGCTTGAGCAGGCAGGACATCCATAACAACACAGAATAGAAGCGGGAATGTACGTTCTTTTTGCTGACATGTGCAGACGGAACCTGCAGCACTGGATAGTAATGTGAGAATCCTTCATCACCATTCACACTAGGGGCAGGAGTTGGTGGACCTGGTGAAATGTTCCGAAGTAATTCAAAGGATTCACTTGGAGTTTGAAGTGGAGATAGCCTGATTTGGCGAGAATTCAAGTGTATTACAGGGTTGTTCAGGACTGAGATGAGAAAATGTCCACAGGCCAGCATTCTGCTGCGATGACATGGGGTCAAAAACGTTGCTCGCAGCAGTTTTGAGCTATCATGATATTTAAGTTTTTTTACTGAGGATCCAGTGGCTCTAGCCAGGGTCTCAATTCAAAGAATAGCCAAGTGAAAATATTCATATGGGCCTGGGGCCATTCACAGGGGATTACGATGTATGGATATGAAGTACACGAAATCGATCGTAAATCTCGAACCCAACGAGTTATCACTCGATTCAGTTGAGTCTCGAGTTGAAACGAAATTGGTCATTTTCGAAGCGAGCCCAGTTCACATCGAGTTTAACTCGCCTCGACAGCAACACCAGCCTACCACCTGCCGAGCCCAACTTAGTGGGTAGTGCCACCGATCGATGATCAGTCTAAAATGGAATATGTCTGAATACTATCATCGTGATGTCACGCACGCTGGGGTATAAGTGAAGGAATTACTCCTCTTTACCGCAACAAACCATGTCTCCAACAGCCAGGACGCCGTCTCGTTACTCCACCCGCGGCATGTTCAGCACCTTCAGGCTGGATTGCAAGGCTGCTGCGCTCGAGTTCGTCGGGACAACATTCTTTCTACTCCTAGGGCTCGGCGGTATTCAGGCAGCCAACGGCGAGGCCGCGTCCAGTGGTACAACTATCGAACATGTGATGTACATCGCGACGTCCATGGGGCTCAGCCTTCTGGTCTCTGCTTGGTTGTTCTACAGGATCACCGGTGGCCTCTTCAACCCCAATATCACACTCGCACTGTGTCTCGTGGGGGTGGTGAACCCCGTTAGATTTGTGTTGTTCTCTATTGCACAGCTGGTTGGAGCTATTGCTGCGTCGGCCCTGTTGCTCGCGTTGACCCCTGGACCGTTGGCTGTCAAGTAAGAAGTCGTTGTGGCTGTTGATTTTGTTGATCCTAACGAAATGTGCGCCTTGCGATAGCACGTTCCTACAACAGGGAATCAATTCAGCTCAAGGCGTTTTCATCGAAATGTTCATCACCGCAGCGCTGGTGTTAGCCGTTCTGATGCTTGCCGCTGAGAAATCCCAGGTTACTCCGTTTGCACCAGTACGGATGATTAATATATCTCACCACAAATAACGCTGAACATTATACACCAGATTGGCATTGGGCTAACACTGTTCGTTGGGCATCTGTAAGTCGGCCACCTCGCCGTATATCAATCGTCGAAATGTTGCTATTTTCCATAGATGGGCCGTCTTTTACACGGGTGCATCCATGAATACAGCACGTGCATTCGGACCTGCTGTCGTCACTGGCTTTCCTTACTCTAGTCACTGGGTTGTAAGCAAAACCAATCATTCACGGACGCACAGCTCAACTTTCCTTCCTTTTAGTACTGGGTCGGTCCGTTCCTCGGCTCTCTGCTAGGAGCGGCCTTCTACACAATGTTGAAATGGTAAGTCAAATCTACCCGGTCGCTCAAATCTGCTGACGCCCATTGTAGGATGCAATATCAAGATTTGAATCCTGCGCAAACATCCACTCATGAGAAGGACTCACCAGATCCGCTTGCCGTGGCGTTGGGTGATAAGGAGAACCCTTCTCCTGACAGCGATGGAGGAAGCGAGGGTGCAGGGACAAGCAAAGTGTAGAGTTTCAATCAAGCTCCAAGAACTTTAAATTTTGCTCAGAGAACGCAAGCCGACCGTCACCACTTTATATAACTTATACACGCATGGCGTAAATGGTGTCTTATATTGGTAGATCGCAGTTCAAGATATGTCTATTGGGTGATGAAATCTACGATGAGCTTCCTGTATTCATTCGGTCTCCAATTTGAAAGAGGTTAATGAGAGACAGAGTGATGCTTGAGGACAACTTACAGCTCAGCATGGACTGGACAGAACCGAAAGCTTCATTTAAGACGCTCATGACGGATGATAGTTGTACTTACCCCAGTGACTTGTATCAAGTTCTTTCAACTGATGCTGCTGGAAAAATTGATTGATTAACGGGATGTTGTGACGATTAATGTATCTGCTAAAGCGGTTAGCCCTTGACATAGATGTTTCTGTATGGCTAACACGAACTTGCTCTTCTTTCCCTTGATAAACAAAGCACGACCATCCCAGGATCGCTCCCCAGGCGCGTAAGGGAAAGATTCAATTTCTGGTCGACCCTCTTTCAAAATGTCGATAGGGATCTTAAATTTCAAGGGCTTTGCCTTGGTAATCTCGAGGTTCGTGAGCAGAAATGCTCGGACGTTCGGATCCTAGAAGGCATAATGAGCATACCGGAAGGTGCAAGTGTGGTTTAAAGGCACCTTCTCATGTTTAGACATTATTTCATCTGCTTCCTTTCTCGTGGAAATATTGTTTGCTTCTATTATTTCCATAGCATGTATGTGTTGGACGGTATCCTGTGAGGCTTTGGCTCTGACTGGAGCAATGTCAGACACTATAAGGTCTGCGAGCAAGTTAGAGGGTAGTTCGGGATGGAGTGCGAGGGCCATTGCGACCTTGCCGCCCCTTACGTAGAATGAGCTGTTCAACACAGTAGACTAGTAGAGGATAGCACACATAGAATGTCCCATAAGCGATATATCGCGCAGCGAGTGCTTCTGGCAAAAGTTAAAGACGTCCGCTGCCATGTGAGTATACGTCATCGGTCTAACATGCGGTGAAGATCCATGGTTTCGCAAATCCTGGTATGAGGTCAGTCGTGATATTGCGCAGAGTAAGACCTTTACTGACGAGGGTATATACGGGTCTGCCGAGGTCGCGCATAAACGCCTTGGAGAGTGATTGCCAGTTGCGCTTCGAACCGCTGTCCGCTTCATGACCATGCGATGGAAATGGACAACAGGGAACGAGACTCACAAAAACCCGTGTAGGATGAGGAGTGGTCTATGCGACCGATTTCCATCTGCAGGTATGTGTTCGTCGTGGGCCAGCTCGACGGGTAACACGGTGGACAGGCATCCTGTGAAGTGTTGAGCTAGACTCTGGAGATTGCGATAGTTCAACGAGAAATTTTGTCATACTTTTTCGCAGAGTCTGTGGAACCTCAGATGAAAAGACTGTTGAGGCTCTATGTATGGAAGACTTGAATATCATCCTGATGGCCTGGCCCGAGTGAGGCTGAGGAAAGGTCACGGCCGGTGGCTCGTACGTAAGTCAGCATGCATGGATTTTGATTGCCGGTTGATTATTCATCGATTATTTGCAACACTTGAACGTTAACTTCGAACGCTACGCTCCGGGTTGCGAGAAAGTATGTAGATGGCGCATCTCCTCGCATCTCCTTCACCTGGCCACCTGTCCGCCTGTCCTAGGCTTCTGCGCATTGGAGTGCCTAGGTCCCTCGATGACCGGCTCAAGGCCCGAAGGGCCGGAGTATACAATACACTCGAGGGGCAACCTGGGGCAACAGCTGGGGCAATACGATACAAGATCGATCATTGATCAAATGAATTTGATCGGACTATCATATGTACCTAAGTAGTCTTGACATCGGAACCCCGGGAGAACCTTGAATTGATTTAGCTTGTCACCTACTGTCACTCCTAAGTCATGACCTATTGCGCCGTGGCTGTTTGGGTGTATGTTTGTGCCTGTGCTTTGTGTCCGCTCACATCTTATATAGCCTGGCGCGTACCGACAACCGGTCCGAATTTTGTATGTTTTTGCATTTTGGGTGAATATTTCGTCATAGATCTATGTTTATCATGATAAATGTGAACACCAGGTCCTGAGTTATCGACCAGGTGACCGCTCAAATTTCATCTTTTGACCATGACAATAGATCCATGGGAATCGGTACCAGCTGATATAGGCCGATGCTATATCATAAAAGGCGGCGCCTGCTTCTAGCTAAGTACCCGCCTCACCTGCTTTCCGCCATGGGATTTAAAGACACATTGACGGATGCTTCGCGGTATCGCAATGCATACACCCTTGCCTTTTCTGCATCCTTGGGCTCCATCTTCTTCGGCTGGGACACTGGACTCATGGGTGGCATTTTAACCCTCAAGTCTTTCCAGAACTACTTTGGAATCAACAAGTTGTCCGCATCTGCTCAAGCAAATTTCAATGGAAATATTGTGTCAATTATGCAGGCGGGATGCTTGTACGTTCTTATAAATATCTAACGCTTCGCTACTGACATCTGGGCGTCTGAAAAATTTATAGCTTCGGTGTTCTATTGACTGGTTGGGCTTCTAGTCGCTTTGGACGGAAACGGTCCCTGATTGCTTCGGGTGTCATATACATCATCGGAAGCTTAATCCAGGCCGTCACTGGCCTAGGGAGCAGTCAGGCAGTCGCTCTTAAAGTGCTCTATTTCGGTCGTGTCTTTGCTGGCATCGGGGTGGGCATGGTATCCGCTTTGGCACCCTCATATATATCAGAGTGCATGCCTAGACACATCAGGGGGAGGTGTACTGGCCTTGTCCAGTTCTCTGATAACATCGGAATGATGTTGGCCTGTGAGTATGCATTTAGATCAAGTAACTTCGGCTTGATAATTGGTTATAGTCTGGGTGAACTACAGTGCTTCCATTAATATCCCATCTAGCGACTTGCAATGGCGAATGCCTTTCATAGTTCAGATGGTCCCGGGCGTCCTCTTCGTCCTCTTTATGCTCCCACAGCCTGAGTCACCTCGTTGGTTGGTCGAGCGGGAACGTTATGATGAGGCCGCAAGCACCCTTGCATACGTCGCTCGAACATCAGTCGATGACAAATCCGTCCTTCTTACACTCGACGAGATCAAAGCGGACTTCATCGGCAAGCAGCGGATATCTTTGGGCACCCAGTTCCGCATGATGGGAGAGTCACGTCAGACTGCGCTTCGCTGTTTGATCCCATCCATCCTTACCTTCTTCCAGCAATGGACTGGTACCAATGCCATCAACTACTTCAGCCCGCAGATCTTTGCCGCGCTTGGTATTACCGGTACAGCATCTGGCCTATTTGCAACAGGGATATACGGTGTCGTGAAAGTCGTCGCGGTTGGTCTTACCCTAGCGTTTGCTGTGGAAGGCTGGGGTCGCAAGATGTGTCTCTTCGTCGGTGCCCTGGGGCAAGGTTTGATGATGCTCTGGATCGGCGGCTTCGGTGCCATCCACCCGCAACCCACGATTGTTCCTGCGAGTTATGTGTCAATCATCGCCGTCTACCTCTACGCTGTATTCTATTGTCTCGGCTGGGGACCTCTGCCGTGGGTCGTGGCCAGCGAAGTTGCCCCTAATCATGTCCGCGCAGCCGCACTTACCGTCGCGGTCGGTGTCAACTGGCTATTCTCGTTCACGATTTCACGCCTGACGCCGGTGATGCTCGAGAAGATCACCTACGGGACGTTTTTGCTCTTTGGCGTGTGCTGCATTATCATGGCAGCATGGACGTATTTCTTGCTGCCTGAGACGAAGGGGTACGCACTGGAGGACATCAAGTATTTGTTTGAGAAGGATGTGATAGTGAGATCTTTGGAGGATGCGCCTGGGGGACGCGTGTTCCTTGGACGCAGGCGAGCGACTCCTGTGAAGGAAATGAGGAGAGCAGCAGATCTGCATGATTCGAGCGTCATTTCGCGGAAGGGGGATGAGGAGGAGTATATTGAAGTATCTGATCTGCAGATTTAATCATCTCAGAATGTTTTCTAATCTCCACAAATTGTCTCTATAATACGCGTATAGTAGACTTGTACAGTGTAAATCCTCTTATGCTCAGGAAGATGTTCTATAATTGCAAGCGCGTTCTGGTGTCGAGAAGCGTAGACATGTCTGAAAATAGCAATAATTCGGCAACTCAAACGATGCCGGTCTGCACGGGCAACGGCGCGTCTAAGTTGCAAACTGCCAATTACGTTGTACTCGAACTGTTGAAGAACTTCTCATACACGATGGTCACCGTAAACGTATCTGCCACTGGGAAGCCAATTGCACTTGCTCGTGGCCTCCCCATGGTCGTGGAGCTCCCAGGGAAGCAGCTCGAGGACGCGACTATCGGAGATGTCAAGAGTGCAATAGCGAAAAAATATCCCAAAGTAAGTCCAGTTCTATCCAAACAGCTGGACAACATTTACAGATGAATCTTCAAGTTCCACTTGGACCGTCAGAAAATCACCCTCAAAGATTCCAAGAATCTTCTGACTGATGACGTTACATTGAAGGATGCAGGTGTGGTGGAGGGCGGGGAGTTGTCTGTGAAAGACCTTGGCGCACAAGTGAGCTGGAAAACCGTGTTCTTGGTTGAATATGTGAGCATCTCGTGCATTTCCTGATTGTCAGCTACTGACGCGTCATCCGTAGGCTGGGCCAATGCTCATCCACCCAGCAATATATTACTTCCCTGAGATATTTTATGGTGGGCCCGTACAGCATAGTATGCTCCAACGGTATTCGCGTGCACGACTTCCGTATTGTAATGGTTTGCTCAAGTACTATCAGCTATGTCTTAACATTCGTCATGCTACACTTCGCCAAACGTGAGCTAGAAACGCTATTCGTGCATCGTTTCTCGCATGCAACCATGCCCTTCAAGAATATCTTCAAGAAGTACGCGTTTCGAGAATGTATGTCGCTGTGTAGGCTAACGCGTGTTTGGCAGTTCTGCCCATTATCATCTTGGCAGTGGTATGTCTTTGCGTCCTTGGGAAATAGCACTCAAACTGACTGCACAAAAGGCCTTGCCCTTGCGTACTCTATTTACAGCCCTGTGTACGGTGCTACCTCTCCCTACATCCGCGGAACCGCTCGCAATAACCCTATGTACATTCAAGCTGGTGCTGCTATCTGGCTGGTGCGTGCCTTGGTATTTTGGTATGCGCGCAACACCTACTGAATGCCTGCCTACTTGTAGTTCTCCGAGATCTCTAATCTCATCACTCACATCAAGCTCCGTACGCTCCGACCTGCAGGAAGCCGCAAACGTGCCATTCCCCAAGGATACGGCTTCAACCTCGTCTCGTTCCCGAACTACTTCTTCGAGTTCCTCGGGTGGTTGGTCATTGCGGCGCTCACGGGAAGCTACGCTGGTACGTGCTATTCCCTCGTCTTTGTGTGTGTATTCTGAAGTCATGTTCCGCGGACCTAGCATGGATCTTCCTCGCCGTTTCGACGTCTCAGATGTACGTCTGGGCTGTCAAGAAGCATCGTGCATATAGGAAGGAGTTTGGGAGCGAATATCCGAGGGATAGGAAGGCGATGTTCCCTTTCCTTGCGTAAATGGTGTGTGGCGTATCTTAGTCTTAGTAGCATGCCACTATACGTGTGCAAATATACCCGAGGATGGGTCCTCTCGTGTCTATCGGAACCACGAGACTATAGTTTGTTGCATGTTATTCCCTTCCATCTCGTGAACCAAAGGTGAAACGCGTGTAAGGGAGAGAAGCTGCTTAGATGTTACACTACTGTAAGCACACTGGCTTACCTGAGTTCCCATACTCAGTATATATACTGTCGCTGATACTGAAAGCTAAGCTTTCAGTATTCTACCTTTTGGTGTAACGGTTATGCGCGTGCGGCAGTCTGACCTACTTACAACTACTTCCCATATTCAGCATCGAGCACCGAGAGATTGGGTTGCTTCCAAAACGTAATACTATCGTATGATTTCAGCTTGCAACTTGGTCGTATGGGTAGGCAGTACTTGGTGCCTGTAGTGATAAGTACACCAAGAAATTGGTTTGTACAGCCCTATTCCCTCTTCAAATCTACCTCAGAAGTTCAGAACATAAATAAACTTATTTAAGTACCGCGACCGTCGAAACCCCGGACAGAATTCTCCTGCTCCTGTAGAATACCCGACAACTTTTCTCGTGCTACACATCACTGCCAGCTGACACATGTTCGCGCTCCTGGAAGGCAATGGAAGTCATGACGGTTGCTGCGTCGGAGTTGGCCACGAGCTTAGCGTGATATTTTCGAACGCTAAGGATGAGGCGCGGTCCTAACACAAACATCTGCAAAATCTCAACAATTTCAAGAAAGGAACTATATATTAAAGCTCCCATGGAATTTTCGGCCTATAGAAATGATGAACAATGGTGACATGCAGAGGTCGGTGACAGATGGGCGTACCGTGATCTTTGGAGAGAGAGAACCAAGCTGGAGGCAAGCAACAACAGCAAAGCTAGCACGTGCGGAACGTCAGCAGGAAAAGATAACCACGTCCACACTGCGAGCCCACCTTGCAAAGTAAAGCGCGTGGGATTCTATTAACACTGTGAAACAGTCCCCGAGGGTCGAACCCGTCGATGATCCCAGTCGTCGCAGGTCACGAAAATGTTTCATAGCAATCCAGACTGCAAGACACAGTACAAGGACCTCCCATATAGTGCTGAGTATCCAAACCATTCTGATCAGAATTTGGACGCCTCCCCCGTAGTAAAAGGTGCACTCATAGGTGCCATCGAGGATGAGCTCCTCTGGTATTCGTCCGATCAGCCTGATTCTTTGATACGCAACTAAAGCTTACCCCCTGAAAGATTCTTGAGTGCAATTCCGGACATCACTCCACAGCTGATATTGACAGCCAGGAAGATCGCAATGAGAAAAATAAGCATCTTTCTGGATCCCTGATACATGGCATGTAACCGAACAATCATGATGACTTGCATGATATTTCAATCAAGTCAATGTCACTGAGGTATTGTAGCTGGATAGCTCACCGCCCAGCATGGCAGCTATGACCACATTTGACCCATTTATCGCAGAGTAAATGCTATAGCCTGAAGCACTCATTTAGCGACCACCCTCGTATGATCAAACACTCGAAACAAACTCACAACTGTTATAGTCATTATATCGAACCAATAATGTTGTTGAGAATATCACTCACCCCTACGTAGGAGTGCAGTTAATTGGACGGAAATAGCAAGTATCAGCGCAGTATCCTCACTGAATCTGTCACCTCGACTGACAGAATATTTGCTGTAGGCCGCCGGTCAGAAGAAATACAACCAGTGCATACAAGACATACGCAGAATGTAAACACTGATGGTGAGAGATGGCTTATTAGCACCGCGTCACCTTGTTAGCTTTGCAAACATACACAGTATATGGTATTGCAGCATAGCGCAGCTAGAATATTCTGACGTCAGCACAACTTGCCAACTGCGCTTATAACACAACCCACGTACACTAAGATAGAATCGACATGAGGGACCAGCGTTTCCTCTGTCCCAAATTAATTGTGTCATCTCCTGTTGATATGGGACTCTGCTCACCCAGACTAGCTCAACCTATCAAACAATTCTAGTGAGACGGCTGCTCAGGTAATGACATCAACCTACCTCTTGACCGAATGTCAGTACTGGAAATATCATCAGGATATTAACGAGTCTTTACTACTATCTTTCTCACCGGAATCATATATCACTGCAGCAGTGGAGGCAACTGCGAAACCGCAGTCAAGGTTAAATGGAGACATCGCTGACGTGATCTAAGTGGATCTCCACGAACCTATCCAATAGCTGAAGAAACGATTCGAATTGATTATCGGCCACCAACTGGGATCATTTGAGACTAGAGTCATATTCGAGGGATGGGTGTGAGTGAGCGGCGAAATTGGTGGACGTATAATGATGGCGTTTGTGGTATATATGCTATCGTCTGGCGCTTACACCATCGAAATTGGCATTATAAGGATAATCTTCGTTTCTGCCTTGATGGCTAATAGTCATCTGAAATCGAGTCAGAAAGTGGAAGACTTCGATTGAATCAAACAAGCTGTTCGACGATGCGGTTGGCAGATCTACAAAGCAGTGTCACTGTGTCACACACGCAGATGTTCCTGCTCCACTGTTCAGGGGTTCTATCAGTGAAATCATGTAGTTCATCGATCTAACACAGGCCTAGGTGTGATCTGACTATCGAAGCATCTCAAATAATTCTTGAAGAGCATCGGCTCTCTCTCCGACTGGCTGGCGCGGGCCCTGGGTCTGTAATAGGCTAATAGCTCATCCAAAGTCTTGAAACAAGGTAACAGTCTGTCGACATGACACCAGAAAGTCATCAATTAAAAACGGAATAGAGTAACTCACCTCCCCCACCCAAGCTGCCAACATGCGTTTGCAATGCCCGCAAGCACATCATTCAATGCCTGATCGCCCTCCATCGTCGGGCTGTAATTTGATAACTATGGAAAGAAGTACGTTAAGGGCAGTCTGACTCGGATGCAAAACCGGTGCACAACGCACCGCACTACATCAATCATGCAGCTGATAGATTGTGGGGCGATCATTTTGCACATCCAGATGCATTCTAATCGATGGTCCGTGGTTGGTCAATCTAGTAAAGACTAGTGAATATATCACGCCATCCCCAAATTCGAATCACTGAATGAGAGGCCGCAGGGGAGAAAAAGGACTCGAGTGCGTCTTCAAAACAGGTCCAATCGATGAGATATTGCATTTCAGTGATGCGTCCACGCCACTGCTGCCAGTGCGCGGTTTTTGTTCCTTGGTTGTGATATCGCTGTGATAAAGATCCTGCAGTGAGTTTTTTGCCGTATCTCTCTCATACATCGACCGGGTCAAGTCGGGAAAGAAAACAACATCACTGAAATGCAATATCTCATCGATTGAGGCTGGCCATCAGTAAACCAGTGAGACTCAGATATTAGTAGATATTGTAGTATTTTTAAGCCCAATGCTTCTTTCCTATACAATCTAATTAAAGCAATGTAATCACGCCAATTCACTTGGTTCAGACTTATATACAGTTATCAATGGGCATTTGAGACGCGAAATTGAGAATTTATGTACTACACCTATACAACAACTCTGTCATGTTTTTTCCTGACAAGTAGTCTACCTCAACACTCCAGATCTGAATTTTTAGAGAAAAATATCCAACCACTCGAGCACAACGTCCAAAACAGTGAGGGGACCTCTTTTTTGAGCAATTTCACTGATTATGTTCATAAAAATTTTGATATCACGTGAGAGGCAAGATCGATTATCCTTGTGGAAGTATTTTTGAGGCCATGACATGTGTTGTGAATGCGGGAGATGTGTTTGTATCAAGGACTGATAGACAACTGTATTGCTTTACATTACTTCATATTACTTTATATTGTTTTATAACGTATATAGGAAAGAGCATTTCGGCTTACAAAATATGGGAGTATCGGTGGCTCACCGGTTTACTGATGGCCCCTGTTTGATTGTTTCATGGAGGGTCAAAGTCCAAGGGATTCCCCAGAGTCTAGAACGGAGGTCTGTGAATCAGAAACAAACGCATGTGTGTAGCTTGCAGCTTTCTGCAGCTCTTCCAAGGTCATCCTCAAAAGATTAGCTCACTCAAGTGGGCTGAGGATACGACGACCTTCAATGTACACAGGCAGAGCATCGCGTACACTTGCTTCTGCTTGATATCGCTCCTGACAGGTTTTAAGTGTTGATGCCACAGGGTCGTCCGTAGTGTCTTGTTCGCAAGCAACGTCGGTATTGGCAGGTATCATGATGGAGGTACTTATGAGCAACTGATGAACATTACGGCCAACGAGTCTCTGCGACCTATCAGGAAGCCAAGTACTGTCGAATTGGACGCTTGTGCCACAGGTCTCCTAATAGGCATAGTACTTGGAACCATCGTAATAATGGCCTCTTGAGACTCCTTGGACCGGGATGCTAGCGTTACGACCAGCCGCAAATGAAAGTAAGTTGAAGGTACGCGAAACAAGCTACCGAACGCCGGTAATTTCCGACAGCACTTGGTCTGTTCAGACTGTTCATTTCCTGTTGTAAGCGCGCCTAGGTTGTTTACTTCTGTGACTCACTTGTGCATTAGCCTAAGACCTCATTGTTTAGGGAATTTCGCCGTCCTAGAAGATGGACTAAGACGTCATCAGTCATTCGAAAGCTCCGCGCGACAGCGCGTATAACTTAGATAGAGTGGCTGGACAAGCCGAATAAGTACGTCGAGCTTACTCACCCGAGTTAACGCTGACCTTCTTGATAGTCTTACGACACATCAACAAGTTGACATTAATATTACTCTGGATTTGCTGTATGCAAGACTTGCAAACTCATTTCAGTGCATGTACATGAACCTCTTTCTGCGCGAACACAAATAATCAAGGAATAGGCACCCCATCGACTCCATCGTACTGATCGTTCAGAAACGATTAAGCTTTCAGATAGGACCACCTCCTTTCTTCGGGACTGAGCAACCTAGCAAATGCAGCTCAAAGCTACTTTTACCTCCAAACGTCACACCGCATCGCCGGCAGGGATATGTTACGCCGAGATGCACATCTTGGATGTGTCTGACAACGACGCCTTTCTTCATATGTTGTGCGCAGCCATCCCACCAGCATGTCAGGGCGGTGTCTTCTGCCCCCCGGCATCCATGAACACTGCGGAGGTGCAAGGATAGCGCGTCGCCTTTGAGGACGTCGCGGCAGCGCAGTCCATCACCTCTGTCCCACATGCAGATTATTTTGTCTTTCAGCAAGGTGGGTGGGGACGGTGCCTTTTTTGAGATGGTGAGCAAGCTTGATCTGAATCGCGAGGAATGTGGACTCACCAGCCCAATGGTGTATATGACGGTCATGGAGGTTCCAATATTAATGTTAGAGCGGGGTGTGGTGGTCTATTGAAAGCGCAAGGCAGTTCATCCCGACCCTCTTATCAGAACATGATATCTAGTGAACTATGTTAATAAAACATCTGAAGGGTGGTCCAAAAAGGCAGGCGCTATTGTCATTTCAAACAGGCTTTGCTCACTGTCTCAACGTTCTGTTCAACGTTCTGGTTTAAGCTACTTTCAGTGAAACTACTCTGAAACTAAGTTGTTGTGAGTCTGAATCAGGGGATGATCCAAAAAGGCAGGCGCTGTTGTCTCGGTGTGTCAGATTTTGTCAGGACTCAGAACGTTCTACTTTGATTCTGGTTCAACGTCCTGTAGTTCTGGTTCAAACTACTCTTGAAACTGGTACTACTAGCAGTAAAACAAGTGGTGTTAGAATCAGCTTCGAGAGCCACTACTAAGTACTAAGGACTAGAGCTGGCAATTGCTTACATGGCATATTCGAGGCTTGACCACAACCTTGTCACTTTCCTGTTCCAGCATGCCCATCTGTATCACTTGCACACACACCATATCCTACCTCTACACAGTTTACGAGTCTGCATACAACCTGAGACTTGAACAATGCGTTGGTGCGCAGTGTCACTCATTCCGGTTTCATTCTAACGCGACGGACAGAGCAAATGCATGAAATTCGCAGATCCATATGTCGAGCACGACTCGTTGACACTCCTCTTGGACCTCATTCTGCTGAAGCGAGAAGTGTACAGGCATTTGATATATAATAGAGGGACGGAGCCGCGAAAGGCGCTCGGGAAGAGCAAGAGTAGCCTCGAGGGAAATGAGGAGGATGAGCACAGGCTGGCTACTAGCAAGAACCGACAAAGGGAGAAAGTGAGGGATACTGAGTCCTACAGATGATGCAATTGCTGAGTACCCTTCAATAGGACAGGTGGTGGCTCATTTTGAAGCTTGCCTGCGGGCTTATCACCGTCGACGCATGTACGTGAAGTCATCCTCCACGAATTAAACTATGCACTCTGGCTCATTCATGTTAGTTATCCGGTGGGCACAGCTTAGTGAGCTTTATTTTGTGTTCAAAAAGGCTGTCGCATGTTCATGGTCATTAGATCCTCAGATATCCGCAGACGTGTCACGGTGGACGGTTGAAACCAACATCGTGTTCCTCCGAATCCTCGTGGGATGCCTAATAGGTGACATACACGTAGTTTTGATTTGAGTATCATGCTGACGTGTTTTTTTTGCAGAAACGGTTGCATTCCACGGAGGAGTAGTGTTTGCATCGTATTTTGTACTCGCGCTCTCAGATTGTCTTCGTTCGAGGAGACGTACCTCGCATATAGAAATACCAGGTGTTCGACAACAGTTCAAGTAAGGCTCATTATTCGCTGTAGTTATCGATACCTCATTGCCAATGCTTAGATTTTCGCTCATCCCTCTGACAATTTTCTACTCCTCACTCACAAAGCTTTTCCTTCTCTTCTTGCTTACAATATGGCGCCCTTCTGCATCCAAACCTGGAGGTTCTCCATACCATTGGGACTCCTCATACTACAGCAGCACCCTTGTAACACGTGCCCTCGAGATTTGGGATGAGGACAAACTAGATCGTGAGTGGGTCGTCAGGAATGTTTTGGGTGGAATGGCGACCGGATTTGGACTTCGAGGTCTGACATGATTTGAATTTCTTGGAATTCATAATTCACTGAATGATCTCCTCGTAGTCGTGCTCGACTGCCATCCTGTCTTTACAACAGTGGTGATTCTGATCGGGTGGTTAGCGAAAACAGTTGTTGCGGGGTTGCTCAAAAATTGGGTGGGCGGAGACGAGCATACTGGGGACGAATGGATGGCGTATAGCATCCCATAGTAGACTTTGATTTGGATCGTCGTCTAGACTCCTAGGCTCGGAGTCTAGTTTATTAGCCGATGTGGGACCCCTGACACCATCGGAGTACATACAATCCAATACCTACATACCCTTCAAGACTCTTTACCACTAACCATAGCGATGCCTGCACTTTCCAGTTCATCTTCTCGTGCCCTGAACGCGATCCTACCACTTGTCGCGTCAGGACAGCCCTACGAAGCGCACCAGAAAGCACGCACCTTTGCATCGCGGTACAACAAGTCTGGGCAGTACGACACTGCCATCGACGTGCTCTTCCAGAGTGCAAGGGAGCTCCTGAAAGCTGGTCAGCAGGGTAGTGGAACGGATTTGACGTCGTTCCTTATAGATGTGTATGAGAGCAAGGGCGAGGCCGTGGATGATGAGTCTCGAGGTGCGTACTCCCGATCCACCGCGATGGTCAAGGGAATACGTCACTGATTCGATATGCGTAGGGAGACTAACGCAGCTCATCGCGCTGACTGGATCATCGGGGTCATGGAGAAAGACGATCATTGATAAATCCATAGCGTACGGATGATCCAGATCGGTTTGACCTGGGCTGATCATTGCAATGCGTTGACTAGATGGTCAGCAAAACACGGTGGTTGTCCCGCGGGTGACCAGGACCTGCACCACTATATTGGCGAGCTGCTCTATAAAGGTATATGACCACCTCCACAAAGGTGATCACCGTGCTGACGATGCGCAGATGGGGCCTTTGACGTGGCAGAGCCTCACTTCCTTGCGTCAGGCAAAAGAGATAGCGCGCGTTTACTAGCAAATATGATGGTAGAATGGTCTGCAGCGGGCGGAGCTCCTGGAATCTTTGCTCTTCGAGGCACACTTCCGTAAGTCAGGACTCCACATCCACACCACCCTCTCCATTATCTAGCTCATGGCATTGCCATCGCAGATATCTACAAAACGGCAACATCATTGCGGCTCGCACCTTTATCTCGCAGTTCATTGCACAACTAATTTCATCTCGACCGAATCTGCTTTCGCCACTGCAAACTTCCCCCTTGCCTGTCCCCCCTACCAGTGAAATAATATATACGATTGAGCCCGTGCTCAATTTCTGTCAGCTCGCTGTCTTGACATGTCAACGTGCGAATGGGGATAAGAATAAAGTGATGCGCGAGAGTTGGGTAAGACTTTGCGGCACATATCAAGCTAAAGGTGGCGTCTTAGGAACCAGGGATGTTCGGGCGGTAAGTCGGCCTGCTACAAAGGTCGGATTTTCTAAAAACAACCCGCACTATTTAGGCACTACAGGAGATAGCAACCTTATACTTTGCAATTCCTCCCCCACGCACCCAGCCTGATAATCCATTCGGGGCTATGCTCTCCTCCATGTTGGGCGGTGGGATGCCGGGTGGAGGGGCACCTCAGCGGCGGATGCTGTCTCCCGCTGGGAGTGGACCAGGGACGCTAGGACTGGATTAGCCTTCATTCTTATGCTTCTGGTTTAGGCATTAGCGGGGACGGACACGAGACGGTAGGGTAATTGAAAGGGACGTGCTAATGGGTGCATCTTCGGGGCCGGCTGAAGCTATGTTTAATGATCATGATCTGCCTTTTCGTGGAAGATTGGTGGTCTCCAGTAGCGGTATCTAACTTCATGCACCGCATATGAGACAGTCGCTATGTTGTACTATGGTGCGGTTCACTTAGTCCCCGCCTACTTTGTGCAAACGCCAATTTCATCAACGTGAAATCCCAACCCTAACCTTAGCATATCTATACAGGGAATGGTGACTTCCAGCTCAATGATTCTTCGATATTAGTTCGTAGTCTGTGACAGTCGAGCGATTGTAGAGCGAAAATGTATCAAAATATCTAACGAACGTCGCGCACAGCAGGAACCATCATCTATGGGCAAAAAACACCAAAATTTCACTGCTGCTCGAGCCAGAACTGCAAGATGGAATCTCACTGTGCCCTCTCCAAGTCCCGAGGCTGCTGCTGATTCAGAGCCTCCGATCCAGCAATGCGAAGACACGGAACCACATGATTACATTAACATTGAATCTGATTCATGCTCAGAATGTGAGTATACAGGTGGGGTCAATGTTGACAGCTCCGACAGTGATTATGAACCTGGAGATTAAAATACCTCCGTGACAACTGTGACAGCTCATTCGAGACGTTGAAGACAAACATGCTGAAAGTACTCGAATCTGTCCAGGTGAACACTGTTCGGCTGTGGGAACATCGTATGCACAGGTGGATAGAGACTTGCAGATCAAGCTTACCAACAAAGGAGGCTCAATTACAGGTCCAACCGAAAGTAGGCGGTGACTAAGTGGACCGCATCATATTGATTCCTCCGAATAGGCTCGGGAGTCGGGACCAGCATCAAAACTCACGTCAAAAACAGACTGGTCACGAGTCTAGCGCTTAGCCCGAACCGATCGCTTCATTTTTTGTCACCACAACATCTCCGATTTGCTCCAAATGGCTAAACACAAGCTAGAGCATCTATTTCTCTACTTATTGTCACTCAGATTTTGCATGGTTTGACAGAATGTGAATGGGTAGTATCATCCCTGCAACTTAACGGGTACGGGTACGGTGTTGTACCCGTGCTATACCCTAATATTATTTGTCATTGATACTGACTGCGAAGGACACTTTACGTGCAGTCCAATTCATTCAAGTTTTCTTCTCATGAAAACCGCAATCGCGCTACAATCGACGTTTCTTGCATGAAATCAATCTTTGTGTTTGTCACCTCTACATGTCCGCCAAGCCAGTAGTGATACTGCGCATGTGCAAATAGAACTGTGCTCCGGCCGGTACTACATCTACATGCCCAGCCAGCACTACCTACTGAGTTCCGGCCGGTTACCAGTTCGGCATCAGAGAACTCGTGAGTTTCCCCCTTACGTTGATTGCGGTAATTTTACGCCGTTCAATACTTACATGACTGACGGCACCCTAGTGCATGATGAGACATATAGACCCGATGTACTTCGGGTTCGTTGTATCTGTTTCTAACTCCCGACTCCCGACTCCTGGACAGTGTTTTCAGTCCTAACTCGCCATAATGGACACTGCCGATTGTCCTCGTACAGAAAGCGAGACCACGCCTCTGATCCCTGAAGGTGCCTCGAAAAGGTCCAAAACGCCTCTCCCAAAATTCCAGATGGGCATAATTTTGGTACTGCAACTTGTGGAACCTATGACATCGATGTCAATATTCCCGTACATCAATCAGGTATGTGACTTTACAAGAAGATCGCATTTTTCTGCAACATCCGTTTTTGACTGTTATAAGCTCATTAGAAATCTTGGCATCACTGGAGGCGATGATGCGGCTGTGGGATATTATGCTGGAATAATCGTAGGTGTCGAGATTACGACTCGAAAAGATCATGATTTCCTCATACTATCGGATGTAATTGGCAGGAATCTCTGTTCTTTGTCGCGCAGGCACTGATGGTGCTGAGGTGGAGTCGGTTGTCCGACCGCATTGGACGCAAACCAGTGTTAGCCATTGGACTATTAGGAACTTGCATTTCGATGCTGTGTTTTGGCCTCTCCACGACCTTCTGGAGCCTTGTCGTTAGGTATATCTTCATGCGAAGAAATAAGCACAACGCTGATGTCGTTCCTTGCTTTCTCTAGCCGCTGCATATGCGGTGCACTGAACGGTAACATTGGAGTCTTGAGAACTACGATGGCTGAATTGACGGACTCTACCAATATGGCTCAGGGATCTGCCTTGTTGCAGGTCTTCTGGAGGGTTGGAACCTTTGTTGGGTAAGTGGAAGTGTTAACTATAGGGACGGCCAATGATAAAATTCGCATGCTAGCCCTTTAATTGGCGGAATGCTCGCGCGTCCACAAGATAACTGGCCCAGATTATTCGCTCATGCATTTTGGAGCAAATACCCATACTTTCTGCCTTGCGCAGCGTGTGCTTGTATCGTTGTCTCGGCCTATGTGATGTTGTTATTTTTCGAAGAAGTAGGTCCTAAATACTTGTCTCATCACATAAGTTACTTACGATCAGCAGACATTATCAACCAAACGTCGGTCAAAGTTGATATCAACTTCCTTCGGCGTTCCAAGCGGAGCCGACATTGAGGATCGTGAAATGCTTGCGCAAAAATCCATGGCAGTTACGCCCATGCGATCTCTCCTCACGCCAACTATTGTCATTCCAATTGCAAACTTCGCCTTGCTAGCTTTCCTTGACATTTCCCTCCGGACTCTGATGCCGTTGTTCTTCTCGATGCCTATGCACCTCGGTGGCCTTGGTTTTAGTCCTTCTTCCATTGGCTCGTGGCTGGCATTGCTTGGGATTGCGGACTGTGTCTTACAAGCTCTGTTCTTCGCCAAGATCGTCAATTGGCTTGGTCCAAAGCGTCTATTCTGCATGGCAGTGTCGTGCTTTCCGCCAGTCATGCTTGTGTTTCCGATCGTGTCGTGGCTTGTACACACAAGGGGGTTTGTTGATCATGCAATCACGTTTCTATTACTTGGCCAACTTGTTCTAACACTTATATGGAGTATGGCATTTGGTGCGCGTCACAATGAAACCGACCTGTCTTCACAAGTAACCGACTTTATTACAGCGACTGTCTTCATGTTTATTACGGCTTCTGCTCCTGCAAAGAACGTTCTTGGCGCGATCAATGGTCTTGGCCAAACCTCTGCGTCAGTGGCTCGTGCCATTGGGCCCGCCTTAGCGACTTCGCTCTTCGCATTTTCAAAAGAACACAACCTTCTCAATGGAAACGCCGTATTTGTCGTTTTGATTGTGTTGGCTAGTGTGTTGAGGTGGTTGGGGTCGCAGCTGCCAGATGAACTACAAGATAGGGATGAATAAAAGTGCGAGAGCAGGAACTTAAGGCATGAGGGTGTGGGATCATGGATGTAGGGTTTCGGGCGCATGTATGATATATATACCCTGAAGCTTATCCTATAGCATCGTTCTGCGCCTTGACGTTGGAGCTCGCCGAAAACTTTTGTAGGCCTCTTTGTTTCTAGTTGTTCGTCGCCCCGCCCACTATCCCCATCGTGCATGACGTAGACGATGGATGACATGCTGACCACTACTCCTCAGAGAGTATTAGCCAGGATAAATGGGTTGCAAAGTAACACTGAAGCGATATTGAAGATACGCAGTCCTCGCAAGCGGATATAAATTATTCTTGCAGCCAGATGAACAGTCAAAAGCCCCACATGCGAGACGAAGGAACAAACGGTACACAATTTCATCATGATGTACGGGCAATACAGACACCAGATATCCAATGCTCTTAGACCGAGAATGCCAAATGGAACTTACCACCTGTAAACTCTACTCAACAACCCCAAGTTCGTTCACCACTCTTCCGCTATGTCGCTGAAAGGAAAACTCGGAACGCAATTTGGTTTTGGAGACGTCACACCACCAGAACGTGTTAATTAGACGCCAAGTCTTGTTCATTGCTGGTTGCTTGGAGGTCGTGGGTATGCCATGCCAGCGTGGCGGTCGTCAAGATCAAATGTCCGACTTACAACGAATTTTTGAAACAAGTCCTTGTACGTAGGACATTCAGTCTTCTTGGATGTATAATTTTGACGCTCCGTATTTCGAAATGTTGCCAGTCAAAAGGCATTGGTGAAAGTGGTTTCTGTGTGGGCGTGATCATCATAAGTGGAAGGGTGCTTCCTGCTGGAACTGTTGTAGCTCTGGAAGATATAATGTGAATTTGACAACGGCGGACGAAGTGTGGCTGAAGATTGGGAAGTCGATGTAGTTTTCTGGCTCTGGCACCAGATCAGAGCAGAGTAACAGAAGTCTGAGGGAGAGGGGAGGACTGAGGGGGTGACTGAGGGAAGCGGAGTATCATGATTGTCCTTTTGCCAGGTCACGCGTGTGCCTTTGTATGATCGTGTAGTCTAAGGGAAGAAAGAGAGAGGAGGTTTGAGTGAGACGAAGCAACTGTTTAGTTTAAGAATTCGTTTGCGTGTGATCGTGTAGTACGGCGAGAAAGAGAGAGAGAGAGAGAAGGTTAGAATGAATCAAAGCAACCGTTAAGTTTAACGATTCCCTACTCCGCATGATCGAGCTCTATGCTGATTGCGAGGCGTTCGTGTCAAATCAGACGGGAATTGTGATTGCTTTCCCTGTGGGGATGGTTTATACCGACCATGATGCTAAATACGTGCATTAGCAAGCTAGGTTGGACGGTGACAGAATGCGCCGTTGAGCCCGTTCATCCCGGTAGCTGTTCGGGCTCATCCCGTCTGCACTAGGAGCATCAGGCCCTCGGGGCAGTATGCACCACAATCTCGAGGAATCCAGCAACTATAGTCATCTCTCCTTTGTAGGCAGCAGGGTTGGAAGAAATGAAGTGAGATTGTCAATTGTAGATGCGAGCGATCACGGGCTCCGATACAGCGACTTCAAATACGGCTGGGGGAGATTGAAGAGGGAGGGGCATGGAAATGCTTCCGTAGTGATTGATCTTTGGATTGTCTCTGGGAGCTGCCATGCGCTCATAACCAGGTGGAGGGTCGAAGCCAATTAAGAGAGGTGCAACTAGTTTTGTTGCACATCCGAGGCATCACAAGGGTGGTATCAGGGATAGTATCTGGAAACGGGCTGGGATGGGCTTCCAAGCAGGGGCCTCCTATCTACTCGCGGATCAGATCGTCCAACTTGTCGGCGAACTCGACTTTGTCACAGACGGAGGCCTAGGGTCTGCGCAGACTTGCACCAAGACTGGCCGTAACTTGCACATTCACGGTTGATCAGCTCAAACTGGCCAGATTCAGGCCTACACGCGGAAATTCCCGGCGTTTATTCTTCTGGCAGAAGGTCCTCTACTTACTAAGTTAAACCAATCCTACACGATATCGCTAGCACCAAGCAACACTAGTCTCAATATCACTCTTATGTTGATCCCAAGGACGTACTACACCTACACCTCAGGGCGCACGTCAGTTTCAGCAGTGGTTTAACTGCCTTCCGACTCGGATAGGTCTGACCTAGAGACTCGTCGACCGTCATTTTCAACAATAAGTTGTTCATAAGTCCTCCATCATGTGTGCCAATTCCATCGACGCTGCTGGTGAGCAATACAAGACACTACAGATGTCTTTGAGAAAACCATCCAGTCAAATCAACACTTTCACCTCTTCGGAGGACGGAGCGGCTGGTCAGGAGGGCCTATTAGGCTGAAGCAAGCATACACGATGCTCTCAGCTCTGGCCCAACTCTGACAGGCCCACAGGGCCTTCGTGGTCTCGCATCTCAGTGCCCACTTCAATGGACGGACAACTTTGACGGTAAAATCAGGGGGAGTTACTGGCAGCCATAAGCTGCACCTGTTCACTTTATGATTCGCAGACCTCTGTTCTGCAGAAGAATGCGTGCCGTGATGTCAAGCGGTCCCTTGGAGTTCGACCCTCCGTGTATGACGGTGGAACGTTCGAACCATCAAACCGCTGCGCAGCCTTCAACGTGCCTGAGCACGACTTTGCTGAGGGTGATGGTGGTTCTCGAGATTTTTTTGCAGTGCCTCTCCCATATACTCATAAGTATATTAAACAAGGTACAAACGAGGAACCAATAACCATCAATCAATACTTACAACGTTGCCCTGTCCAATCGGAAGAACAAGAACACCGCCAACAACAAGTCGGACGTGCTGTGTGGCCGTGAGGGCGAGGGCTATCTTTTCTCCCCTGTAGCCTCTCATTTAATTTTTGTCCCAGAAATAGTGTCCCATATCGATGTCAATCACGTATATGAAACAAGAAGTATTTGGCTGTGAAAATTGATACATTACCATTTCATGAACTGCACGATGCAGCGTATTCATGAGATTCGCTCTATGCTATTTTTACATCCTTACATGATAGCGCGATGACCGACGCAGTGAGCGCACATGAGGCGAGAGATGCTGAGGACGAGGACGAGCTTAGGCATTGATGGTGTGCTCGGAAGCATTGCACAGGGATGTTCGCAGTACAGCTGGGACCAGGTACTATCTCTGGCCCGGTGTTGCAAAACTTTTCGACCTGTTTTTTTATAACACAACAACTACACGACATTAAAATAAAGCAACAACATGAGCAAGTAGGATTCAGTACATACTGTAAGGCTATGCCAAAAATATGTCAAGGCTACGTTGCCAGAGAGAAGCCGGTGCGAAACAGTGTTTGAGCACAGAGTTGCAAAGAAGTTGTCGCGTCACACTATGTCACACCGCCGTTTTTACTCTCCGACGCCGTCAAGCGTTGAACGAATCTGGGGCAATTGACGAGTGCTATTCAAGAATGAGAATGTCTTAGCCAAGTTGCCGAGCAGCGATTTATGACTCCGAACACAATCTCACTCCTCCTGTCACGTCCTGCATCTCGATAGTACAACATTTGTGTCTCTCAACACCACTCAGTTATCATGTCGGAAAAGTTTGGTGTGGTATTACTGTAGAGATACGACACTAGGTTCGTCACGGGTCACAGCCATCGACGAATCGAACCTATTTGGTGTGACTGTCACACCAATTTTTTGGGGACCGAAGCTAATTTGTGACATATGGTAAAAACATACAGAAAAACATACAGAAAACATATAAAAACAACAATGCCGAGCTAGATTCTACCTGTTGTTTCTCAGCTTTACAATAATATATGAATCAGACAAGAAGCCAAGGTGCAGCAATCACAATTTGCGAAGCTATTTTTTATGTGGTCACAGGTCACAGGGTCATTCGAAGCTGTGACACCAAGTGTGACTGTGTCACGTGCTGCACGTGACGAAGCTAGTGTCGTATCTCTACAGTAGAAGGCAATGGGAAATCACTGGTAAAATTCCTGATTTTTTTAGTGAATGTGATGGCTTCCCTCCGATGGCCATGGATTGACGTGGAAAGTGCACGTTCTGAGCAGTGTTTCACTGCCGCAAGCACTTCTAGTGCATTTTTCGTGGAATAAAAAATACACACAGTAAGCTATGGATTACCCATCCTTGTGTAAAGGAAATGAGGAGCGTGCTACATCGTGATTTGTAACTCCGGGCCATTTTGTAACACCGGGCCAGAGATAGTAAATGATCCGTTCGTTCCGTTCTATCTTTCGCGTCTGACTTTTCTTGTAACGTCATCCTGTGTCGTGCCGACAGAATGCGACCTCAGAGAAGCTGTTATGCCAGGCCCGAGCCAAGAGTGCCGATTCTCATCGGCAGGGACCGACACGAGTCAATCAAGAACCATAATGCAGGAACGCATATCATCTACATCATACCGATTGTGGCGATACAAGCGCTGCCAGTGGATGGTGGTATATCTAGCACGAATGCCATCGTTATGCCCCCACCCCGATTCACCACTCACTCACCACGCCCATCCCTCGGATATGACCCTAGTCTCAAATGATCCGATTTGGTGGCCGACAATCGAATCGAATCGTTTCTTCAGCTATTGGATAGGTTCGTGGAGATCCCATTGAATGACGACGGTGATGTCTCCATCTAATCTTGACTGCGGTTTCGCAGTTGCCTCCTCTGCTGCAGTGATATATGATTCGGGTGAGCAAGATAGTGGTAAAGACTCCGCTGATATCCTGATGATATTTTCAGTACTGACATTCGGACAAGAGGTAGGTGTATGTCACTATCGGAGCAGCCATCTAGCTAAGAATGGTTTTATAGGTTGAACTGATCTGGGTGAGCAGAGTCACATATCAGAAGAACAACGAGCATCGCAATTAATTTTGGGCAGAGACAACGCTGGTCTCTCATGACCATTCTATATCTCAGTGTGCGTAGCTTAGATCATGAGCGTGGTGGGCAAGTCGTGCTGACTCGCAAATGTTCTAGATACGTTACATTGGAATACTGTATGCTGCGTACGTGTGCAAGGCTAACAAGGCGGTGCTGTACTAATAAGATGTCTCTCATCATCAGCATGTATATTCCGGGTATGTCTCGTGTAGACTGTGTTAGTGTCTTCTGACTAGCGGCATACATACAGCAAATCTTCCGTCAGTCTCGCTGACAGACCAAGTGAGTATTTTGCGCCGATGCTTTCTGCTCCCATCCAATTACCTGCCTATGTACTAGGGGCGAGTGATATTCTCGCCCAGATAGTTGGTTCTATGTAATGACTGCAACAGCTGTGAGTTTGTTTCAAGTGTTTAATCCTACGAGGGTGATCACTCATCGGGTATGTCAGGCTATATCATGTACTCCGCGATAAGTTGGACAAGCGTGGTCGTAATTGCCATGCTGGGCGGTGAGCTACTCATCCTCGATGATATTGACTTAACTGAAACGTCGTGCAAGTCATCATGATTGCTCGGTTACATGCCATGTATCAGCAATCCAGAAAGATGCTTATCTTTCTCATTGTAATCTTCCTGGCGGTCAACATCGCCAGCGGAGTGATCACGGCAATAGGACTCAGTTATTCATCAGGAGGTAAGCTTTAGTTATGTATCAAATAATCAGGCTTATCAGGCTCATCCCAGTGGAGGCTGTCCTCTCCGGCACCTATATATGCACAAGCAATTCCGACCAAAACGCCCAGCTTCTCATTGCAGTAGTTTGGATACTCACCACTGTATGGGAAATACTTGCACTGTGTCTTGCGCTCTGGATTGCTGTAAAACACTTCCGTGAACTGCGACGCCTATCGGCGGGACAGCTCATTGGGGACTGTTTCGTAGTGTTGATACAATCTCACACGATTTACTTTGCAAGGTGAGCTCGTAAGAATGTGGGTATCTTTTGCCGCTGAAGTTCTGCACATACTAGCTTTGCTGCTGTTTCGTTCCTCGAGCTTGGTTATCTCTCTCCAATGATCGCGGTACGCTGATCTGTCATTGACATCTGCATGTGAACACTGTTCATCATTTCTATAGTCTTCACTCTCCGTGGGAGTTGAGACATATAATGGCCTTGTCCAAATTTTCTCGGTCGTGCAGATGTTTGTGCTGGGACCACGCCTCATCCTTGGCGTTCGAGAATATAACGCTAAGCTTGTGGCCGACTCCGACACAGCAACTGGCATGGCCTCAATTGTTTTCCAGGAGCGCATACACGTGTCAACTAGCAGTGGTGTGTAGCGCAGGAAATGCTTGACGACTCTGCAGGGAGCAGGAGAACTTTGTTTGTGGTTTCGTCTTGGTATTTATATTCCAAGTTTCAAGTGATTGCTGCTGCGTAGGTCGTCTTGTCGACAAGATTCTGTTGATTAACAATTATTTGTACCTAATATTTCAAGTACTTATGGATAGTTAGCCTGGATAGTGGTGCTCCTAGGATCCTGTCGAAGTTCAAAATTTACATCATGTGGCCGAAAGAACCCACGTGCAAGTATGCCACCGGAACTTGCAACAGACTTCTGCCGCCTGGCTCGCGTGCCATGCATTTGTTTGTTATTTAAGTCTTCCTTCTTCGTCAGCCGATAAGTACGTGCTGAGAGTGTGTCAGGCAAACCTGCAGACCCGGCGAGTAATGCATTGCTTTCCGAGTTGACGCTGTTGGACCCAGAGGGTAAAATTCTTGTAAAATCCTTTCATGACGCAAAGCTACGCCAATACATATGGTAAACGCCCTTGGGCTCCGAAATCTCTGTGAGAGTTATGGCAGGCTCTTGAAGCGACGTCCACCTTTTGACGTCAACCCAACCGATCACTCATCCCTCCCTCTCCTCCCCTTCGAAGCTTCTCTCCAACGAGCCTTCCACTCCTTCGTCAGCGCACCTTTTTGGGCTTCCCACTGGGAGTGAATTTCGGAGGTAGTTTGAGTGCGGAAAAAGGGCTCCCCACTTCTGTCTTCTTTGCCCGCGTAAGGGAAGAGGGAGAATATGTCTTGAGGTGTATTTCTTGTGCTGGATGAACGCGAGCGGAGGGCTGGTGGGAGAGGAAAGAAAAAGGGGAAGTTCGGGTCAAGCGTTGGGTGCACTTGTAGTTGCTCATGAGCAATGGAGACTGCGTGAGGGTGAGGAAGCGCGTGATCCGGTTGGGCGGGGTGGGTAAGGTCGGATATGCCGAGAACGTCTTCTTCCTCAAAGTCCAGGTCGAGGTGACCCAGTAATGAAAATCCAGCTGCAGCGGTTCGCAGTCAGTCAAGGGGATTGGGAAAGAAAACACAAGGTTGCAGAGCAGTAGAATAAAATAACAGAACGCACCTTCCTCTTCCCTCGGTGCGAACAGATCTTTCAGTTGTGTTTGCTTCTGATTCAGAGCGGATGGCTCTGACGTAGATGTAGGGTGAGGCTGTGGTCTGAGTGGAGACACCACTGTGTCTGATTCCATGTCCGTATCTTCGAATTTACCTTGGGGTACTTCCTCGATCTCACCGTCGGCATCGCCCTCATATATACCCATCCGTGTCCCAGTCTGAGACCCCCTCGTGTCACCTTTACTCTCAAGACGTGCGTCTTCAACATCAGACAAGCTCTCCTGTCCGCCCCATCCTTCATCTCCGTCCCTGTCGCTAAAGAAGGAGCGAAGGAGTGCGAGGGTGGCGGACTTTTCTTGTGTGGGGGAAGGGTTTTCTCCGGCCACGGCTTCAGTCGTGGGCGGACGAACAGTGGGAACGGGGGACAGCGTGGATGACGATAGTGGGGGAATAACAGATGTCGGGACCGGCAATGGTAAAGACTCGTGGTCATCACCTTCATCCTCGGTACTAGGTGCGCTTTCAGCGTCGTGTTTAGTGTCACTGCTCTCGGCCTCTTCAGCATGTCTTTTCCTCGGGATCATGGGTCCATAGAAGTCTCCTGCAACACCAATAGCATCACTCTCAACTGCGCCCGCTACCTCAGCATCCAGCCAGATACCCTTCAGATGCATCGAGTCCCAGCGCGTCGGATCGATCGTCCGGCGGCGCGCACGCGTGGGGGGAAGTTTGACGCGTTTTTTGCGTTTCCCTGTCCCGGATTTCCCATCCTTCTTGTTCCCTGCACTGGCAGAGGCAAGTACCCGAGGTGGCTCCAAAGGTTTCTCAGGTCTCATCCGCATGACTTTCACCACACGTCCCATCTCGGTGACCCTCCATCCCCCGCGGGTACGTGCTGTCTCGGGCGTGATCAGTGACATATCAGGTGCAGGGGTGCCTATCTTAGAGGAATTGAGACGACGTTTTTTGGGTGGTGGAGAGGGAAGGGAGGCGAGTCTGTTTGTTTTCGGGTCAGTGGTGAGTGAGTGAGTTTGGGCAGAAACGCACCGTTCACGAAAATCAGGCTTTGCATCTCCAATACGGAGCTTGGCGCCTTTCCATACCGTCCCACTTAGCACATTCACGCCTGTCCGATATCAAAAAAAGGTTACAATTGAGAAAAAAAAGAAAAACTCACACTTCGCCAAGTCTGTTTTGCGACCTTCAATCGTCGCGTAACCGAAAGGCCTCGGCTGGCCTAGTGCATCAAGTTTTCCAAAACCATCGAGCGAGATTACCCTTCCAAAGGCACTGAGTCGCTTTGAAAGGTCAGCGGGTGTAATGGCGGGTGTTGTGAGACCAGAGATGTGTAGGCGTTTTGTTATGGTTTCGGTAGACATAATGATTGCATTACAAGCCACACGTGCCTGAACTTTGAAGGAACCTCGGTCTATGGACTTTCATCTTCCTCGAACTTTTCAATCCCTCACGGTCAGCAAATAACATGCAGACAACCGACTCAGAAAATAATATTAATGTCTATCGTTACTAGCTACGCTGCAAAACATCGTAAGTGGCATTCATTGTCACTACACGCTAACAGCAGCTGGATGGAGTTTTGCGCGAGATCACAGGCTTGGAAACCGTCGTGAATAGCGGCGGCATCAAACGTCTTTACCAGGAACTCGTCGAAAAGGGGAATAAAAACCACCAGCCAATGGGTCCGCACAAGAAATTGGCTCCACCAATCCTGTGCTTGCCAACTGAAGTATATGCCGACGATGGAGGGAGGTTGCTGTGGGCATGTCAAGTGTGTGATGTAGACCGGCCTATTGCGATGACTCCTGGCAGCGGAAAGATCGCTGCTATGAAACATGGCTCAAGCGATTACGAGGATGTCCGCTCTCGTTAGCACTACGCTGCGGAAATGCCCTGACCAAATTACGAAGCCTTCTTCAACCTTGCACTAATCAAATCTCGACTCTCTATATATCGACCCTTTCGGACACGCCGATATACTAGAACAGTGACTGATGCTCAAAAGACCTCCCAGCACTTCAAGAGTTGACCATATGGACGGTAAATTTTGCCTGACAGAATGTCATCAAGCCTCCTGAGCCAACTGACGCAGCTCATATCGCTTTGGAGGAAATCGATCCACTGGATGATTATATGTATCCATTTCGCTGGCGTGGCATGCTCACTATTGCCTAAGGTCAACTTGAAGTTTGGCATCGGGCCAGGGAATCTCCACTTAAAGCTACTCTGGTGTCCATTGATCAGCATGGTTAGCGCTGCGACACGCTCTGGGTATCAACATGTCTAATCTTCGTTGGGATGCGAGTCTATGTGAGTTTGACACTAACCTTACTAAGGTGTTCCTGACCCAGCAGCGCGGCGTTGGAAAATCACCGGTCGCCCCGCTCCTGCCGTTTACGCTTCTTTCATTAAGCTATGACGATCTTAGGCGCCCAGAACTGCATCGACACCACACCTGTCCCGACCGCTGGCACTTGATTTACCGGTCCCGAACCTGGTCTTCAGAACCTTAGTTCCATTAGGCTGTAAAGCAGATCAGGCTGATAGACCAGAACCATCATTGAGGCGCCAACTGTGCCCACTGACTATTTGGTTGTCACTGGATGTGTTTCGATTTAGATTATTGTTAGAATGACCGGATATGGCGCGTTTAAAGGTATTTCTCAGATCTGTCCTGCAATGCAATGCCTTAACGGTCAGCTGGTGCTTTATGTTAACGCTCACACAGATTTCAAAGGTGTTGATCGACTTTTTTTTTGGTCACGACACGGCGTTTTCTTCTGGGGCAACCAACGATCTTGTTAATTGGTCCAACGCAATGCCCCATTCTGTCGTCCAACGCTGGGGCATTGCTGATAGCATTGCTATCAGGATATTTTCTCGTACAACGTGGAGCAATCTCGCCGTGATACGCATAGCATGATTGTCGTGCTCATACGCGAACAAGGCCTGAACCTACTAGTACAAGGCGCTGTCGACCACCTGCTGTGCAAGAGCGCCATCCAGCGCTTCGAAGGCAACCGTGCTATCTATGTCGAACTTGAAGGGCTGCAGAACTGGATTGTTAATTCTCTGCACTGGCCCTTCGATTCCACCCGCTATTTTGGGAAGGACGGGAATACCGTCAAGCGAGACCGAATCACCAAGCTATTTCTCAAAAGCAACGTTGTATAGAGAAGCGTGTCGGTTTTACTGGGTGAGATAATTATTTCCTGCCCTGCACAATTCTAACTGTCACTATGCGTCGCAGAATGCTAACTTACATCATTTACGTTCAACCATCGAGCTGAAAGTTTTACCGTGGATCCATAACAAGCGTAACATTCTTTCTCTCTTGCCTTCTATCTTCGTGGCCCAGACTCTTCAAGTTTGATGGCTCCCATGCAGCACCTTTCCACTTCACATGTTCTGTCCGTGCTTTGCACTGTTAGTCACACATCACCACTATACATAGAAGTGTCCATTGGCAGCAAAACTTTTACGATGTGCCTCCCTGTGCCATATACGTATTGTCATTGCCCTATCAAAGTTCACAAAGAAAACACTCAACGTCTTCTTGGGAATAGATCGGCAAATAGGCATGGTGATATTGTCGAGCATGTACAACAGTGTTTCGAAGTCTTTCACGTGGGTAAGAGAATGTGTGTAGCAGCGAATTGCGGAAATTAAATCTGCAGATCAGCGATTTCAATACTCTCGTTATTCTCCTCGTCCCCCTTCCTCGCAGTATCACTCAAACCATGGACATCTGCTGCTCTCCTCATTTCCTCCACAGGTGTCGCTCGCCTGCCTCCAAGGAACACACGTCCCCCAGGCGAATCCTCCAAAGATCTCACCATTACATCCTTCTCAAACAGATACTTGATATCCTCCAACGCATACCCATTCGTCTCAGGCAGCAAGAAATACACCCATGCTGCCATAATCATGCAGCACACGCCGAAGAGTAGAAATATCCCGTACGACATCTTCTCAAGCATCAGAGGTGTCAGGCGTGATATCGTGAACGACAACAGCCAGTTCACGCTGATGGCGATAGTAAGTGTGGCCGAACGGAGGTGGTTGGGAGCAATTTCGCTGGCCACGATCCACGGCAGAGGTCCCCAGCCGATGCAGAAAAACACAGCGTAGAGGTAGACGGCTACGATAGACACGTAGCTCGCGGGAACAATAGTACTCTGCGGATGGACAGCGCTGAAGCCGGCGATCCAGAGCATAGACAAACCTTGCCCCAGAGCACCCACGAAGAGACACATCTTGCGACCCCAGCTGTCTACAGCAAATGCTAAGGTAAGACCAACTGCGATGACTTTCACGACACCGTAGAGCCCTGTTGCAAATAGGCCAGATGTTGTACCAGTAATACCAAGCGCAGCAAATATCTGTGGGCTGAAGTAGTTGGCAGAATCCGCACCAGTCCATCGCTGGAAGAAGGTGGTTATGGAGGGGATCAAGCAGCGAAGCACAATTTGACGCGACTCTCCCATCATGCGGAACTGGCTGAGCAAAGATAATCGCTGCTTCCCAGTGAAGTCCGCTTTGATCTCGTCGAGCGTAAGAAGGACGGATTTATCGTCAACTGGCATTCGAATAACGTATGCAAGCGTTTCCGCTGCCTCGTCATAACGCTCCTGCTCGACCAACCAACGGGGTGACTCTGGTTGTGGAAGCATGAAGAGGACGAACAAGATGCCCGGGACCAGCTGGACTATTAAAGGCATTCGCCATTGCATATTGCTATACGAGATATTTGTGGAGGCGCTGTAGTTCACCCAGTCTGCAGAAGTTTCCATCAATTTGAAGTTCCTTCATCTGGAAACACACGCACAGGCCAACATCATCCCGACGTTATCAGAGAACTGGACAAGCCCAGTACACCTCCCCCTAATGTGTCTGGGCATGCACTCTGATATGTATGAGGGCGCCAAAGCAGATACCATGCCCACTCCAATGCCAGAGACGAAACGACTGAAATAGAAAAGTCGAAGCGCTATAAGCTGGCTACTTCCAAGACCAACGATGGCCTGGATCAAGCTTCCGATGATGTATATGACCCCCGATGCAATTAGGGATCGCTTTCGCCCAAAGCGACTAGATACCCAACTAGTTGATAGGACACCGAAGCTAGAAAATTTGAAGATGCCCATATGAGCGGCGAAGCGTTGAACATCCATAACAAACGTACAAGGCTCCCGCCTGCATAATTGACACGATATTTCCGTTGAAATTGGCTTGAGCAGACGCGGACATCTTATTAATTCCAAAGTAACTCTGGAAAGACTTGAGGGTTAAAATGCCACCCATGAGTCCAGTATCCCAGCCGAAGAAGATAGAGCCCAAGGATGCAGACAAGGCAAGGATGTATGCATTGCGGATACCGCGAAACATCCATCAGTGCGTCTTTGAAACCCATAGTGGAAAGGAAGCGGGGCAGATAGAGGTAGGTGCTTCCGCCCTTATGATATATGTTCACATTCCTATCGCCATTGGTTAAAAGATGGATTCAGTTATCACCTGGTCTTCACATTGATGCAAGAAGTCAAACATAGATACAGGGCGACATTCACCTGGAAGGATGCAAAAGGTACTATGATAGTGGAGATAGTCGACCGGTGGCACAAGAGGTGAGATATGCGGGAGCGGAGAACGAAGAGCATCAGCGCCAAGACAGTGCACTAGGTCATAGGATGCTTCTCCCTCCCATGGAAGTTGACTCCATGTGAGAGGACTAAGTACATAGTCCAATCAGATTCAGTCGATGTGTGGTTGTCTCGCGATGATTCGAGTTAAGAATCCCGATAAGACATTCAGAGTGCAAACCTTATCAAGCCTGGAGGTTACCGGTTACTGGACACAGCAGTGCAATGAATGAGATTCGCTTGTACTGGCTCGTGCAGATGAGCGTTCTTGTTGTTTGAGTTGATTACTCGATACTCAATTATATAACTAATTTATTTATAATTCCTTATTCAATCCTTATTTCAAGTTATCTCTCTTCCAAGTAATTTTCTGCTATAAATATTGAACTCTCAACGTGCTCATAGCCTCATCCTATAGAACTTGGAAGAGGCGGGCTCTCGTTATTGAAAACAGTGCGAGGGAGGACTCGGAAGCGTGTGGGTGCCTTTGAGGCTTTGACAACACTCGTGCTATGCTTAATACTTATAGCTATCATGAATCGTTCTATGATTCAATATACGAGCTACGAACCGTAAGGTTAACCGATAACAAGGCACCGTTCTTGAAATCCAAGATCCCCACTGTACCGACATTGATTTGAAAGAAGGCTTGCCAGAGATTTGCCAGAGATCGAATCTTACCTTTCCGCGCCCAATTGGAGCGACCCGGGATGAATCAATAACGACGCCTTGTTTGTTGATCAAGGTCGCTTAGGAAGTTCACTGAGAGCAAGTTCGTGTCGGTAAGTATACAAAAACATCGATCTCCTGGGCAGATTCACCGTTGATCGTCGCAACGTCTCGTCAATACCCCAGAATAAGATGAAAAAGCTTCACACCGGACACAAGGGTAAATACAATCGTCACGAGTGTTTTAGATGAAGCTTTCGGTGTCAAGTGCAAGCGCTCATTGCTCAGCTGCAAGTTATCCTCAAGTACTACTGTTTCTGTTATTCATCCCTTCAAATTCGATAGTAACTGAAGAAGCTCATCGTAGATTATGATCGCACAATAGACATATTTGGAACGATATATCGGTACATAGAAGACACTGTATACGCCCTGCGCATGTAAGTTATGAAAGTTGGTGAATACTCTATTCTGTGATAAAAGTCCTTGGTGGTTGATTGCAACTCTACGCATTAATTATCCCAGCACTTCCCGCACTTCGTCTTGCACCATCTCTGCTAGGCACCGGCTTGTCGGTAGATGCTTCGGAAAGCAGATCTGGCGAATTCTTCTCCTGTGTGGATGCCTGTGCAGGATTCAAATCTTGATAGTGTATCCTGCCATGCACGTCAGCAGATTTGAGCGAGCGGGTGGATTTTGCTTACCATTTCAGCATACCGTAGAAAGCAGCTCCCAACAGAGAGCCGAGGAAAGGACCGACCCAATACTACAAGGATAACGAAGGTCAGGTGCGGGCCCGTGAAGAATCTGGTTTTCTTACCACCCAGTGGCTAGAGTAAGGGAACCCGGTGACGACAGCTGGCCCAAATGCACGTGCTGTATTCATGGATGCACCCGTGTAAAAGACGGCCCATCTACATGACATAGCAACATTTCAACGATTGATACATGGCAGGGTAGCCGACTTACAAATGCCCAACGAACAAAGTCAGTCCAATGCCAATCTGATGCACAACATTTAGCATTATGCATTATGCGACATGCTAACCCTCCTTACCGGCGCAAACGGGGTAACCTGGGATTTCTCGGCGGCGAGCATCAGAACGGCCAAAGCCAGCGTCGCTGTAAGGATCATTTCAATGAAAATTCCTTGAGCTGGATTGATTCCTTGTTTTAGGAACGTGCTATCGATAGGTTTCGTTAGGTTTGAAAAAATTAACAATCACAACAGCTACTTACTTGACAGACAACGGTCCAGGGATTAGCGCAGACAACAGCGCGGACGCAACAATAGCTCCAACTAGCTGTGCAATACAGAACAAGACAGATCTCACGGGGTTCAATACCCCCACGAGAAACAGTGCAAGCGTGATATTTGGGTTAAAGAGGCCACCGGTAATTCTGTAAAACAACCAAGCGGAGACCAGAAGGCTGAAACCCATGGATGTTGCGATGTACATCACATGTTCAATGGTAGTGCCGCTGGCTTCGGCCTCGCCAGTGGCTGCCTGGATACCGCCGAGCCCTAGGAGTAGAAATAATGTTGTCCCGACGAACTCAAGCGCGGCGGCCTTGCAATCCAGCTTGAAGGTACCGAACAGACCAGACGTAGAGTAACGAGAAGGTGACCTGGCTGTTGAAGACATACTGTGTTGTGCGATGAAGAGCTTGTATGACGAATAGCAAGTTGCAACTCCTTCAAATACCAACACTCGCTTATACATCGATCAGTAGCGACATCACGGCAGGACGCCACTGTGGTGGCAAAGCCACCTACCGTCTACATGATATGTGTATCGCGTAGGCAATGATACAGCCTGTTGTTGTAATGTAGAACGGATCCTCCAGTTTTTCATCTTGGCGGAAGTCCTAGTGTGGCAGTGCATCAGAACATCCAATGATGCATGAGAGGGTGCACGGATGAATAACTGCTCTATAGATAAGTTAGAGAGGAATATGTTTCGTGCGGCAAGAAAAAAACGCGCAATTTGCGTAATCTCATGGTTTAGTCACTGTCGGATATCTTGAGCGAATGCTGGATTTCAAGCCCGTTGCCACGAAGAGATGGAGGATATATTCACCAACAATCCTGTGATATACTGATGAGTGGATTGTGTCCGGTAATCCTAGGAATGACTCGTGTGACGGTGACATCTGAGTCGCGAGCAATCTTAATACCATTGGATGTATTATGAAAATTTGCCAAATACTATTAGTCGCGTCATCGCCTTTCGAACTGAGGTCTCCACATATGGACGGAAATAGCGATGTGCCGCGTTGAGCTAGGCTAATTGGCGTATACGATGAACATATCGGGTCGGCCTCGTTCCTCGGCGAGCTGACATGCTCACCGCGACGAGGGCAGTAGGCCCAACACTTTCTGGTAAGGCCACAATCAAAAATCGGAATTTCTTGATTAATGAACATGCAGCCTGGATATGACAGTGGAGCGTATAGCTGTGGGTCTAGCTAGTATAGCAGGAGTTGTGAGTGTGAGTGTAGCAGCTGGTAGCTAGTAGCAGGTGTGGCAGAGGATCAGCGGTGCCAGGGGTCATGGGGTCATAGCACACGTAGTCAACGCGCAGACATCATGTTCAGAATCATCGCAGCCACATCACAGGTTCTGGGTTTCGCATTGTCAAGCAGCAGTGCTGGCCGGCCCAGCAGTTCAGAAGTTCATCAGGCAAATTGAAGCGGGCATGAACGCATTACCGCGAAAAGGGGGTTCTGTCGGAAAATACTTCACAGAAAGTGAGCTATGTGCAAGCATGAGAGAACACCTACATCTAAGGCATCATTTTTTGCCGGCAGTTCGACCCAAAACCCACTCCACGAGGTAGCGGGAATATAACAGGCGCTGGAACTATAGACAAATAAATCAAGACAGAACCATGTAATTAATTCGAGGGAGGAGGAAGAAAGGTGATACTTGACCCATATGGTTCCAGCGCGCATGGTGTACCCTCGCGGAGAAGGATCTGAAAACATAACTATGAATGAACAGTGGAAACACGACCAAATATATTTATTGGCCCCTTCCCATGCCTCAAGATGACTTGCCGCAGAAATTTCCATCCTACACTCAGAAACTTCCCTCCGGTGTATGTTTTCTCGCTCGAATAAAGTACTTGGCATCACGGTATGATCACGGTATTGATAAAGTGGCACTTTTAGGGGTCGAATCGTGTCGATTGCCGAGTTAATTAATTCTATCGATTTACGTCTTTTCCTCCTGTACTGGTATGAGAAAATAATATGTTTAGTTAGATAGGTCCGCAGTGTATAGCTTGTGAACCAGATTTACCAAACGCTTAGTCGCTCCATCCCTTATCTGACCTCGTCTTCTTCACGGCGCTGCGTTTATCCTTCTCGAGTCTCCTTCGACTGTCGAGTGCCTTCTGAAGATTGGCAACCCTTTGTCTTTGTTCTGCACTAGGTTTGCTGGTAATGAAGTCCTTGGCAGCGTCAATCACGACGGCATGCATCTTGAGAAAGGATGTTCTGTTCAGATTGAGATACAAATCGACAAGTAGAACAGACTTTGCTCAGGGAATCATCGATATTTCGTGCTTGCGACCGAGACGCGCTAGATGAAATCAATAAAGAATGTGAGGTTTTGGCGTAGTACGGCTTGAATGAAACGGCTTCAGTCTGACAATCACTGCGAAGGGCCTCAAATTACCGTCCTCGTGAGGCTCTCGCGTGCCCACATCGGTATCCAAGGTGCGTCTACACGGCAACGCGCAGAAACCTTGGTCTCCACCTTGTTGACGTTCTAAAACCACTTAGATTAAATACCCCACACTTTCACACACGGAAAATGGGCAATATGAACGCACCTGTCCTCCCGGACCAGAACTGCGAGAGAAAGTAAGCTCGACTAGGTTTTTCGGGATGGTTTTAGCCTCTTCGAACGAGCAAAGCCAAACCTTCGCACTTTCCTGGTCTTCTGCGCAGGATAGGGAAGCGGTCGAGGGAGGAATGGGAAGGGAGTGGATCAACCTGCATCTTCGCGTCCAGCCTGAGGTGCCAGCCGTTAGTGCATACAGTGACTCTCTTGTAATGCGAGGAATCATAAGTACACTGTCGCTTCAAGCATTAATAAAAAGGAACAGGCGTCCTGAGTGCCAGCCAAGTGCGGTTGGATGTAAGCGTATTTTCAACTCTGTACATAGTACAATTGCAAGCTACTATAATTAACCATATAATAAATTTACGCAGGCAGAATAATCTTACCAAAAGTAAGTACTTATCAAGAATTTAAGTTGATTCGACAAAGCCTTCCTCCATCCAACCCAACCCTGCAGTTTGCACTTTGAACGTGGGAGTTGGGGAGTCCATACTACTTAACTAAGTATGATCTACTTACGACTGCGACTACAATCACAAGCTTACGGTCCCAATCTGAGGACAGTCGAGCGCCCATTGCCAGTTCGCGATCGGTAAAGTCGTGGGTATCTTACACGCTCACCTTAGACTAGACACGTGTCTTTTTTATTTTCATCAGTTTGGGTACCGCAGTACGACTCGGAGGTTCGTCTCTACTACTACTAGCATGTCGCCGACACCTGGAGTTCACTCGCTGGAAGGGTTTAGTCCGATTGGCACCGGGATTTATCTCCGGGATATCCGTGAGCAATGCCAGGATACTGCATCACCAAAGTGAGTCGGTGTCTGTTATTACTTATAGCATGATAGCTGACCGGGCATTCTGTAGCGTCATTTTGATATTCGGATGGAGTAAGCGCTTTATCTTTGCGTTCTTGAAGTCTTTATCTGACAAGTTGTGTCCACAGTGGGAGCACAACTTAGGCATTTGCAGAATTATACCCATGTATACACCAAATTATATCCAAACGCGTCTCAAATCGTTGTTCGATGCAATCCCGACGTCTTCTGGACTACCACTAGGACTTCGGTGAGCACCACACATTAATTGCTCGCCGTTGTCTTGTCGCCTAACACAATCAAAGCAACGGCGCCTCGTACCTGTTATTGATGCCTTAGAAGCACTGCATTGCTTGCCATCTTCCTCTCCTACCCAACGGCCTCCCCGCATACTCACTCACGCATTTTCCAATGGTAAGTTCACCCAAGTTGAACTTGAAACAAGCTAAACCTTGTATGGCAATATCAGGAGGTTCCCTGCAGATGACACTTCTTGGACATATGCTGCAGCGGAAATATGGTTCTGCATCAGTTCAAGGGTTATTCACCAGCGCATTGATCCTTGACTCATGTCCAGCAGTGGGTAACCTGAAAACAATCAAACTCGCTTTCACCGCTGTCGTCCGGAACCCAATTCTCAGATTTATCGTGCTCACCGCTATGTACACGCTGCACTTTATCGGCCTCGGCTTCTCTCTGCTGTTCGGTAAACGAGTGATGTTGATGGAAAACCTCCGGATCGAAATGTGGAATTCCCGCATCCTACCATGGATGGGCCTCCACACACTCCGCCTCTACCTTTTCTCGCGCAAGGATAAATTGATTCCGTGGCAAGATGTCACGAAACATGCTGAGACTGCGAAGGAGCGCGGAATGGATGTACATTGCGAGCTGTTTGAAGAGAGCGACCATGTAGCACACATCCGGATCGAGCCAGAAAGGTATTGGTCTTCGGTACAGAGCGTTTGGGCGGTCGCAATCTCCAAGGAAAAGGACAAGGATTAGAGGATACATCACTGATTATAGATTTTTGTCGGAGGATCCGCCTTCTTTCATGTCTAGATGATCCTAGAATGATTCTTTCCGAGGATTTTAAGAATCTTGAGTTGGTCATACCTTTAGCTAGTGTCCCTAGAGTATACTCACGAATAGCTCATTGTATTTTAGGTATAGATTACAATGTACAGATGCGGCCTGATACGAATGAATTTATATTATAATTTCTTGTGATGCTAAAAAATGTCATGATATCGAGTTGCTCTCATTTATGTCCACACCCAGGCTGGGCTCGAGGGAGTGCAAGGTCGCGCGGAGGTCTCAGATGCGGCGGCTAAAGGAAACTATGACGCTGCCGAGCTGGTGGAGCTTGAGACATCCTCGCCTTGCCTTTCTCCTTGGATATTGCGACCACCCAAACCTCCTGTACCAAAGACCAATACCTCTCCGGCTCGACCAAAGCGTGTCTTACATGTCCACTCTCTTCAAACAGCTCGCACCGGACATCCATTCCGCGTTCCTTCGCAGTCTCAGCATGTTGCACGACCTCTTGCCATGGAATCAATTTATCCTTGCGCGAGAAAAGGTAGATGCGGGGTGTGTGGAGGCTCATCCATGGTAGGATGCGGGGGTTCCACATATCGGTCTGGATGCCTTTGACTAACATCATGTCCTTACCGAACAGCAAAGAGAGGCCGAAGCGGACAACGAACACCGTATATATGAAAGTGAGTATGATGGATCTGAGAATTGGGTTGCGGATGGCACTGTTGAAAGAACGTTTGAGTGCTTTTAAGTTGAGAGCCGTTGGGCATGAGTCGAGGATCAGTGCGCCAGTGAATGACCCGTGAACTGATGCAGAACCATATTTCCGCTGCAGCATATGTCCAAGAAGTGTCATTTGCAGGGAACCTCCTGATATTGCCATACAGGTTTAGCTTGTTTCGAGTTCAACTTGAGTGAACTTACCATTGGAAAACACGTGAGTAAGTATGCGGGGAGGCCGTTGGGTAGGAGAGGAAGATGGCAAGCAGTGCAGTGCTTCTAAGGCGTCAATGACAGGCATGAGACGTCGTTGCTTTTGATTGTGTTAGGCGACAAGATAACGGCGAGTAATTACATGTGAGCTGCTCACCCTAGTACTAATTGGAATCCAGAACATGTCGGGATTGCACTGAACGACGATTTGAGACGCGTTTGGATATAACTTGGTATATGCATGAGTATAATTCTGCAAATGTCCAAGTTGTGCTCCCACTGTGAACGCGACTCGTCAGACAAGGTCTACAAGTACGCAAAATTTGAGGGTCTTACTCCACCCGAATATCAAAATGACACTATAGAGTGCTCTGTCAGTTATCTAGCTGACTGATGCATACCCGACTCACTTTGGTGATGTAGCGTCCTCGGAGTCCTGGCATTGCTCACGGATATCTATCCCAGTGCCAATCACGCTGGACTCTTTCAGCACGCGAACTCCAGGTGTCGGTGACATGCTTGTAAATATGAGCCACGAGCTGATAGGCAACTAGTACCCAAAAGAAACCCGACGAAAAGATAACGGCACGTGTTCAAACCTAGACTTTGACTATCTCCTTCGATTGGATTGGCTGGCAGTGTACAAGCGCTGAAGCGCTATTTACACATTCAGGACAGTGACAGCGCCAACATTCGAGTCTAAGTGCAACGCAGCCTCCTTCCTTGTCGTAATCAAGACATGTCCGATTCTCGCCGTAATTCTTCCATGATGACTTGACCTGCGGTTCACTTGAACAATCCAGGACAAGGCGGCGGCTACAAGTGTATCGTGAGATTGCGGGATAGGCATGTGTTTCCGGGAACGTTCGAAGATATTAGGCCGGCAACCGAATAATCTCCTGACTGCACCCAGACCGCAGTCCCGTATGGACCAGGCACCATGCCGGTGCATCGTAGGGCCCCCCGACGTGGGGTGATGATTTCGGTGGTCATAGAAGGAGGGAAATTGTAATGCGGCCTGTCGACAGCGGTGTCATTGGACGTGATCATTGGACTCAAAGTCCAGAGTTGAATTTTGAGCGTGGATGACCACAGGACATCATTCTTCGTGCGTACAAGTATCAACAGCGGCTGCCCTTTCATTCCCGAAGGGTCCTCGGGCGAAGATGGCGGAACAGAGACAAAGATACCATCCACCCAGCCAAATGTGCTCTTGGGATACCGGTGATGGATGCATGTGCCGGGATGTGGTGCTAATTTTGGCTCCGCAAATTCGGAACGACAAGGATGGTTCCAATGCCGCGACGGTGCCGCACTGCAGCTGGTTGAAGCTTCGAAGGAACACATTAATTGTAAACACGTTACGAAAGCGCCATATCTGAGATCTGATAATCTGAATCGGAACACATACATATAGTACATACTAAACAAAGCCAACTATCGATTTCAAAGAGCATGGACATTGCATGGTGATCAAACAATTGAACGCTCGAAAATATCATAAGGAGCAGTAACATTCATTAAGAATTGTGTCAAGCTGACCCCTCCAACATAATCTCCTCGAGCTTGTACCTTCTCAAGGCAGCATGATAGTTGATATAACCATGGAAGAAACTGACGTAGGCGTCATATGCCTCAGGACACAATATGCTGTAGCCATAATGCATTAAATCTGGTACTTACCACACAACCGTATTGCATTAACAATGCTTGCTAGCCTGTCTGTAATGCATTAGAACATGCTAGCCATCAGAGCTGCCTCCCTAGTAAGCTCGCGCAGTACACTGGCTGTCCGCATATGTATTCCTGTCCTCCGGTAACTATATATTGGCAACTACATATTTTTATTCCCCGGCAACTAAAATCTGGAGACAGAAGACCATTCATTGCAACGAAGCGCTAGGCACGACAGAAGATTAATTACACTACAGAAGGTCAACTATACTAGGCACATGAAGCAGGCAGCATGAGGTCGGGGAATTGCGTGTCATCCAGTGAGGGTATGGCGCCTGATATGAGGCTTGAGCTTGGAGGGGATATCTGGGGAAGGTACGGAGCCCACAGCACTCTAAAGCGTGATGCAAGCTGACGTTGAATGTGTGCCTGTTTGTTAGCATATGCTATCAAGCCCTCGCATTGAGCCGCTGTCTCACAGACGAGTCGGTCCTGCTGCTCGTCCCACCAGTTGGCTTGCCAATCGAAAAACTGTAGCACCCTTCACATCTCTGTTAGAGTCCGAACGATCTGAGATAGTAGAAGAGAAAGAGTGATAAGTCCGAGCCCAAGCCAGAAGGGACTTTGACGAGCGACACACTGATGTCGGCTCGTGTCCTACAATATGTTTTCCTTTTCTGTTCTGATATATTCCGTTTCTATACAACTTACTATATAACGCCAGCAGTAGCACGAGTGCATCTCAGCTTCTTTCAAGAGACTGAGATGTGAGTTATTAGTATCCTTATATCGATTAGAAAACTAAACTGACAAGTCATTAGTATACTTGTTTTATTAGGTACATAGCTCGCTATACCGAGCTTCTTTCAAGAGACTGAGATTATACTTGTTTTATTAGCGTGCGGTCAGCTCCCACTCGTTATAACTCACCATAATCTCCTCCTGTAACAATTCTATCTCCTCCGCCCAGCACATTGCTCTTGCTCGGGACTTGCACCATTCCACGTGAACTCCTAGCAAAAGATTCAGAGACCACTGTCAGTAACAGCTCATAAAGATCAAATAAAAACTAACCATCCACGTCACCTCCATCGCTACCTGTATCCACACCCGTCATCATCCAGATCCACGTCAGGCGACGGCAACCTTCAGTCTCTCTGCTGAAAGGGTCCACTAATGGTTTCATGTCTTCGTCCTTCAGGTCTTGCAGGCGTCCTCGCCATCCCACCTTCTTCAAGAGGGGTGCCAAGGTCTTCAGTGCCTCCCACGCAACTCTGTATCTCTTCGTGCATGCCACCTGCCGCACGTGGACACGAGCAAGTGCATTCTGAGCACGGGTGTTGGCGCCTTGACCACGAACCCACTCCCGCTTGAACGTAAGCATAGAGCAGTGCACGCGAAGGCACTGTCGAAGCTCTTCGAGTGCATCGTGGGCCTGTGCATACCGCAAATCCCATTCATGATCTCGAAGTCGGGAATCACATGGTTTGCCTTTCAGATTAGACGGTAACCATAGGCGGATGTCCTCAGCACTCTCAAATGGCTGACAAGGGTCAGGAACCACAGTAGTGGTGAGAATCTGCACTGCAGGCATGTACAGAACCTGCGCACTTCTCTATGTCTCAATTTTACGATGCAGGACATTCCTCATTCGTGTGAGTGTGCCCTTCTGCGTATCAGAAACGTGGAGACCCATCTCTTCGGATACTGCTCTCACACGACGTCTGTCCCAGGTGTTAGTTGCCTTCGTCTGGTAGCATTTAGGTAAAGCTACTTACTGCTCCTCCTTGAGGTCTAATCCTGACGCGATAAGAACACTTGGTGAGATGTCGGGGTGCAGAGATAGGTCAATTCCGTGAGCGAGTTCTTCAGCTTCCATCTGCGCAAGTTTTAGACGGGCTGCAGCTTGCATAATTTCTTAATAGATGCTTCAGTAAATATAATTTGAATAGTAAGACAAAACTTATGGATCGACTTGCACTCGAGGGGGTTAGTGAGTGACGTGTCATTTGGGGTTTCCTCCCATTTCTCCATCTCGACTGTCCATGCTGACCTGTGGTCAGGGGAAATCGCAGCATTGAACTCCTGGAATGCAGCCTCGTGATCAGCCTTCTCAATGACAGCTTCCTGCATTTTATAGGCGAGAGATGTGCCTAATCCCAAAAACATCAACCAAACAAGAATAATAAATGAGTGTAAACCACATACCTAAGCCGACAACTTTTTTCCAGTTCCAATCCCTGAAATGATTGTCTAATGTGTCCCTACGACAGCCAGGTCCCATTGCTTTCGTGCTTGATGCGACCGGATTTATATTGGACCAGCCACATTTGGGCGCCTCCCCATCTGTACGGCTCACAAAACGCGCGAAATTGAAAGAGAACAATGTCTGACACTTGTTGACGTGTGCCAGAAGGTGGAACTTGGGGACGAAGAACTGAATAAAAATACACAAATAAGATATATGGTATGATTCAGATAGTGACTTCATGCGACTCCATAGATTCTTGTGCCATTGACATGCAATGTCATATGACACGTTCAGAATGTTGAGACGGCTGTTGCGGAGTGTGGAGAAAAAAAGGTAGTCCATGTTAATGTACCTAAGAATCGAATTAGTCAGAGCAGCTTCACAAGTGACACACGTACTTTTCCCCTTTTTGTAGGTCCCCGACACCATTTGGGCGCTTGAAGTTATGTCACGCGCAATCAACTGTCCCTACTCCAGTAGCTGCAAGGCCCTGTGATAGCTTTGTCTCAGCCATATTCACGGCATTATGGTTCGAGCAGGAACTTTTCTGTGGAGGTGTTGTCAGCGACATCTTGGACCAGGCTGTTTACATACCTCCTGTGTCTCGGACAAATGCTCCTTGAGGTGCGACTTGAACTTCTTCTCTTCTACAAAGTATGACCATCCCTCTGAGAGACTTGGGTCCACTTCATCGTTGGAAATATTCCGTCTCTTCAAGCAAAAATTGGCGTCAATAGCTACGAACAACGAATAAAGCCATCTAAGTGCAATTAATGCATTGCTTCATGTTCGAAAATGACGAGAGACTTACTGCTTGGCTTTTGGCGCTTCTTTCCAGTCAGGGGGTAGATTCTTGCCAGGCTGTGGGCAAGCTGGACAGAGGACGGCACATTCGCCCTCTTTGGTACCACTCACACCGACTGGATCATGACCACGGCCAAAATGTTTCAACATTTTTAGGTGTCGCCACTCACGAACCATATACATGAAGGATTCATAGCGGTCCTGAATTAGAGGTACTTTAGTTCATGCAAGATCAACCCAGAAATACGCCAACCTTCTTAATCAAACCAACATTGTTAGATATATGGACGAGCGAGTGATAGAATTCATATGCGGATGCCTTGGACTCAAAAGACAAAATCTGGTAATGGTGTAATAGTCGGAAGGTTGCCACTGTCCTTGGATCCACAGTTGTTGAGGGAAACCAACCCATGCGCAAGAGCTGTTTGGTATGAGTCTGGGAGGTTTCACAGCCACAGAAGTCAACCACCATCTCGTGTATTCCGTTTGTATCAACGAGGATGAAGTTGTCATTGAATGACTTGCAAGGCAGGATACAGCTTTCGCCAGTCGTGTGCCCCAGCTGGATCCTCAGACTGAGCTTCTTGAGTGATGTAGTTATGAAAAATGACCCCGTCCACTCCTAAAGTGAATCAACTCTTGACTCAGCCACTCAGAATTAATACAGACAAACCTTGATGCAATGAGTGGGACACTGCAAATGGTTGTAGACAGTGCAGTCTCCGCAGTATAGCTGCATGTCACAACAGTTGTCACATCGGAACAGGGCGGGATCAGAGCCACATTGGCAGCAAGTATCCGAAGTATAGTCCCCTCGGCCATCCATCCGAAGCATTTCTGCCAGATAGTCGTCACGACCGCTTAACCACACTAGAAGGGGATTATCCTACAAATAAAATCAGTGAAGCAAATTATGACCAGCAAACACTTACAGCCATGGTCCATTTTCACTTTGATGTAGCCAGGACATCATCAATTGCATCCATGTACCCATCCATGTACCCAAAATCGGCTTCATCTCCAGCCCCTTCAGAAAATGCGTCAGATTCAAGGTGAGAATCAGATTGTGATGCGCGTAGAATGTGCCGGTGGGAAGCCTTTATTCTACCCTTAGGGCATGAGGAGAAAGTTACAGATGTGTAGTAGACGGAAGGTAGAGAGCTGGCTTGCGGAATGTACGCATTTAAGTGTGTGCGTTTGCGACAGCCGTTATGAGACATAATGTTGGGTGGCTGCACTGATTGAAGCCCTCGAAGGGCGATGAGTAGACACTGAAGTTATTGTTTATTTGGAGAATCCAGGAATGGTATAAGCACATCGTGCAATTATGGAAGCAATACTGGGAGTAGGCACTATGTAGTTGCTACTAGTAGTTGTTTACAATTTCCACTTCTCCCTTCTCAATTGCCAGCCTGACCTTTTCCTCACCGATGGTGATAGTATCAACTTCCTCGTAATTGGCATTACAGATGCCCAGAACGGCATTTAGAGTGTGCTCCCTAGTGTAGATTTATATAAAATCCATCTAATGACCAGAGAGTACTCACCAGCTGGGTAACACACCCACCACATTGCCACGGGTGACGCAGTAGAAAGGTGGGTTCCAAGGGGTTTTCTTGCTACATGCCGGGATGTTATAATATACCCCCAGGTAGTGATGGAGAAAACATTCGTCAGCCATTGCGCTGGCAGGCAAGAAGGAAACCAGTAGTGTGTTCATGGACAGCGACGATCTCAGGGTATTCTGCAGTGGAAGGCGCATTGTCAACGAATACGATTATAGTCATAGTGGTATACATACTTAGTCGATGCTGGAGTTGTTATATAGTGGTGAATCACCGGGAAGGTCGCCAGAAGCCAAATTCTGCTCGGTGGACAACCATAGTCATAGTGGTATATGTACTTTCACCAGGAAGGTCGCCAGAAGCCAAATTCTGCTTGGTGGCTCAAGGGTGATAGCCTAAATAGTCGAGTAGCCTGAAGCTTGAAGAACAAAGCCTGCGATGTGTCTACATGATGGATGAAAGAACATCGCACAAAATAGGGAATTACATTTCATACTCCGCAGATTAGGTACTTGATTCACAAATTGAACTTGCAAGCGTCAGCTATATGTATAATGCAGGTGAGTTGCAAGTTTCTAACGCTCAATATACAGGTCCTACTCAACAATGACCTCCTCTGGCACTGATAGTCAAGTGCCTGCGGCGCCCATTGCTAGTCCTTCCAGCGGTGGTGTGTAAATACATTTGTTATTCTGTCTTTTCTAATGGTTGGTTTAGATTCTTCGACGGCACTCTTTGCTCAACTAAACATCAACGGCAACAATGTGGGTCTCATTGACCTCTGCCCTGTCTGTGGGTCGTACAAACACAGTCATTGTGACTATTCAGGAAGTGGCTGCTGCCGCTCCAGTAGTCACCATTGCAGCTCCTACTGCATCACCTGTCATCGACTCGACGGTGCACTTGTGGCATCTACTGCAACTATTCCAACCCCACCCAGTAACTACCACACCCCCAGCCATTGTCGCTGCTACTGTAACTCACACGCAGGCTCATTGTGGGGTGATTTATATCACTCCTGAGCCAAATTCCGCTGGCCCTTCTACTGGATCAGCCGTGGGCGTCACATTGGTGTTGTTGCGACTTGGTGAGTGGTATTTGACTTCCAGACTTTTTCTGATTAGTATTACAGGCAGTGGACATCCACCTATGTGACCGGGGTGAGCCGTTCATCCTATTCCAGAATTCGCTGCTGCCGAGGGGATTAGATTGATTGAGGAAGCGATTGACTGTGGGGATACCGAAGTAATTCCTTGAATACGTAGATTTCTTGCTCAATGTGTAGATGTTAGTACCATGTATGAACGCTTCTCTCGACTGGTGAATCATTTTGAGATTAATGCTGGCTGCTCGCACTGGGAAATCGAAATGTTGGAACACTTCAAATATAAACTCTCGGATGAAACTCCTCCCTGCTTGTCTAAAGGGTTTCCATAATGGATTGACAGTGTTGGGAGAATAGATGAGTACTCAGTTCATAGTAGACAAGATATTGTAGCATATCAGAAATTAATAACACAGAAGATGGTGGAGACTGCAGTCTCAACATATCATGGCAGTCATAACACATCAGGAAAACTGTATCTCTATATAGAGGACCATCCTCTATATAGCCCCGATAGCACACCACAGCTCTATACAGTCTATCGCAAGCTATCACAGCCGCTATAGACCAGTATAGACATCATGAAAGTCTATATTACCATAAAGTTTGGTAAGTGTATTTAGAAGTAAAACATTTCAAACTATAGACCCCAGTAGACTGTGGGAACTTTTTTCGATGAAAACCAAAGTTGTAGTCCTTGTCAAGGGAAGTCTATCCATAGTCTAATGACTTCAATAGGTCAAGATCTTAGTGAGTTATAAGGAAAATACTTGGAATTGAAGGGTTCAAAAGTGTTAAGGTACACCTTATTTATGTAAGCAAAAATGCGAAAATTCACCTTATGTGTATTCAAAATCCTAATGCTAACAGTCAATTTCATTGTCTTTTTCTTACTGTCATAATCCTAGTCCTAATAAGCAAAAACTCGAAAATTCACCAAGTCTTGTGTTGTGGCTTGTTTGGCACTGCTTATGTAAGCAAAAATGCGGTCAACCAACAAGTCTTTTCCCATTCTTTCCTTCCCCCCACTGCCCCCTCATTAGATTATCTTCCATATTTCTCTTACAATTTTCGAGTTTTTGCCTCTCTTCTCTTCTTCTTGTCTCTATCCTTCTCTTGGTGTTGATGTTGTTGGTGCTGGTACTGGTGCTGGTGCTTTGAACTCTGGTAAGTCTCCCTCCATAATTTTTCGCATTTTTGACTATTTGACTAATCTTTTTTCTAACCCTCTCCTTCTAGCTCTCTTCCCTCCTGCTCCCTCCCCCAACTATTTTCGCATTTTTGACCATTTGGCAAGTCTTTTCTCTGACTCTCACTTCCTCCTGTCTAATCCTCTCCTTCTAGCTCCCTTCCCTCCTCTTCCCTCAAGAATTTTCGCAATTTTCACTATTTGGTAAGTTCTTTCTCTCTGATTCTTCCTTCTAGTTCTCTTGCCTCTTCTCCTGTAATTTTCGCATTTTTGCCTGTTTTGTAGTTATTAGTTTACATGTATTGTAGTAGTTGAAATATAATTTGGAATTTTCGTTTTTTTAATTTTTAATTTTGAGAACACTATCATGGCAACAAACAGCTATTAAGAGAAATTTTTGCTTTGTGTTTTGAGCTATAAGAGCACAATAGCTACAATAGTTGTGGTATGTTTCCACCCAGCTATAGCAACTTTAATAGAGCTATATAGCACTATACACTGGTGTAGTAAGCCTGCACAATTGGGCACTTGGCTATATGAGCTATAGGGCTATGGAGTCTTATAGCAGTCTATAGTGCTATGGGTGGCTATATAGCCTTACCACAT